GTTAAGTATTAGAAAGTTATTTTCTTAGTTCAAAATTAAAACTGAGTGTTTCAAAAGAAAATAATAACAATCTTCAAGAAATGTTGACGACAGAGTGTCATGTCTAATTATTGTGCGCAAAAAATCACGTTGCTGCGTTCTATCTAAATTATGTCAGTGTGTGCTGATTAAATTTTAACATGCGGTAGGTTGGGTGGATTTGCGAGAGAGGCATCCATATGGCAGGAAGTTTTTCTCTACTGGTGGTAACAATGATAGCAATAGGTCATTGACCTTCGTTTTACCGTGCATTAAATCTTCGTGGTCTGTGCTGACTTTCTGGTTAGGGATTTGGGAGCCGCAGTCATGTTTTTAGGAGCCGCAGTCATGTTGTTAGGAGCCGCAGTCATGTTGTTAGCAGCCGCAGTCATTTCATTAGGAGCCACAGTCATTTCATTAGGAGACACAGTCATGTTTTTAGGAGCCGCAGTCATGTTGTTAGGAGCCGCAGTCATGTTGTTAGCAGCCGCAGTCATTTCATTAGGAGCCACAGTCATTTCATTAGGAGACACAGTCATATTGTTAGGAGCCGCAGTCATGTTGTTAGGAGCCGCAGTCATGTTGTTAGCAGCCGCAGTCATTTCATTAGGAGCCACAGTCATTTCATTAGGAGACACAGTCATATTGTTAGGAGCCGCAGTCATGTTGTTAGGAGCCGTAGTCATGTTGTTAGCAGCCGCAGTCATTTCATTAGGAGCCACAGTCATTTCATTAGGAGACACAGTCATATTGTTAGGAGCCGCAGTCATGTTGTTAGGAGCCGCAGTCATGTTGTTAGCAGCCGCAGTCATTTCATTAGGAGCCACAGTCATTTCATTAGGAGACACAGTCATATTGTTAGGAGCCGCAGTCATGTTGTTAGGAGCCGCAGTCATGTTGTTAGCAGCCGCAGTCATTTCATTAGGAGCCGCAGTCATTTCATTAGGAGACACAGTCATATTGTTAGGAGCCGCAGTCATTTCATTAGGAGCCGCAGTCATTTCATTAGGAGCCGCAGTCATTTCATTAGGAGCCGCAGTCATTTCATTAGGAGCCGCAGTCATTTCATTAGGAGCCGCAGTCATTTCATTATGAGCCGCAGTCTTTTCATTAGGAGCCCCGCAGTCATGTTGTTTACATCGCTGGGAAGAATGAAATCTTGATTTAATCTTATAAACAGCAAATCCCTACAATTTGATGATTCTTACAAACAGCAAAGCCCTACATTTTGTCGATTCTCATAAATAGCAAATCCCTACAATTTGACTATTGTTATAAATTGCGAAGTCCTACATCTGTTTCACTGCACCTTGTGACATGCAGCATTAAAAGAGAAGCAGATCGGAGCCCTTCACCCGTGCTTTAGCAGAAACCTCTGCACATAATGCCCATTAGGGTAACATCATCACCACTACCAGTCATCCCTGCTGGGGCATGGGCCGTCAACCAAAGAGAATAACAGAAATTCCTAATTATCTTTCTTTTTAGAGCAACAAACTGGACTGGTTGGGACAAAGGGAAATCACTCTCACGTCCATAGAGAGCACGTGACCTAGTACGAGCCTCATCTTGAGGTGTGGTGGTTGATGCAGCTGTTACCTCATTAGTTCACCGTCTGCTCACTGCGATATACGACATGCAACACTTTTTTTAACATGTGTTGACGAAATCGCATCCGTAGTAGATCTACTCACCAAATCAATTTACGTCAGATGACCTAGACTAATCGAATTAGCGTTGTAAGGGTGAAAGTGGGGATGGGGGAGCGGTGGGGGGGAGGGGTTGGTCTTGTAGACAGCGATGGCTATCAACGTGTCCATCATTGGCCTCGTTTTGGTGTGGTCTCAACTTCGGCTTGATGTTAAAACAAAATCTGGGGAATCCAAAAGATGTAAGACGTACGGTGAAAAGTAAAGAAGAGATACATTTTTCTTTCTTGGTAGATTTTGTTACTTCAAACAAAACTTATGTTTAAATTTCTGAAGTAACCTGGTCTTCTGCAAATGCAAGTCAGGTACCCAATAAAGCTGAGTGACAAAGCCAGAGCTCAGAGCCGCGCAGTTGTAAAGCTGCCGAGCAGCCGTGTGTAAAGCCCATACTGTTAGCGACCCTGTGCTGGTAGTTTTAGAACACTTGTTCTTGTGTTATGTTGAGGGCTCAAGGACGGCCTAGTGTATCGTGGCATTTTTATCAGTGGATCTAAAACTTGTTGGATGGGAACTTTGTGACCTGACCCACCCTCGACCTTGTAGTGATCCTGCTCTTTTCTCTATAGACTTCTTTGTGTCTGAATGAGGTTTTCATGACCCTGCTCTTTTGTCTACAAACTTTTTGTGTCTGAATGAGGTTTTCTAGTTGGCCGTGTTGTAATGAAAGCCTATGCTAGGCTTCAACAATCAGTTAATGACAAGACTTAAACAATCAGTCAATGACAAGATTGAAACAGTCAGTCAATGACAAGATTGAAACAGTTATTCAATGACAAGACTTAAACAGTCAGTCAATGACAAGATTTAAACAGTCAGTCAATGACAAGATTGAAAAAGTCAGTCAATGACAAGATTTAAACAGTCAGTCAATGACAAGAATTAAATTTAAACAGTCAGTCAATGACAAGACTTAAACAGTCAGTCAATGACAAGATTTAAACAGTCAGCCAATGACAAGATTTAAACAGTCAGTCAATGACAAGACTTAAACAGTCAGTCAATGACAAGATTTAAACAGTCAGTTAATGACAAGATTGAAAAAGTCAGTCAATGACAAGATTTAAACAGTCAGTCAATGACAAGATTTAAACAGTCAGCCAATGACAAGATTTAAACAGTCAGTCAATGACAAGATTTAAACAGTCATTCAATGACAAGATTTAAACAGTCAGTCAATGACAAGATTTAAACAGTCATTCAATGACAAGATTTAAACAGTCAGTCAATGACAAGAATTAAATTTAAACAGTCAGTCATGACAAGATTTAAACACTCATTCAATGACAAGATTTAAACAGTCAGTCAATGACAAGATTTAAACAGTCAGTCAATGACAAGATTTAAACAGTCAGTCAATGACAAGATTTAAACAGTTATTCAATGACAAGATTTAAACAGTCAGCCAATGACAAGATTTAAACAGTCAGTCAATGACAAGAATTAAACAGTCAGTCAATGACAAGATTTAAACAGTTATTCAATGACAAGATTTAAACAGTCAGCCAATGACAAGATTTAAACAGTCAGTCAATGACAAGAATTAAACAGTCAGTCAATGACAAGATTTAAACAGTCAGTCAATGACAAGATTTAAACAGTTATTCAATGACAAGATTTAAACAGTCAGCCAATGACAAGATTTAAACAGTCAGTCAATGACAAGATTTAAACAGTCAGTCAATGACAAGATTTAAACAGTCATTCAATGACAAGATTTAAACAGTCAGTCAATGACAAGATTTAAACAGTCAGTCAATGACAAGATTTAAACAGTCATTCAATGACAAGATTTAAACAGTCAGTCAATGACAAGAATTAAATTTAAACAGTCAGTCATGACAAGATTTAAACAGTCATTCAATGACAAGATTTAAACAGTCAGTCAATGACAAGATTTAAACAGTCAGTCAATGACAAGATTTAAACAGTCAGTTAATGACAAGATTTAAACAGTCAGTCAATGACAAGATTTAAACAGTCAGTCAATGACAAGATTGAAAAAGTCAGTCAATGACAAGACTTAAACAGTTAATCTGTGACAAAACTTAACGATTTAGCACGTGATGTAACTTCATGTGACCTAAAATCGTGACCCAAAACACGTGACCTTAAGCACATGTGGTAAAACATACCCTAACACGACAAAACCTAAAGACACAAGACATAGCTTACGACTGCACATAAACAAAAACCAGACTTATTTTTTTATCGCCTGCTGTCTTCATTATGGCAGGCTAATATCGTCTGCTCAAATAGCAACAGGCTATAATTGAAAACCTCGTTATTTTTTAAAAACTTGTGTACAAGATTTTACAAAAAGCTTTTCCATGATAACAATTCCTTTCTTTTCTTAGATGGTAAAAGTGTTAATCGCTCATAAAATCGTTTCAACACATTTTAGTGACCAATACGTTAACTAATATATCTACACAACGAAACGTTACAACCTGATTATTGATTATTATACAGTTTTTCATACATATTTTCTTTTCTTTTTTTTTACTATCTAGAATTTTTAAAAATACAACAATAAGTTGATATCGATTTCGATCGTTACTACTAAACTATCTTCACTCGAGTTATAGAAAAGTAATCTTTGAATTAATTTTTAACGACTAATTAAAAATCAAATTGGACTAAAAATGATATATTATTGCGTTGTCATCGGTTGCAAGAAAGCGTTTCATTAGAAACAGGTAACAATTTAGTTATTAGATTAAAGCTTTAGAAAAATGTATCAATTGTCTTTCTCCTTGCCGTTTAGAACATGGGTTAGGGTCAACATTAAAAGCTGGGGTCAAGGTTAGGTTTAGTGCCGGGGCTATAGCTAGCAATAGCACCAAACATAACCTGATGTTTAACGGCAACTAAAGGCTACTGGCACTGCACAGATACTTCGCTTATCTCAATTTCCTTCCACCACCCGCCCCGCGTATGTTTCTTATAAACCACGTTCATCCTGATTATTCTAGCAGTTTATTTTTTTAAATTAATGAATATCATTTTTCAACCTATTAATTAACCAAGCAGGTATTTTATCTGATACTTGCACGCAAAACTGCTACGCGTTAGCTAGTGGCGTGTGCAAGTCAATCGTTAAACTTTAAAATGTATCGAACTTTTTCCAAGGACAACCCCCCCCCCCGCCCCACCACCACCACCACCACCACCACCACCACCACCACCACCACCACCACCAAAGTTTTCTCTTACTGGAGTGGGGTGTTGTGGGTAGCGGGCCTGAGGGCAACATATCGCTAACGAGTTGTCTAGTTTTTAGCCAATCAAGTCTCCCCTTTGTTGCACGCGCACTCGATGTGAAAGCCCCGACACGAATTTATTTGAACGGAGCAGACGTGAGTACAAGATTAATTTCTGCATCCGCCAGGAACGTGAAAATAGTTCAGAGATTAATCCACCTATAGCACATTCAAAGTGATTCGTTTCTACATGTGACAAGTGGATCCAGTTAAATGATTTCAACCTTTCACTGAGGTTAAATGTTTTTTTAACGCGATCTGGAGTTATCAAGTGAAGAGATACGAGTGAAGATAAATAGTTGCCAGCAGTTGAAAGGTCCAGAGGATATATAAGGGTCAGTACCGTCAGCGTCTGTTTCTTTATCTACTATACATGAGGACTAAATTTGTAAGCATGTTAATATATGGGTATATATTATAAAACCGTTGATGCATATTGTTGGTTTTATATATATATATATATATATATATATATATATATATAAATATATAAATATATATATATATATATATATATATATATATATATATATATATATATATATATATATATATATATATATATATATATATATATTTATTTATATATATATATATAATTTAAATATTTTTATTAATATTTTTACAACATATTTAGGTTTTTTTTGCTGGCAGTATAGAACTCTCCAATTGATTGATAAGATAATGCCGCATACTAAAATTTTCTCTTTGCGGTACGAGGTGAAATGAAATGTGTTTTCATGGTCATCAGGATTTAAATTTCAGGGTTTAAATTTGATTCGTTGACTGCGCTTCTATTGAGCGCGGTTTTTTCTTTTAATTCTCCTATGAAATGTAGTCCTATATCTGTGTTTACAAATTATTGTGCCACGCTGACCACCGTCTTTGACCGGAGTGAATGATATAGATTACGCTAGAACAAAAAGGTATGTAGAGTAATCAAACCAAGCGTTACATCATACGAACTCTAACCTTAAATATGTCAAGTATTTTCTTCTAACAATTGTATTTTAAATACAAATGTTCCTTAGCTTGCTAAGTGTTGCAGATGTTTTGGGCAGTTCTTATGAGCATTTATAAGTCCACTCATCAGACAGGATCGCGCATAGGAACGTGTAGAGTGAGCCTTCTCCAGTATTTGATTACTTACAAGTTGATCTGCCACTATACCATTTGTTTTGTTGTCATGAACTACGTCATGAGCACTGATCTCCCAAATCCACTAGCTCCATCATGTTGCTTACATCATGCAACATATATATAATTTTATCTTAATGAAATTATTTAGTCTAATTTTTTCTTACATTTTAATTATTCTTTAATTCTTTCCCGATTTCTAAGTATTAGCAACAACAACGGGATACTTTATTTATAACCAAGATAAAATTGTCGGCTACAACCTTAAATCAAACAAATCCCACTGTGTGTGTTATTCAAATGTAACATGGACGCGAAAAAAAGTCCTCTGAAAATTCCAATCGTTTTACGTAAGCTGACAGATGAATCTCCACACACTGAGTCCCAAACTTATTTTTATGCGTCTCATTGAAAAAGCCAAACAATCGTGGCCCTTCTTTTTTTTCTGTCGCCCCGATAAAAAGATTTTGGCGGCTCCTTAAAAAGATTTTGGCCCCTCCTTTGAATAAAATTATCTCATAACCTCTCATCTCATAAAATATATAGGCCTAACTACATTTTCTCCCACACAATAGTTGTAGATATTTGTATAACTAAAACCCATCTTTGGCGCGGGGTAAAAAGAAAATGTTATTTTGATGATATAACAATTCATTTATAGCTGCCTACATTTAAAATGTAGAATGTACATGTCTGGGATATTTTCTCCTCTCTAACAATAGTCATGCAGAGTTTCTTACATGCACAGCTATCTTTTCGAGCCCCCCCCCCCCCCCCCCCCCCGAACGAAATGGAATTTGTATAGATAATAGAATCTATATACTTTTAACAGTGTCCGCCCCCGAAAATTTCAAGTGCCCCCCTCGAAGAAAAAAGTTTGGAAGAAACACTGTCGATTGCGTACTATTTGGAAATCGTTGGAATATATTAATGATTTCATCAGCGAATAACACACTACTAAATGACGTGTTTAAAACGGACTAGCTTATTTCAAGCAATTCTAAGCTCTGTTTTTTTTTTTGTTTTTTTTTTTTTTTGTAAAAAAATTCTCTCTAACTTTCAAACAGGAACCTTAACAACCATGGAATACCCACTGAATTTGTCCCATCTACCCTTCAAGACAGCAGTAAACGGAAATCACATCGCGAACTCTTCACAAGTGGCTGGTTACTACGACTTGGCCTTCTACCAGTCCGCGCAGTTTAGAATCACCGTCATCGTCATCTTCAGCTTTGTTTTCCTGCTGAGTTTATTCGGTGCGGCTTTGTTGTGCATTTGTGTCGTCTTAATTCTTTTTGTTCTTGTCATTTTTTCCCATTTCTACTTTCACATACCTACCTCGTTTTATTGATTATTTAAATTTTCACAAGTTTGTATCTTATTCTGCAGTCAGAGGCGTAGCGCCCCTTCCCGGCGCCCTTAGATAAACTTTCAATTTGGCGCCCCCCCCCCCCCCCGCAATATATTTTTAAATTTATAATGCAAAACTGCAGCTAAAATGAGATTTTTTTTTCAAACCCATTTTGTCGCTCCCTATTGTCGGCGCCCGGGGACATATGTACCCCTCGCCCCCCCCCCCCCACCCCTAGCTACGCCTCTATCTGAAGGTCATATTTTTGTTTGTCAATTTCGGAAATTACAAAGAAATCAATACTCTATATACGTCTCTGTGGGATTCAAACCATCTTCTTAATGTAGATATTTTAAACAGCAACAATATATTTAAATGGGGGGGGGGAGTGTTCAAATTATGTGTGTGTGTGGGGGGGGGGGTGCTGTTGTGTGCTCTGAATAAAATCCTGTTCTCGCCTCCAGGCAACCTGATCGTCCTGTTCGTCATCATACGCCACACGAGGATGAGGTCCTACACCAACTTGTTCCTGGCCAACTTGTCCTTCGCTGACCTGTGTGTGGCGATATTTTGTGTGCTTCCCCTCATGCACCACTTGCTGGCTGACCAATGGTGTTGCGGGCAGGTGAGTGCTGGCCATACGTCACAACAGGTGACCCTCACAGGTGGTTGAGACCCCCCCTCACCACCACTATTTGGTTACAGCTATCATAAACCGTTCATTACTTGTTCGTTCTATCAACTGCGGGAATCGTCTGCGACCTGCTTACGTCACACTGAGCTCTGGAATTCTCGGAGAGATGGTCCAGATTGGAGGGGGGGGGGGGGGGGTAGAGAAAAAAGACAAGTCTGAGTTTCAGCCCCGGAGGCAGATAAAAAAATTAGCTAATTTTTTTCCATTACCTTTCTGTCTATATTTTTCTATTTACGTCACACCCGCGGTTAATGCCCTTGTTATATATTTACCACACCTGTCATGCACAAGATAAGTTTTTAATGGCAGATTATACCTTATTATAAGTGTTTCATTAATGTTGTGTTTGGGTATGTGTGCGAGGGGAGGGAAGGGTTGCGACACATGGTGTCAGATTTGAAATACTCGGCAGGCGCCGACAAGAAAAGCTGCATCATTGCTCAGACACGTCATTGTCATTGTGTTCCTAGTTGCTTCTGACAGACTCTCATTCTATGAAGATTAATTACTGACTCAATACAACAACAATGTCAGGTATTCTGCAAATCAACAATCACTGACTCAATACAGCACTGCTGTAGAAATCAACAATCACTGACTCAATACAACGATGTTGTATAAATAAACAATCACTGACACAATACAAAAATGTTGTATAGATCAACAATGACTGACTCAATAAAACAATGCTGTATAAATCAACAATCACTGACTCAATACAGCAATGCTGTACAAATCAACAACCACTGACTCAATACAACACTGCTGTTTGCCAGGTTTTCTGCAAGTTGTACAAGCTAGTGGAGACCATCAACATCAACGCTTCCATGTTGCTGTTGGTCGTCATCGCTGTGGAGCGCTACATCGCCATCAAACACCCGCTCAAGGCCAGGCAGCTCTTCACCAGGAACAAAATGTGCATCGTCCAGGTAAGATGTGCAAGGTACAGGTAGATTTATATAGTCCAGGTAAGTTCTGCATGGCATAGGTAAGATGTGTATGGCATAGGTAAGATGTGCATGTCCCAGGTAAGATGACCATGGCCCAGGTAAGATGAGCATGGCCCAGGTAAGATGAGCATAGCTCAGGTAAGATGTGCATCGTCAGGTAAGATGTGCATGGCCCAGGTAAGATGAGCATAGCCCAGGTAAGATGTGCATCGTCAGGTAAGATGTGCATGGCCCAGGTAAGATGACCATGGCCCAGGTAAGATGAGCATGGCCCAGGTAAGATGAGCATAGCTCAGGTAAGATGTGCATCGTCAGGTAAGATGTGCATGGCCCAGGTAAGATGAGCATAGCCCAGGTAAGATGTGCATCGTCAGGTAAGATGTGCATGGCCCAGGTAAGATGTGTATGGCCCAGGTAAGATGTGTATGGGTCAGGTGAGATGTGCATGGGTCAGGTAAGATGTGCATGGCTCATGTAAGATGAACACCTAACCATATTTGAAACATTTTTACATTTCTACCTTAAACTTGTATTTCCTTTCTTCAGGTTTCCGTATGGCTGGTGTCCGGCGTCAACGCGATCCCCAACGTGATGTACTACGACGTGATCACGTTTAACGAGACCAACAAATTGGAATCGATCTGCTTCTACCGCGGCAACAACTCCAAGTCGATGGAGATCTACTACTACTGCAACTTTGGCATCTGGTACGTCCTGCCCCTGGTCACCATGACGGGGCTGTACGTTGAGATTATCCGTACCCTGTGGGGGAGTAACCTAGCCACTCAGGTAGTCTCCGCCAGGGCACGGATTAGCTCGGTAGTTTCATCTACAACCAGTGACGGAAATGGGGACGTCGAGAGCAACGCGAACGTCAAAGGAGTGAGTGTAAACAACGGGGGTCAGTCGTCGAGTCGGGTTCACGAAACGAAAGAGAGTGAGAATCTGCTGGACAGGAATAAGTTAGAATTGAAGACGGTTTCAAAACTTCAAGATGTTAAATCCGCGACGAAATTTAATTTCGGGAACGGGAAAGCGTCCGATGCGGGGTTCGAGAAAAACGGAACTGAGAGAAAACATGTGAGGAAGGTGTACAGGCCAGACAATCGAGGTCACCCGCGCGTGGGTAGACGGTCACGTGTGTGCCAGGTCAAGCGATGCGTGTCCAACTCCTCCTACGACACGGACAGCAGCAGCGAGACGGACGCTCGGCCGGCGGAACCTGGTCAGCATGGAGCTGAACGGGGAAGAAACAGCTCAGGCGCCAGCTCTGTTGTGATGTTCCAGCGACGGAACTCGACGCACTACGCCTCCAGGCTTCGCGTCATTCGACTCCTGATCGTTGTCTTGGTAACCTTCGCCGTTCTCGTCCTCCCGAACCACCTGAGGTTGATCGGGTTCCGAATCCCGAGGTTCCACATGTTCACACAAACGTGCCAGTTTCTGTTGTACCTCAACTCGGCCCTCAACCCCGTCATGTACAGCATCCTCTCGCAGACCATTCGAAGGTATATCCGCGAGTCTTTTGACTGTTGCAAGATCTGGAAGACACTGAGAAAGTCAAGCGTCAGTAAGTCAAGCGTCAGTAAGTCAAGCGTTAACAAGGCTACCGACTCCAAGAAAACTTTAGGGTGATACGGCACTGATAGATTCTAAAACAGAGCTGATCCTTCAGGATAAAGTTTAGAGCTGAAACCAAAGCCTTAAACTTTAGGCTGATACTTCAGACGGAAGTCTAATGACACCAAACTGATCCTTCAGACGTAAAGATGATTACCAAAGTCTTAAGCTTTAAACTGGTAATTCAAATATGTCTTTAAACATTTATCTGATTCTTTTGAGGAAAGTCTCAAAGCTAAATAGGTGGACAAAGTTCCTAAATGCCCAGCCGCTAAGACAAATTACAACATGATGCCCACACGGCGAAGTGCTAACACAGCGAGGTACTCACACATCAAGGTACCCACTTATTGTGGTGCCCAGACATCATGGTGCCCACCCGCACAGCATGACACCCACACGGAATGGTGCCCACAAATTGTGGTGCCCAGACAGCGTGGTGTGCGCACAGCATGACGCCCACGCGGAATGGTGCCCAGACAGCGTGGTGTGAGCACAGCATGACGCCCACACGGAATGGTGCCCACAAATTGTGGTGCCCAGACAGCGTTGATGCCCGCACAGCACGGTGCCCGCACAACCTTACACACACAGTGTGACAACAAGCCTCGCGATTGGTTTTTTAAAATTGTGATTAAAATCAATCTAACTCAACCTAAGTCTGAATTTATTTATTTTTCAGTTTTTAACACCATCTTCACAGGCTTGCCTAGAATATCAGACGACTGCCTCATAAAACAAAACATAGCTTGTTTCGCATTGTAGCTACGTAAAAAAATCTTACCCAGAGTTTCTTCCAGACTAAAATGTCCGGGGTGGGGGGGGGGGGCGGACACTGTTAAAAGAAATTCCATTTCGTTCGGGAGGGCGGTAGACTTTCTTCGGGGGGGGGGGGGGGGGCAGGAGCGAAGAGATGCCTGGAAGAAACTCTGATCTCACCCCTCTCCCCTTTTGAGAAGTCCTGTTAGTACTGGCTGAATTTATCTTTACAGCGAGGAGGCACGTGATTCAGGACGACCACCAACAAACGTCAATGGGCGGAGCTACTTTCTGTGTAGAACTAGAACTTAAGTTCCGCCTAATATTTGGTGGATTGCGCGTGCGGCTTTTGGGTGTCCACTGAGAGGTCAAAATAAACATGCAACAGTGGCAGGGCCGGCGCTACCTATAAGGCGAACTAGGCGGTCGCCTAGGGCGCTGTCCGTAGGGCGGGGGGCGCCAAAATGGGTTGGAAAAGCAAATTGAAAGTTTGAGGGGGGGTGCAAATCGAAAGTTGTCCCCGGGCTCCGCAAAGGGTCGCTACGCCTCTGATAATACGGGGCACGAAAACAATAGCGGGGGGGGGGCGCTTTTAATACGTTTTGCCCAGGGCGCTAAATAACCTGGCGCCGACACTGAACAGTGGTAAAGTTGCCCGGTGGTCCAGTTGCCCAGGAGCTTAGAAAAACGAGCGGTTATGTCACAAACCTAGCCCAATTCCACCTGAAATGCCATCCATCCCATGTGGCCTTGATCCCAACCCTTTTGTGCGAGAAAGGGAGCTCACGCCCGCTTTACTTCAGCAACTATTGTGGGGTTTTGTACATTTCATAAATCTGTTGGTTTGAATTCAACATCCATTTGCATCATGTATCGGTCCATACACATGCGAGTCGGGTTATATAAAGGAAAGTTATACAAGGGAGGCAACCCATTTAAAAAGGTAGAGATATTACTATACACACTGGTTAGCTCCCTTTTCGTTGACCGTAGATGTCACAAAAGTATTATTAAAAGAAAATGCCAAAGCGCTGAAAAGCAAAATGTAGTCCTATTTTTTTTTTCAGACACAGATTTTCTAATAGAAAAATTAAACATTGGTTGTTTTGTCCGAGCGGGTTAAGTGAAATAAAATAGACGTAATTATAAGTTAAACGTTTTGTGAATGACGTCACACAATACCCCCCCCCCCCCCCATAATTTTAACGGCACTAAAATACCCTTTTTTAATCGCTTCCATAATCAGTCTACCCCCCTTCCCCTTCACTCTAGGTGTGGAACGTTTTGTTTTGTTTATATGGACGCAGTGGTACTAGGGCATTACTAACTTTTGGTGTGGGTGCTAATTTTCTTTTCAATCTGACGATCTATGCTTGTGATCTATAATTTATACTTGGGTTTGTGATATGTAATTGTGTTTATTATTTGTACTTGTGATCTATGCTTGGGTTTGTTATCTGTCCCCTTCATCCTGCAACTTGTTATCATGTGCCTAATTATGTACACAACTTTAAAGTATTTTGTTTTGAAATATCGTTTTATTTTTCGTAAGTTTTTACAGTACTCGCTATACGTTTATTTATGTATAGACTACGCTTAATTTTCTACTTATATATTTGCAAATGTCTACCTTTTTTTATATTTCTTTATTTAATTAAACAAAAAATTTGCTTGATAGGAAGAAGATCGGAAGCACAGTGACTTATCTGCCCCTTATTACCGGCTGTGGTAGTCCTTTGGGCGTGACAAAATACATCACACCTGATGACCCCCAATCACCTTACACTGGGTAAACGCTGGTACTAGATCTAGCAGTACTTGATTCCATTTATCAATTTTTCTCTGAATAAAAACATCTTTAAATTATAATATATCCGATTTTACTGAGATATCGTTAACTCAAGTAATCACAAATCCACCCAGCCTAAAATTAAAAAGTAAAATCCTAATCATACTCATTACCTCTTAGTAATGGAGTTTTTATTATTTAAATAATTATATAGCGGTACAGTTTCCTATGCCTGGAAAATATCGGCAATCCGCCACCTTTAAAAAAAATTGACCACTCTGTCCACAGGTGTCATTCAACTGAGACCCCCATGTTATAGCCATGTTTTTTTCCGCGTCAGAAAATGTACCAAATTAGGTCGATGTTTACTATATCTCGACAATATATTGTATGGAAATCAGCCAACCGGAACACAGGCCTAGTTTCTCGTTCAGCGACTGTAATGTGAAAAGCAAGATCTGCAGACAGGACTACCTGTGTACCTCCGCCTTTTTTTAAAAGCAAGCAGGATAAGGGCCTCATTCAGATCAACTCAAGGTTAAGGTCAAACTTTGCTTGCAATGTAGGCATACACAGCTTTAAAACACCTGACAATGCCCTTCATGGGTAACCTTACTGGTAGTGTAGCCCATCCTGAATGTCAATAGTCACCTGTGTATTTCATGACATAGTAAACTTCTAACACACCTAGCACAAGACATACAAATACCCACTTTTCAGGAAATAAAAACAAGTTAAAAAAAAGATATTGTTTAATTTATTATAGGTCTTGCTCTGTTCACAGATCATCATACACGCCATCTTCCAATACAATTTCATTTACAAGTCCAGACAAACCAGATTCCACAAACATTACACTGATCTTGTACTTAATAAATATCTAGTTGAAATGTGTAAATCTGAATGTCAGCAAATAATGAGTACTTGGTCATTTTTCTTAGTATGCTAAGACCATGATCCAGTATAAACTGATCAGTTATAGCAAACATAGCAAACTAGAAAAAATATGATACGTCCATTAATTTTGTACTAAAAATGTATACATCCAGTCCACAACAATAGTCAGAAACTAACAAAACCTTCTATACAAAATAGTATCTTAACTGGTGTACAAATTCTTTCTATGTATAGCTAAATTCAACTCTTTAAATCAACATGAAAGCAAGATTAAACTAAACTACACGTTATTTACCAGCACCCACACGCATTGCAATGTAAAGCTCTTTGAACTTGTCGAAACCAGCCAACACACCAGCACCAGCAACACCCCTGAGAATGTTGGCACCGGCACCTTTCATCATGGACATGAAGCCCTCATTCTTGATGATCTTTAGGGCACAGTCAATGGAGCCCTTGTACTTGACAGCCTGGCCAGAGGTCATCATCATACGCCTCCTGATGGTGTCAATGGGGTAGGACAGCAATCCAGATGATACTGTGACAGTGTATCCAAGAGCAAAGGATAGGAAGACGCTAGCATCATCTTTCAAGAGAATGGGTTTCAAGCTGTCGTAGAGGCCAAAGTAGAACCCTCTGTATACAACAATACCAACACAGGAGATGACGAATCCTCTGTACAAACCAACAATACCATCAGACTTGATGGTCTTGGTATATACATCAATGAGACCATTGAACTGACGTTCTCCGCCACCCTTGCCAGCAGCCTTGGCATCATTAGCCAAACGGGTACGAGCGTAATCGAGGGAATACACAAAGCACAAGGACATTGCACCGGCAGCACCACCAGAGAAGATATTCTTGGTGAACTTCATGGCATAAGACTCATTGGGAGCAGCCTTGAAGAGTGCTTTGATGGTGTCCTTGAAGGCAAAGTTGAGAGCCTGAGTAGGGAAGTATCTCAAGCAATTTGCCAAATTACCTCTCCAAAATGGAAAGAATCCCTCTGTTTTAAAGGTGCGGACAGTGCAGTCGATGACACCTTTGTATGGCTCTGACAACCGGCCTTGTTTGATCATCTCATCCTGGTTTTGGACGAGCAGCTTGATCCTTTCAATGGGGGCAGCTGCAGTTTTTGAGATGACAGCTGCCGCACCAGAAAGTGCAAAGTTTTCTGCGAATCCTAACTTCTTAGACATCTGGGGAAAAAAAGAACTCATTAAAAACCAGTTCATCGAAGCTAAAAATAAGTTAAACTAAAAACATTTCAATGTGAAATAACACTGATATTTAGTGGCAAGTGCTACATCACTGATATTTAGTGGCAAGTGCTACATATGTCAAGTATTATTTAACACACTTGCTACTTGAGCATGAATTTAGAAACCTTCCCTAGATCCTAAGCTAATGAAGACAACCATTTTTTTAAACCCAAGAATTATTAAGTCAAAATATAAGCCTACTAGGTATTTTTTAAGGGCTAATTTAGTGATACAACCAAATGGTTATAAAAAGTGGAATCTATTTAATGATCAGAAACTATCACAGTGCTGAGGATACTATATACACAAGACCAGCAAAAGATTTGTTCCAAACTACACTGAATAAAAAAAAATATAGTAACTTCTTGCTGTTTTTTTTGTGTAGAAAAGAGATTCCGCATGCTTGTACTATTTAAGTTTACGTAGCGTTGAAGCACTTTTGCAAAATAATGTAAAAGAAACACTAAGGAAAAGACAGGAACGGCACATGTCACACTATCACATTAACTTGTGGTGATGTCTCATTCTGTCGCTTTAGTAGCAAATGTTTTTATATAGAACTATGATAGTTACTTAGCCACTTTCAAGAAGAAACTCAGTTTATCAATTATTTCAAAGAAACAGTTTATCGATTATTTCAATTTTATTATTTCAATATACATTTGAACACTTTCAAAGTTTTATTCTGTATCTGCCATATTTTTAAACTGTCAGCTTGAGAACCAGTAAAAAATTACCAGGAAAACTGTAGCAGTTATCGATCCAAACCAAAGAGCACTTTGATAATTTGCTACCAACTGGCACAAATTGTATGTAGATCTACTAAGTATTCTAATACTTGTGTTTATAGGAACTAGGTACAATAAATTATCCCACTTAATTTTAGTGTCAAACTAAAACAATTTAAATAAATGTCATTGAGGAAGGTCAAAGTATTTTCTAAACCATCAGACTTCTTTCTTAACATGTCCTAGATTACCCTTAACTTTATCTCACCAAGATTTAAGTAATTTATTTCATATCTAAAAAATGAGTATGGCATATTTAACAGATCTTAGTAATTTAAAGCTTGACCTTTAATCTGCCTGATTAATCTTCTGAAAACAATGTTGGCTTCACATTGAACTATGATTTCATCTTGAATCAATGTGAGCCTTTTCCGATACAAATGCGGAATCAGAATTGGATGAAACTTAACACTATAAAATGTTTCGGCCTATAACCAAGAATTAGAAGTAAACATTTTTGTAACAATTAGATTTAGACAGATCTAGATCTAACACTTCTTAAGAGTGTGTGTAATGCATTGTGTATGATGAGCCATCTTGCCAGAGGTCAAAGGATCAACCATAAATTTTTAGGTCTAGACTACAGCAAAAACATTTTAGACAGGCTGAGAAAACATGAATAAGTGTTTTAATCCTGAACATAGCCTAGGACCTAGAATCTAGCTAGATGTTAACACATCTGTTCAATACAAAAATAAAATGTAACATTTTCCAAATCTGATCTACTCTTGACTTCTAGGCTAGGGGCCAATTTTCCCCATCTACACAAAGCAGTGCAAGCAGGTGAGAAACTTCTCCCCCTTTATAAAAATTAAATTGAAGTTGAAAATCATAGAATCTAGCGTAAATTATAAAATTGTTCGCCCACTGAATTCGTACGGGGAAAAGAAAAGCTAGTGATATAACAAGCAGGTTCCTTCGCTCGACTAGAAATAATTTTTTGAGCAAATAAAGAAAATGTTGGTTAATTTTCTGTTTGACCGATATGATCTTGAACACTTCCGTCACTGAATGTGCAGTTCATTCTTGGTGACAGAACTAGACTACGCCTATTAATCATTTAATGAAGCGTAAAAGAGAGCTTAAAAGTAATCACGCAACGTTAGTTTTACAGTAACTAAACTAGTGATGATAAATTACCTTCAATTTTATTGAAACCCCGGTGTTAAGTTAAGATGGGCCGGCTTCTGAGCTGATCTTACAGCCGTACACCACGTTGTAATGGTGGCAGAGAATGTAAAGAACGAAAACGAGGTTCGTAGAATATAACTTTGGTGAAATTAAGTCACGTGCTTTTTCGGTGCATTTTGATTGGTCTTAAATGAAGGTCAACTGGGTCGAAACCTATTTCCGTAATCACGAGGAAATTATCACATTAACATTATTTTAATTTTTAAAATATACTTTAGTTTTATACTAGATCTAGTTTTGTGCATGATATTATTTAGGTGTCTCTTAACATTTAGATATAGCGTATCTTTTTAAAGTTTTTAAAATCTAGAATTCGTACAACATTTAATTCCATTAAATTGTGCCATGCCCCACCCCCTCAAACTAGGTAAACCGGTAACTGAGTGAAGTTATCGCATAGTAGTTTGTAACAGTTTCCAGCAATGACCTGGAGATCTAGGCCCATTATTAAGTTAATGATTAAAAAATTAGTGGATACCTTAACCTAAACTAAATTATTGCTGATTTTACATTAATGAATAATTTATTAAGCAATGAGAACAATAGTGTAGATCGGGGTAGGGCAGTCGCCCCGGGCAAAGGCTAATGGCCGCTAAAGGGTCAAAATATGCCAAAAGGGTGGGATAAAATAATTTATTTTTAGGAGCTTGATGAATTATAAATCCTCAAAGTTATTAAAATAGACAAAGATCTATGACTTAATAATCTAATAATATATCTACGCCGAGTGTTGGCATATTATATACAACTAGCCGTCGGTACCCGTTTGGAATAAACACTGGTGACAAAGAAAATAACTAAAAAGCAAAGAAATAACTAAATAGCTTAAAATCCGATTCATTAAAAATAACATAGGTTACCAATACCCAGTGGCGTAGCGAGGTCGGGTGTCACCCGGTGCGGCACTTAATGGTGTCACCCCCCCAGAGGCGTAGCGACCCTTCCCGGGGACAAACTTTCAAATTTTCGATTTGCACCCCCCCCCCCCCCCCTCAAACTTTCGATTTGCACCCCCCCCCCCCTCGAACTTTCGATTTGCACCCCCCCCTCAAGTTTTTCTCTATATATTTTGCTATTTTTTGCCTTGGTGTCACCCCCCTAAATGGTGTCACCCGGTGCGGTCCGCACCCCCGCCCCCCCCCCCCCCCCCCTTCGCTACGCCCCTGCCAATACCTATTAGAAAAATCAAATAATATACATTATTAGCCAACACAACACCATATTAAATGCACACACTGATAAGATACTTAAATGATTCCGTTAAAAACCCGGCAGTTCAATGGTATTTAGGCCTATGTCATGGGTCGGCAACCTGCGGCTCGCGAGCCGCATGCGGCTCTTTTGATGTCAAAATGCGGTTCTCCAGTTCCATAATAATTATATTCTTTTTTTTTCAAAACTCAAAAAAATATTATACTGTAAAAAACAAAAACAACTTTTAAAAAATGAGAATAGGTGGAATAGAGTGTATATGGACAGGTGACAGCAGCTGGGCATTCGCATTGTTTCTTCAAGACTTTTTTCTCCGGAGAGGGGGGGGGGTGTGGACACGGGTTAGCAGTTCAGCTCTCTACCGCTAGACCACTCCGTCCCATAATTATTTATAAAGGTATAATAAAAGCTTCCTGCTTACACCGGATTTACACTAGAGACATGTATACAATACACGTCTAGAAAAAAAAACATTCGACAAAGTTAATATTATCTGAACATGTATGGGAGGGGGGGGGGGGTGTGAATTCGGTGTTACAAATAGCCTACAACATGTGAGGTACACAATCATTAAATCTCAACAAACCAGTTTTGACTAGCCTAATACTGACTAGATTCGAGTAGTTTAAAAATCAGTTACTATAGTGTCAAAGAAAATAATTCGTGAAGGACTACAATACCATATTTTTATAGTTATTCAAATTGACATTGGCAAAATATCAAACCCCCCCCCCCCCCCCGTTAGGAAAGGTCGGGGGCGTTTGTTTGTTTTTTACCAATCACTGTCCCTTTTCAGTTTTTATGTTGGTTTCACACAACTGATGCAGAAAAAGATTAAATAAGCCCGTAAAAACGAGTAATGTTTTATTTCCTTTACTTTGGCTTTGTATGCAGCTCTTAAGGAGATTTTTAAAATTTATTTTTACCCCTTTCGGCGCCCCCTTAGGTCGATCCGCAGGGCGGTCGCCCCACCCGCCCTCCCCAGTTACCCCTCTGACACACAGGCATAGAGCCTATATACTTAAATAGCCTATATAAAATAACATGTGAGTACGTGTCTGTATAGTTCGTCCCCAGAGTTTCTTCCAGGCATCTCTTCGCGGGGGCTCGCACCTCCCCTCCCCAAAAGAAAGTATACCATCCCCCGAACGAAATGGAATTTATATAAAAAATATATACTTTTAACAGAGTCTGCCCCCCCCCCCACCCCGAAAATTTCAAGTGCACCCCCTGAGAAAAAAGTTTAGAAGAAACACTGTTCGTCCTGAGCGACGGAAGGGGCTGCTACGCAAATTAACATTTTAAAACTTTACAGACAAATCAATGCTTAGTAGTGTTGTTTGAATAGCTGGTTATTTTAGTTGCCCCCCCCCCCCCCCAACACACATGCTTGGAAGGAACTGTATACAGACCAGGGGAATCGTCCACCAACGACGCTACACTCCGGGGGAGGGGTCGGGTTGGACTTTGGTGAGGATATGTGACGAGGGCAGAGACGTAGCGACCCTTTCCGGCGCCCGGGGACAAACTTTCGATTTGCACCCCCCTCAACCTTTCAATTTATTTTTCCAATCTATTTTGGCGCCCCCTAAGGTCGGCGCCCGGGACATGTGTACCCCCTCCATCGCTACGCCTCTGGACGAGGGAGCTTCAGATGGTGACTAGTGTGACGACACTTTTTCACAGTCGGAAGTCTCGTCAAATTTTTTTACCAATTAATCATACAGGTAGGCTTCATAGCATATTAACTCTACCTATTTTAAACTTAAAAACAAAACCTGGTTTCGTGCGTCTTTCTATATTTTGTTTTATTTGAAGGCGAACTGATATTTCTCATGTTAAAGTTTAGAGACATCAGTGACAGCAGTGTAAGCAGTCTTAAATGTATCCATCACGCACAGTTGGATAATGCCCCCTTGACATTCCAAACTATGGGCTATTTTTCTACGCTCGGGAAGAAAAGACGACTCTGCCAAATTTTTTCTTGCACATGATATATTCATTTCAATGTTCCAAGCCCACCTCCCACACTACACCAAAACTTGAATGGGCACAGGTCACACCGATGGCGATGGTACTTTTCTATAAATGTGTCGGTACTGTGTGTGTATGTATGTGGGAAAATGGGAGGGGGGGGAGGGTGTCGATGTGTCAGGGTGAAGGGTGATATAACAAAGTATACAATACTTCATATTATTTATTATTATTATTGAGAACGATATTTTTGAAATTTCAGTCTTCATTGGAAGTAATGAAAGTGTGGTTATGGATTGAGGAGGCGTAGAGGCCTTAGTGGCTTAATTTTAAGTGTTAAGCCTAGCTTATACTTATAGCCATTAGTATAAGTAGTATAACGTCATTTATAGACCCCCCCCCCGGATTTGCCATGTCTGCACGGGTTACTTTGACCAATGATGGTTGTATGGCTAATTAGACAAACCGTGATACTGCGGCAGTGGACCTACACTGTGGGCTACATGCTCCACAAACATGACTTTGCATGACACGCGAAGAGCTGTAAACTGTGTCAAGCGATACGCCGACCGATGACGTAACTGTATCACGTGACCGCCGGTAAAAATAAAAAGGTCAATCCAAACACCAACCACCGAACGGTGGTGGTATCGCCGCTAGCAACGCACCAGCAATGACGTCATCGGAATACCAGGTAAAGTAGTAGGCCTAGGCCTATACGTTAGCAGAACTACCTGATCCCCGCGGCCTAGATCTGCCAACTAAGCTCGTCAGTGAATATCGATTGAACGTGCTCCATTCACTGGCTCGTATGGCCGCAGAATGTACGTCTGCATGGCCGCTGATTGTAACTTGTATATCAGCCTAACGCAGTTTGTGTAGGAGCGTGTGGGCAGACGATAGGCCCCCGTGGTTGATACACTGGCGGTATGCTGACCCGGTCAAAGGGTGAACGCCACACATACACTACTTTAAGGTCGTCAGACATTAGCCTCGCTTCTGATCTCAACTGGGCCTAGCTGGTGTAGGTTGTTTCAGGCGCAGGGCAATTAATCTCTCTTTATTCCGTGTCACTCGTGAACCCAGCTATTCCTTTGAAATCACACCTCGACTAAATGACCAAATATCCACATACCAAAATCATACATTCGACATAACGTTACTTGACTATTAATGTCACATCTTAAGTTGTTTGTATACTGTAACTACCACTCAGAGATAAAATTGAGAAGTGGTACCCTATTTCCCAAACACCAGCGAACATAATTCAAGTAATTACAGTGATGCATTCCTCAATAGATTGTATACCCACAAGTTATGACTTTCCTCAATCGATTGTATACCCACTAGTTATGACTTTCCACAATAGATTGTATACCCAATAGTTATGCTTTTCCTCAATCGATTGTATACCCACTAGTTATGACTTTCCACAATAGATTGTATACCCAATAGTTATGCTTTTCCTCAATCGATTGTATACCCACTAGTTGTGACTTTCCTCAATAGATTGTATACCCACTGGTCATATAGAGGTTGTATCATTGTTCTTGACCTAACACAGGCCTACTTCTAGGGCTGCCTCAGCAGTGATACTAACCAGTTTGAAGAGATTACCCAAAGATTACACCCATGGCTGTCTGTAGATAAAACAATTGGGCGCTAGTACAACTTACACAACACAGTTCAAGACATTGTACAAAATCCTCAACACAGGTTACTTGACAAAAAACTTCAGCACAGTACAAGTACACTTGACAAAAACCCCAGCACAGTACAAGTACACTTGACAAAAAACCCCAGCACAGCACAAGTACACTTGACAAAAAAACACAGCACAGCACAAGTACACTTGACCAAAAAAAAACCCCAGCACAGTACAAGTACACTTGACAAAAACCCCAGCACAGTACAAGTACAAGTACACTTGACAAAAACCCCAGCACAGTACAAGTACACTTGACAAAAAACCCCAGCACAGTACAAGTACACTTGACAAAAACCCCAGCACAGTACAAGTACACAGTGAAAAAACCCAGCACAGTACAAGTACACTTGACAAAAAACCCCAGCACAGTACAAGTTCACTTGACAAAAAACCCAGCACAGTACACTTGACAAAAGATATGTAGAATTAACCACACACAAACATTGCAAGAAACATGGGAGAAATATGTAGAAATAACTATCTCACATCAATAGTACTATTAGTACTACTACAATAATCATTGGGCGGAATACAAAGAAAGTAGAAAAACACAGCAATATAACCACACACACATATCCAACATTGCAAGAACAAGAAAAAAAACACCAACACAGAGCAAGAAACATTGGACAAATATTTTATTTGAGCCCTCTGAAACTACACAAAAATGAATGAGGGAAAAATGTACAAAAGAAGCCAGAGATTTGAATGACATAACAAGCAAAACAAAAAGACGCACAACTTGATCAGGCACACCACTCATCAACCAGACTTGCCACGCTGCACATTGTTCTCTTATATACACACCTGCTCTCCATTCATCCCAAACACACAACAGGTATTGTGTCCATCCCAAACACAAGCTCTGCTATGATACATTCGGATATAAAAAAAAAACAATTTATTGATCCCATTGACAGAATGGTTCCACACTTGTATCTGGCAGAGACTATTTCAAACGCTTTACTTTGAATTGATCTGGTAGTTGATTCATGAGAGCCACCAACTCACAACCATCAACACTGATCCAAACAAAATGCTTCTTGCTTCATACTTTGTCCTAAAAAAATGTTTGTAGACTAAATCCCAAATTTTCCAGACTAATAAAATGTGACAAGAACAATAAAATAATAAAAAAAATAATTGGCAATTGTATTGCAAAAGCCCATGTGTTGTCTGAGAAAAAAAAAACAAAGCAGCTATGTATCAAATGGATTCCAACAACTAAAACATCCATACCTCATAAATAAATGAATCTCTGAGATATTGCCATGAAATATTTTGATTGTTGTCCCCAAAAAAATATATTATAAAACATCAAACAAAAGCAAACATGATACATTTTCTGTTTTTAAAAAGTGTAATTACTAAGAAATAATGAATGATTAAAAAAAAAAACAATCTCTTTGTATGAATAGTCATTGATGAATTTTGTTTTGAATCTCCACAAATTTCAAGAGGGCTCAGACATTTTTTTTCAAAACATCCTGTTTTGCTCACTTAGCACGTATTAACAACGGACAATTTATATACAAACGTAAACCATCATTTTCCAATAATAATCATAATAATGGTAACACTGACAATAAAAATATGTAATGTACATCCAAGTCAATGTTGTGAAATACACAAACAAGGGAAGAAAAAAAATAAATTATTACATATTAACAAGTCATTAAAAAAATACCAAGTCCCAGATGAGAACTAAAATTTAAAAAAAAAAAAATGCATCATAGCAATAAATAGTCAATAAAAATTGTAACACATTTTGATGAATGAATAATGAGAGTATGACTGAAAACTAGTGTCATACCCCAATGTGGTTATAGTTTAAAATGAGGGTTTCAATGATAAATATGGACAACTGAGGATACTGTTATTTCATGGCAATGATGATCAGACAATGAGGTAAAACAAGATTCTGGTGTGAAGGAAAAATATTCTGGTGAGGGCAGATGTGAGAATCATTTGTACAAAACCCCTCTAAATAAATGAGTTTCAATATCATTAAATAAGCCAAGAGATTCCCATGAAATGGGCCAATCAGACGGTGTAGTACAACACTTATTTTACACGACAGGGAGAGACTGCACTTTCCCAAAACAAAAAATACGCAAATGTTTCACTGACTTCCATCTTGAAAAAAAAAAAAATAAAATAAGAAAAAATGCACTCAAGATGCCCAAGTAAAATGACAGGACTATTAATAAGAACTATAATCACTGCAGCTAAAAAAAATGCTAGCAAAATGTTAAAATCAAATAATTTAAAACCAAGCTTACTGTGACTTATTTAAAAAAAAAAAAAAAAGGCTAAAATATTTATTTTTTTGTATCACAAAGATTCCCGCCCTCCCCCAAAACTGATATGTAAAACAATCCAAATTTTTCTTGACCCTGCATGTATACCAAAAATAAAAACAACCTTGTAAACAGTGAGATACACAACGGACATTTTTTAAATATAACAATGTCCTGACCTCCAAAGGCAAGTTAGGCAAACAAAAGCAAACGTAATGAGCAAATAATCATCTTTAAGTTGACACCAGGCAACATCTTCCAATGATTAGTGGTCATTCTCGAGGCTAGCTCAATGCAGCTAATTCCAGAATTTTAAAAAATTAAAAATTTCTTTTAAAATACATCAGAATTATTAAAAATGAACAAAGCTACAAGAACATAAAATATCTGCTTAGAATTACAACTAATCATAGAAAGTGAGGAATTACTAAGATTCATACTCACACAGAAACAAGGCACAATCTAAAACTGCTAATCTAAAATTACACAAGCTATTTAATTTTTACACTATTTGTTAAACATCACAATTGCTTTTTTCCCCCTTAAAAATATATATATTACATTGTACATATCAATCTATGAAATATATGCTTTAATCTTTAAGCTAAACAAAAACTTTGTGAAATATCTAATAAAAGAATCATTAGAATCATGCTCCTGGCATTGGAGTGCATGTTGGCACATGCACATTTTAACTGTTTACTAACAGCACTACATTTGATAATGATAATATTACAACTATAACACACATACACGCTATTCTTTCAAAGAATTTAAATTAAAACAAACAAGATTGTGCCATAAAACAGAAAAATTATAAGTTACAAAAAAAATGACATGAAATGATTGTAGCTGTTAATGACTTGTTATTGATGCAAGCGCATGTCGTATATATAAAAATAAGCGAGAATGAGCAGATTATTTCCCCTTCTAAAAAATATCAAGCAAAAATGGTAAACAGATCCAAGATAGGAAACACAAGAACATACAGCAAAGAAACTTTCCAGGGATATTATTTTATTTAAATGGTTTGGAGATTGTTTAGCTTTTAGACCCACCCACTCTTTTCATGATGCTAAGAAACGTATATTATGTAAAGACTGACAAGTTTTCAAATGGAGATGAAATTATGATTTTAGAAAGGAAAAAAGGTGTGAATTCTACTTTTTCTTTAACTAGCAACTCACTAGCATGGCCAAAAGAATTAAAAAATTTTATGCACACAAATATTAAATTATGAAAGACTCGCACCCTTTGGATTTAAGTTTATCCCTGTCTTCAGATCAGAATTTTATTTAAAGTGTGAAAAATGATACTTCAGTATGACTAACGTTCTATTCATAAAATTATAATGCCCTAATCTCAGTCAGCTTTTAACACTCAAAATATCTACACTGCGGCTGGTAAGATAAAAAAATCTGGGTTGATGTACCAAGTATTTGAGTGGTCAAAAAATGAAGGTGCAGTAGACCCACACTTTACTAATACAATGACAATGTTACAAACAATGATTTAATTTCTGTTTATGTGAGCCTTCTCTCTGGGCGCACTGCTGTCAGATAACTAGATAAATGTGCTTGTATCAAATGAATGCTACCTTTTCCTTTGGTTGCTTTACCTCACATAAGACAAAACATTTGAATAGTCTAAAAAATTAACTAATACAAAGAAATACAGTTTTTAGTTACTAACTAGAGAAACTCTACAATAGAAAAAAAATTCCAGTAATTTTCTGACAGTCAAATTGGCTATCAAAATAAAACCTGTCTAGTCAACTTCTATGTTGATACAAACAAACCATGTTTTAGCATTAGTACAAGGTGACACCGAGAAAGATGGCAGATCATCACTTCACTAAGAAAGCCAATCCACGTTGCACTTCTGAAATATTGGACAATACACACATTAAACACAAGAGTTATTGTATTTCACTAGACCTGCTACAAAGAATGAAAGGTTTAAGTTTGTTTTTATAAAAAGAAGAATAGCCATTAATTTTTTGGTTTAAAATCATTCCTATGACCTGGCGGTGTGGGTTGCTTCTACCAACATAGTCACAACAATGAAGAAATAATTTGACAGACCAAAGATGATCACAAACAACAAAACAACACCAGTTTACCCTATCGCTCTGTGTACCACTCTGTGTGCTGGCATTGCCTTCCTGCACTACTGTCAAATCTATTCTTTTACATTTTCTTTCAAAGAATTAGCCAGTTTTGTGCCAGGAAAGCAACAGTTTAAAAAAAAATAAAATGCCTGGCTTGAACAGAAATGGTGACTGATACTTAAGAGCGAGCGAATAAAGCACACAAGAGAAGCTAACAACCAAGGAAAAGTTGACAGCATCCACAAGTTGTTGCCTACCCCATTCCCAAATGTCTACTTCCAATATCTACACCATCGTGCACAATAAAACCTATTTGTGCAATGTTGTGCATAGTGTGGTGGTTGAAAAAAAAAATGTACCAAATACTGTAATATCCCTGCCTGAACATTTGTGGTAAGCAGTGAGACCAGAAAAAAAGCTCAACAAGAATATTAAATACATAGAGTACATCTATTGTCAGAGTTTTAAAAAATACAATAATTCTTTTAGGGAGAAGCTAGGAATTTTAAAGCCAGATGCATTTTTAAATAATAATAATTTTTAGGGGTAATAATAACGGAACTTAGCTTCAATAGTGAAGACAAAAAAAATTGAGAAATTTAAAAAAAAAAAGAAAATACTAATTTTAGCTGAATTTTTAACAGGAATAAGTTGGGAAAAAAACACCACTTTCACCCTAAGGAATCTATTTCATACTAAATTTATAGCTTAGAATTTGTAAGTAGTATAATATATTAAAATTAGAGATACATGCAGACAAAAGAAGAAAGAGAAGGGAAAAAAATGGCTATAACTGAAAAAGTAATATTTGTAAATGATTTGGATGAACAAGTGTTAATGTTATGGTTAATGAAGCAAAGATGATTAATTATTACTACACTGAATAAGAGATTTGGACGCAGCGGCTCACAGCCATTAGCGTAGGACTTTTTTTTTTATTTAGGAGGAGTTTCGCTTTTCTTAATAAAAAAGAACATTAGAAGAAAAGTAGTTTTAAGAGAGTCCCAAATTTTTATGATAGAGAAAAAAATAATTAAAGTACATATTTTGAAGTTGGGTTTCAAAATGTGATAAAGCATGGGCATATGGCTTTATATTTCCCTGCAAAACCCAGATTTGAATTTACAGACATTAAAGTGTTAAGAAAAACAAGCACATAGGTAAAAATAAAATTTGATCTTTTCATTCAAACAATCCTGATGGTACTTGACCTAGAAAAACCTTCATTTTTAGGCCAATGGACTTCTCATTCAGTTAAAAGTTGCTTAAATAATTTTTGCTCAAGTGATCTGTTACTAAAAAAATATGAGGAAGTCTTTGCTCCATCCCTCAATGTAAAAAAAAAATTAAAAAAATAAATAAGATAATACGGGGAACATAAATAAGGACCAGTTTAGTTGCAAGTTGACAATTTTGATATTTACTGTGTTTAACATGACATGTCCAATACCATGATGGATGTCCCAGCACCAATCTTCTAGAGTTACTCAATGATGTCTCACAGGGCTACAATGGGGGGTCAGAGAGGGGGTTCATTCACTGAATTCTACTATCTCATAAGGAAGGGGGAGGGCTGGGTATCTAGCAGGATCAAATAATCCAAGGTGAAAAAAAGGGAAATTTTTTTAAAATGAATTTTTTGCCCTGGATGTCTATCAACAAAAAATATGGTAAAAAAAACATTCCATGCTCAGACTATGAGGCAAAAAAAAAAAAAAAAGAAAGAAAACTAAATGAGGCATGTGAAGCAAAGACTACTGACATAGCAACAAAATGATAAAAAATAAAAAGACTTCATGAGAGGTCAAAGTTGAGGCATACTATTCAACCTCTACTAGTCCAAATTCTGGCCACAATATTGAAATAATCCGAAGGTTTAACTAAGACGGCACCAGCTTCAGTATTTTTGCAAAATAATACTTTAAAAAAGAGCATTCTGTCTTCTCACTAAAATAAATAAGCAATTTAAGAAATCTCAGTTTTCTGTGTATTAGCGCTGTATAATAATATAAAATCTCTAGAACACAATACATTTATTGTTCATATATCTTTTATAAATATATATGTATATATATATATAAATGTTTTGTGTTTCTTCAGTAAATTTATGATTTTAAAAATTATATAATAAATAACAAAGTTGCTAGGATTGCATGAAGAATTCATTGGGTTCCTCTTTTTCAAACTGTTTAGCCTCTTCCTGCATGGACTCTTTAATCTTTAGGATTGCCGCGGACTCGTTATGCTCCTGAAAATTTTAAACAGGGCGTCGTCAACCACACTTAGGCTGAGTCAAATTTTTAAATCTTAAAAAAAATTCTCCTTGCTGTGTTCAAGTGCATGTCTAAGTGAGTTTTGAGACTTATTTGCTTTCAGAGATGAACTTAAAAGTTTTTTGAAAAGCTTACTACTTCATTTAAATAAAAAAAGACACTCTTTGTTATTGATGCATGCTCAACAGCTGAAATGCAAATTTTTAACAAGTGAGCTTTAAGTTTACTAACAAGCTTGTTTTTAAAAATATGAAACAAAAAAAATAAAAGCTAAGTTTTCCTTTTTAATACTGCTGCAGCTTGCACATGTAGCAGTTAAGAAGGAAAATGGAGGGTAAAAATAAGGTTTCGGGGGATGAAGGGAGGGGAAATGAAGTTCTCTGAAATGGTGTTGGACATGCACATGTGAAGGATGGACTTATTTAGATACTGGTGTCTATCTGAAAAACAACACACAAAAAATGCCATTCAAGCAACATTATCCTGCCCCCTTCTAGACCTGACATCAAATATAAAGAATAATACTTGATTGAATAACAGCCATTTAGTCTAAGTCATCAAGATTGTTTGACCTCCAGGGATTAAATAATTAAAAAAAAAAAATGCAGTGTAGACTCATTAGACTAATATATATAAAAAGCAAATTATTAAATATCATTAGAAATAAGATGTTCAAATTAGACAAGTAAACCTTTTGAAGCGTTTTTGAACAAGCCATGAAGATAGAGATGTATGTTAGGTTGTTAAAGTTTTCACAGCAAAACTTTATGCTGTAAGTTATGACATTAGTTAAAGGAAATATATTTAGTGTGTAAATCTGCAAATATGTAACTGTGACAACTACTTGTGTGTTTGCTATTTCTGGCAGCATGCAAGCTGGATTTATATTTGTTGATTACAGTGTTTTCTTTAAACAAATCTCATGCTACATTAAGTAAAATTAATTGTAAATTTTTATATTTAAATACAAGATTTCCAATTATTATAAAATACATGCTAGAAAATAACTAAAAAAAAAACTACATTGATGGGTGTTATTTTGTAGTCTTAAAAGTTGAAGGGGAAAATAAAATCAGTAATCAAGGAGAAATGTGTCAAGCAATTAATGTAGATAAATCAGTAAATAGATTGGCCAGTGTTACATTTCATGCAGACAACACATAAGCAAGCAGTGAATAAAAGCCCCCACCGCAAGGTAAAAAAATGATCACCAGGCTTAGTTATTTCAAACGTTTTAACCAAAAAGATTTATGCAATATACATGAATATAATTTTTGGGCCAAACATAAATGGAAGTAGATTAAAACTGATGCTTATAAAGATAATGTATGAGGCGATTACTGGAGCAAAATGATAGGGTAGGACTGGTGAAAAAAAAAAGCAAATAAAATGTACAATAAATAGAATAGTTATACAAATAAGGGGAGGGTAGGAAACAACGTTTTAACATAATATAAATGTTAAAAAGGTGAAAAAGGAGTGGTAGTAACATGTGCAGATGATGTGATGCGGGGAGGTGAGAAGCTAGGGGGATGATGAGCCAGTTTAGTATTGGACATGTTTTTCTACACAGTCGCAACAGGGCCTTCAAATCTTTAATGATAAAAACTCATTTAGATAGGGGACTTTCGCTCACCAGATAACTTTTCTACTAAAAATAATTTCACACCATCCACTTGAAAACCGTCATTTATTTATCCCATGCATTACTTGATAAGTGGCTAAATTTGTGTTTGTAATGCCCTGGAAATGATTGATTGCCAATATCACACACATTGTACTAGGACAGCTACATAATGATTATCATTGACAGAATGATCAGAGGAACAACCCCAAATAAAATCTTTTTACATTTTTTACATTTTGTTGAGATTATGCTTTGTTAGCAAAAGTCCATTTGAGCAAATCAGTCAGAGAGTTTTTATGCATTACTTTCTCCTGTAATCACTCTCAGTGAGGATAAAAATGAAAGTAAAAAGGTAAAACCATGTGACTAGGGCATTGTTTCTATGAGAGCAAACAAGAACATGAAGTTCTGTCATTTTCAATTGTCTTTTTTTTTTGGGTGGGTCTCAACAAGCAACAGCAAGTCAACTTCTCCAGGAAATTACTATTGTCATCAGTAAACTCCAGCAGTCCAGTCATGAAAAGTGTCATTATCAATTCATAGTAAGGAATGAGCTGGTACATACCAAAACAATCAAAGTTATAAAAGTATTTATTTATACAAAAGTAGGTATTTAAATCTTTTGACAGTGTACAACATCCTAAACTATTTCAATTAAAAATATTTATGGTTGAAAGATTCTTTGCATTTAATATTGGTTAATTTCAATTAAGTTTTTAATATTTAAAAAAAAAAAAAACAGATAAAGAACAAACATTTGGATCAATATCAAGTTAGCTCATTCAGAAAGTCAGTGGTTTTAAAATAATTGTCAACTATAAAATTAGACTGAATTTGATTTTTAAAAATTAAAAAAGTGGATTGTCTCCCCTGCAGTAAAACAACCCATAACAGATTATATGAAAACATTAAGTTGAACATCTCTATTGTATTAGTAATAATACTTCCTACTCAAATTTAGGAAAAAGAAATTGTTATGAATATTTTATATCACTGCCTCAACATTTCAAATTTGTAACACACAGGAATTTTCCTACAGCTGTGTTGATAAAATTTTTAGTTTACAGAATCGAAACGGGCTTTAAAAGGGGGAATTAAGGGGATTTCAAAAAAGGTCCAGATGTTATAAAGAAAAACATTTCGCCGACATTAAGACTTGTTAATGGCACATATCACTGCTGAAACTGGCATCACTTGGCAAAAGACGCACTAAGCTTGACAAAATAACTGGCCCAGTAGTGAGGGAAAGGATTTCTAGAAAATGTTTCTGCAACTGCCCACCTACAAAGAAGTAGAATGAAACTTGTTTTTCTTTAATGCTTCTGAAAAGGCAATGTGATTTTTTTTGACATTTTATGAACACTAGGTAAAGCTTATAGCAACCCCAGCTATCAGAATAGTAAGCTGATCTGGACATAAGGTTCTGATGTATAGGCTGTAAAATGGGTAGGGGCAGTGAGGGTGGGGCAGGAAGAAGACAATGAATGAGTGATTATGTATTGAGTGTGTGGTGGTAGTGGGGGTTTAGGGAATGGAAAAGGGAGGGAGGGGGGGAGTAACACATTGTCTCACATAAGAAGACCCTGACTCACACTGTCCTGATAGCCCCCTAGCCCGTAGGGCCCCATGTCTCCCCCGACACTGCTCACTGGTGGCATGTCGTCTCGAGGTGTTCCACGACCGTTTGCCGGAGAGTTCTTCATTCCATCCATATCACCTGCGGAGACACAAGGAATATGTTACACCAGCGTAAAACTAACACAAACATCAGCCTTGGATTTATTAAAGGCTTATACAAGAAAAAAAAAAGAAATACTCAGCTTATTAAATAATTTATATATATATTAAAGAAACTGATTTCAATACTCAACTCATTAAATTACCATTCATTACAGATGGCATGTCACCTGGTCCCATTGGACCCATGGGTCCATCAGGTCCACCCATTGGAAACTAGAAAGAAAAATATTATTAAGCACTTGGTGAAGGGGCTGAAACGTAAATATTTATGTAAGTAGCTTCCACTGGAACAGAAGGTATTATTAGTAGCGGTTGATTATTAAAGCACGTTGCTTGATTCATTAAATATAGTTTAATAATAGTTTAAACATTACCTATTGAATTATGACTACTCAAGATCTTTACCGGAGTAACAGAAAGTACAAATGGATTGTTGCTTTTAAATGTCTTTACTAGAGCAGCAGAAAGTACTATTGAGTGGTTGCTTCTGTCTTTACCATGGCAGAAAGTACTATTGGACTGTTACCACAGCAACAGAGAGTACTACTGTGTATTTACTACTGTGTACTCACCCCAGGCATGCCCATACCAGGTGGTCCCTGTTTCATCATGTACATTGGGTCGCCTCCACCACCTGAATCTGCGGAAAAGACTCCGTTGATAGGTGACATGGATAACGACATTTAAACATTAAAAGACAGCAAGAAAGGCAGTTTCTATTATATTAATATGTCTATAAAAAGCTCAAAGATTATTTAAGCATAAATGTAAAATAAAAAGCAGTAAATTAAAATCCCTCCCTGTTAGCTAAGAGATGTTGTGCATTAGAGAATACTATTAGAGAGCTACATTATTTCATTAAATACAAAATATTTTTTAGAACTTTGAACTTGAATTTTTTTTTATTATAAATTTATACAATGTCTTTCATTAGACAATGCAAGTTTTTAATGTAAATATTAAAAGCAAAGAGTAAAAGTAATTGAAACAAAGAGGACCAATAAAGTACATAACATTAATTTGTTAGATGGATAATTATAGTTATACAAAGTGTATAAACAAGTATGAATTCTCTCTACTAAGGAGATATAATTTTCAAAATAAAACCTGAGATGAATTCTTCTTACAAATTAACTTGCTTGATCCTCTTTATTTCAGAGACAGACGACTACAACACAAAAAGCAACTACTGGTTATATATAGCTACCGTGGATAACAGGGCTGTATGAGGTTGGAGTTCTGCGCATCTCACCTTGAGGACTAGGCATTATTGGGGTGCCCGGGGGCCCTCCTGATGGTGGGGGGCCCTGTGGCACATAATCCTGAGGAATTACAAGAACATCATGTTTAAAAAGAAAGTTTTTGAATGTCTAGCTTTTTTTTACATTTTATTAAAAAAAAATTTTTAAGTATAAAATACTTTTGTATAGGTATAGTTAAAACATCTTAATTATTTTAAATATAATATGGACATTAAATCTTCAAAAATTTCTTACATTATAATTTGCTGGTGATGCACAATTCATCTGTAACAAAATAAAAAATTTCAGATGTGTAAACAAGCCGTTATGTACCTAACTAAAATGTAACTAAAATTTCCCTTAACTTTAAAAAGGAAGATTCTACATATTCTACTACATAAGCAAGTAATTCTCATTAAAAATGTTTCATTCAAACTTCTTACATGTAAACTTACATTATAACTTGCTGGTGATGCACAATTCATCTGAAACAAAACAAAATTTCAATCACCAATCTGTATTTAGCCAAATCACTTTTTAAAAAAAACACAATTTGCATGTTTCTGTTATTTAAAAAACCTGTACTTACAGACGATGATGAAAGCGGCCATCTATTCTGAGGTCCTGGTCCACCTGGCCTACATTAAAAAAATTTTCACGTTAAAATTATATCTGTATACATTTTGTTTTTTAAAGTGAGTATATTCAAGTTAAAATTATATCTCTTTACATTTAGTTTTTTAAAGTGAGTATTTTCACGTTAAAATTATATCTGCTTACATTTTGTTTTTTAAAGCGAGAAGTTATTATTGCACTAGCTATTGTTGCTCTAGTTATTGTTGCTCTAGTTATTGTTGCTCTAGTTATTGTTGCTCTAGTTATTGTTGCTCTAGTTATAGTTGCTCTAGTTAATGTTGCTCTTGTTATTGTTGCACTAGCTAATGCTGATCTAGTTATTGTTGAACTCGAGGTGAACTTTGATAGCCTAGGACTTTGCAATACATAGCTTGCTCAATATTTTAAAACCATGAGCTGGGAAATTATACAGAAACTCAAAGATATCTGTAAGATCAAAAGAACTTTCAATTTTGTTGTTGCAAGACTTAGCACAATTTTAAACTAATCTAATCCAAGGTGTAACCTAGAAAGTTTGATTTGTAGGTTAGCTAAATAAATACATGTCTACCTTTTTTGTTAACAAACTATAGCTACAGCTATAATTAATTTTAAATTGGATTTTGAAATAACTTTTAAAAAAAAAACTTACATAGATAAAGGTGGCATTCCCCCTGGACCAGGCCCCGGACCCATACTTGAATTGGGTGGAGGGCCTCTAACACCATAACTCTGTAAGGAATCGTACATCTAACAGAGAGAAAAAGATATGCATCACTTCATATGTGGTTAACATACTCGTCTAGCACAGAATGAGTTACTAAGCATACAGCAAAGATCTGTCAAAAACCACACAGTAAAACTGAGTGAAAGCAAACTGGCAACTTTTTAATGAACTAGAGTAGAGCAACTTACAGGATTCATAGGGCCAGGCATTCTCCCACCTGGGTGGCTCATCCTCTGCATTGGGCCCATCCCAGGGTGACCTAAACAAAAACAAAATAGACATTTGTTACTAACATGGGAAATAAATCTCAAAATTCCAAATCTTTCAGGTGCTTTTAAAAAAATAATATGTAAAACATAAGCTTTTTTCAGCAGTCTTCTCTATTTTAAAAATATTTATTTAGAGATGTGACAATTGTACAGTGGCTTCTCAAAACTACTCCATGTGAGTGAAGAACTGATTTTGTAATTTCCCACAACAAAATTTGTAAGTTTTGTAAATAAAAAAACAAGAAAATCTTTCAAATTAAATACATTATATTTCCATAAAAAGTATTTTAAATAAAGATGTTAATTTTACAAACTAATTATATTAGTTTTCCAGTTACACTGTTTCTTTCACACATTTTCATATTTTATAATGACATTTGCAAAGCTTTCATGAACAATTATTAAGGCCAATCCTATTTAATTGAAGGTAGATCTAAATTTATATTAAAAGCATTTAAATAGTAGTTCAAACTTCAATTTTTTCTTTATTTCAAAAGAAGAAAATTAAAAATAATTGCTTTGAAGTAATTTAAAAAAAAAAAAATCTTTCACAATATTGAATTTCCTATTATAAACAAGGGGAACAATACAGTTAAACCCCGCTGCTCTCCCTTGATTTAGCAGCCAATATTTGAAAAAGGAAAAAGAGAGGCGGGTTGTTAGGCTGGCGAGACGTGGACTATGTAGATCTAGTTGGTAACCAAAAACACCATGTTGGAGGGAGGGCCTGAACCAGCCGGGACCGCTACCAGCCCTGTCGCACGCTAAATGTTTTTGGAGTAACAAAATATGAATCCACTGCACGCTACTAGCCTACGGAGGTAGTGCGATGTTTACTTTTGTAAAACAGCAGTATAAAACTACTACGGTGTCATCAACTATTTCAATTCTCGTCCAAATTCGGAATTTCTGTTTGTAAACAATTCTAAAGAGAAAACTATTTTAAAAACTAAAAGGTGAGTTATAAAAAATAAGGTTTACGATATTTTTATATTTTATTTTAAGAACACATTTCAATGAGTTTTCGTTTATAGTTTCTATTGATATACCCCCACCAACTAATACAATGTCATATATCCTAGATTCTAATCGTTTTTTTAAAGTAAGAATCTGTACCCGAGACTGAGACTTCCAAACTTTTAAATGCCAATCGCTTTAAGGCGGTAAGCTCACAGATATTGTTTATAAATCTGACTTTATAAAGCGCTTGCATTTTATCATCGCCTGGCGACCGAAAATCTCGCGAATCAGAGAGACCCCCTCCCCCAACCTGTGTCGTACCTCGTTACAGAACGAAACACCGAATGTGTTTTACATTGTAAGTAATGGCATATCAGAGTTAATTACAAGGCAATCGCGGGAACATCTCTTGAAGAGACAAGCCGACGTTAAGCCACAAATTGGATACGAGCAGCTGTTGGGAGAGCTGGCAGAGGTCCAGGGTGCCGTCACGTGCCGCATTCACCGTCAAACATAACACAACCTCCTCTTCACCAACGTTCTTCTATTCACCACAAACAAACTTATTCTCATCTGATTTAACTCCCTCGCATGCATGCTCGGTAAGAGTTGACTAACACTCCACGAGTTGTAGGAATGTCCGGCTCTACGAATGTGTCAATGTTTGATCAAAATCTGCAGTACAGCGCTCCACCCACCCACAAGACGGGGCGCCGAGATAAAACTGGCGCCCGTGCTGCTAACGAGATGAAATCAAACTTTAAATGGGTCGGCTCACGGGCTGGGGACGGGACACGGTTTGAAAACGGACACCAAGAACACTTTATACCACGGTCCCCGTAGAGGGGACATAAAACTGCCATTACTATAGGCTGTGTGTACGAGGATTCAATGTCAATTAGCTATAAAAATACACCTTACTGTATAAGAAGCTGCCAATTATTAAAAGTTGTTAAAAGCACTAAACAAGTTGTGTGAGGCGATGGCTCGCCTACATTTGCGTGTACAGCTATGCCACAGAGGTATTCGGGTGGTGATACCTGACTCCAATCATGACAGGCTTGCTATAGACGTGCCAGGAATCAGACGGGAGAAGCTATTAACGAAACTTTTTGTGTGTGTTTACAACCCGAAAAGTTTTATTGGTGGTGGTTCGACACTAGAACTCAGTAATTTGAGAGTTCGTGCTTCAACAGTTTGGTTACATAGCCGAGGCCGTACCCCAAACAACAGGCTGTTATTTCTTTAGACATAATCAGCATTGGGGGAAAATACATGCCCACACGACATGAAGGCATTTCTCTAACCCTACATGACTAAGTCATGTTTCTAGGAGCCAGTTGATGTGATATGAAGTCACAAAGTAATCTGGTCAATACTGTCACGCTCAGATCACATCAAAAGCTGTTTGATCAGCTTCATAGGATCTACGTTCAATGGATCCCTACACTAAACCCCAGTCAACCACATTTCATAGGATCTACGTTCAATGGATCCCTACACTAAACCCCAGTCAACCACATTTCATAGGATCTACGTTCAATGGATCCCTACACTAAACCCTAGTCAATCACATTTCATAGGATCTATGTTCCATGAATCTTACATTAACTTAAGTGCTAGTCAACCACAATAACAAAGCTTGTGATGATGCAGCATTAAATTATATGGACACAAGCCGCATAACCTTCCCATATCGTTTGAAATATGTCCCATCACTAACGCCCCCCCCCCCCCCCGATGTGAGTAAATATACGGTAGATGAAAGGGACATGAAGTTGTCACGTCAAACCAACGCAAGTACTTTTATCTTATCAAAAGACGGCAATGAAACCTCCCCCCTTCTTCTCCCTTAAGAAAATTGTTTAAACAGAAAATGTCCCTTTTAATCTCTAAATATAGCCGGGGTTTGTCTATCGCGAGCAGTACCACTAAACTGCTAACATTCAGCTGAATAAGTAGTTCATGACGCACTCCTTAATATCCGTCTTTACGGTCTGTATGAGCTAGTCAACGTACATTGAATTTTATAAATGGGGGTATCCGGTTATTATAAAATCTTGACTGCACCATCTGGACAAAACGAATAAATTACGCCTTGGGCCAATAAAGATTACAAAAAAAAAAAAAAACCCGCTTTACGTGAAAATTGAGTGTTTGTTGGAATGACATTTAAAAGGCCGGGTCTTGTTAATTAAAAGCGTGATCTATATGGCCTTTTTTTAACATGTCACCATTGAAGAATTAATTCAGTGGACCACTTTTATCATGTAAATCATTGGATTCAAAAGCTGAATAGTTCCTCTCTGTGACGTGGTGTGCGGAGCTGTAATCCCAGGCCTTTGGAGCGTACTGATGAAATATAAACAGGTTCGGTCCACACGCTCCAGAGCGTTCTAATTGCCTCCTGCTTAACAGACCATCTAATTAAACTTTGACTTGACTGACTGGCCGAGGGCTTCAACAGGTTAGTTTAGGGTGGATATCCCCCCATATAGACCAGTCGATCGGTCTTATTTAATTGTCGGACGAGAGGCTAGTGCTAAAGCGGGCCCTGGTTAATTAATTAGACCAACTTAAGTTGTTTAAACGAAGCAAACGTGACTTGCAAACATAGCGAGGGGCCAAGTCAGATCATTACCACGGCTAACATGGTCTTATTGTAGTCAACACAGGACAACAACAGATGGAAATTTCGCATATACCACACGGCCTACCAAACCAGACTAATATGCTGCTGACAGTGGCCAAGGGAAGCCGCTGCTGACAGTGGCCAAGGGAAGCCGCTGCTGACAGTGGCCAAGGGAAGCCGCTGCTGACAGTGGCCAAGGGAAGCCGCTGCTGGCAGTGGCCAAGGGAAGCCGCTGCTGACAGTGGCCAAGGGAAGCCGCTGCTGGCAGTGGCCAAGGGAAGCCGCTGCTGACAGTGGCCAAGGGAAGCCGCTGCTGGCAGTGGCCAAAGGAAGCCACTGCTCACAGTGGCCAAAGGAAGCCACTGCTCACAGTGGCCAAAGGAAGCCACTGCTCACAGTGGCCAAAGGAAGCCACTGCTTACAGTGGCCAAAGGAAGCCACTGCTCACAGTGGCCAAGGGAAGCCACTTCTCACAGTGGCCAAGGGAAGCCCCTGCTCACAGTGGCCAAGGGAAGCCACTTCTCACAGTGGCCAAGGGAAGCCCCTGCTCACAGGTAGAACGACTGAAGCAGCAACATCGCCAGTCACCACCTGTCACTTTAATACTCTGCGATAGTTTGAAAACATTCCACAATCCGCATATTTCCGCTGCGCAACGTTCAAAGCAGCAAGGATTTGTGAAGGCTCAAAGAGAATATACGATTGGCTCTGGGCTGCCTATCAACCACAGAAAACCAGGGCGTCAAACTTCTTGAGCTGTGTAAGGCGATATGATTTTATAGGCGTCATCACATGCCAGTGTGTTTAGATAGGCTGGTGGCTAGAACCGATTGGTTAAACCCGTGCCCTATCAGTACCACCCCTAACTAGTACTGAATGGACCACGAACAGGTGGGGAAATAAACAATCTTGTCATTTTTAATACATCTAGGCCAGGGGGGTGGTAAAAACACATCAAAGTAGAGCAAATGAAGAGATACACTGGGTGATCAATAGACTCGAGTAGGTCAATATTCAACACAAGCCTCAACACATCAGACACTCTGTTCTTACCCTGTCAATGGCTCATTATCTTCATCACAATCTTAAAACACCAGGGGTGGTTTTGTAGCTTCAAGCGACAGAAATTGTTGGGGGGGGGGGGGGGGGTGTATCTTATTCAGCCTATGCTTTTGTTAAATTATAATGGATGTTTTTATAATAAGGGCAACAATACGCACTATACAGTTTCAAGTTTTAAAATGCCTCTTGAAAACCAGGCTTGCTATAAACAAACAATACGTGATCGCGTTAATGTTAGAACTTTAAGCCATTCATTTGAGACTTTATGTGGCAATGGGACACTAAAAAAATTAGTGTCGTCTGCTGCATGAGACTCGGGTTTTGTATTACAGCCAGGTACATGTTTTAACACAACTCATTTAACTTCTCTCCTCGGCAGGAAGGAATGGATGAACGGCCCCCACTTTCCAACACAGTGATCACACGACATGACATAAAAGGGAGAGCAGTCACAAGCCAGAGTATAATCGGTGCTAATGGACACTGGCACAAAGTACGTCCCTCCAACCATTGAGAGCGTCACAATCAAGGGAGTGTATCACTCGCGCAACATTTATCCCCCCTATCAAACCGATTCTATTCCCCTAGGTGGAGATGATTGGCAATCGCAGATGTGGTGTAGACGGGTGGGAACAACCATCATTCTATCGTTATCTGATGTATCCAACAGCCAACTCTGATGACGGCAGCGAGATGTGTGCAGATATGTGGCAGGGAGGGAGAAAGAAGAGAAAAAAACTCCACCATACAGGATTGTACATTAAGATGAAAACGATATTATGTGGGTAGATCGTAGCGCGGAGAAGACGTCTGTAAGGAATCTACAGTGTTGCCGGGTGTCAGCAGACGTTTCCGGCTGAACAAACACTGTCAGCTGGGCGCCTGTGGCTGGGGGGAGGCGTGCGCTGAGGTAATTAGAGAGAACAGCCACGCTTTAACGCTGCTGTGATACTCGGGGTAAACTCAAACAAACGCCTTATCAACTTTAAATTTTTTCCCCCTTCCAGCTAGATGTTTCGACTAGCCTTTGATTTACACAGACAGGCCACTCGCTACTTCCAAGCCAATAACCAGTTTTCAAAGCAGAAACACTGCAAGGCCTGCAGTTTGCTGTGTGATGTAGTAGACCCAGCCCTGTTGATTACATTCGCAAAACCCCGGGAGCTGAAGTAGGACCGATACTGTGGTCTACTCCAGATATCAATCAATTTCACGGTCCGTGTGTGCACGGCAGAATATCTGGGACGAATTAAAATTGCTAGGAAGGGATCGTTGGAGTATTTTCATACAACAGAAGGGATCGCTCAAGTATTTTCATAGCACAGACCTACACAAAAAAATCGACGAGGTTAGAGTCATCATTACTTGTTTGGATTACCTCTCCGCAATTCAAATTATTTCAACGGATATTCGGATTACATCATTCGCCATTCGGATTATTTACAGTAGATACGAGGGTTGTATCACGTGATCGCTGCTTGTCACTCAATCTACGGGTCCAGATCGGTGAGTTTTGAAACTTTCTGTAATTTGACATCTTAAATTAATGCTTGCCAGCACCAAACTTTGATAGGCGATTACGACTTGGCTCCCAGTAAACAGGAAATGCGAAACAAAAACTTGCGTTAAGCCAATAATTGGGCTCAGTTATTAGGAGAAAATCGATACAATGTGAGGTAACTAAGACACTTGATATCATAGAAAACATACTAGTAGAACCTCGGGACCAAAACAACATCATTTCCCCCCCCCCCCCCCTCTTTCTCAGCTCATTCACGAGGCTGGCACTAAAACTTGGGGGGGGGGGGGGGAGCTTGAATAATATTGTTGCAGTTGTGTATTTGAATACGTTTGTATTTCTAAGAATCCTTCAAGCATTAGCAGTCACAGAGAACAGTGTGCGTGGCTCACCATAAGTTCTCCGTGTGCCACATCAAGATTGAGCGCAGTCACAAAGTACAGTCCATTAGACAGTGTGTACAAAAACTAGTAATTACCTGAGGGGGAAGTGACAATAGCGAGGGGTAGGATAGGGGGTAGTGTAGGCAGCATGTCAAATCATGCAAGGGTCGATGGGGGTAGAGGAACACGTCAAGAGATAGAATGGATCAATCGTACAAGTGACGGCACATCTATCCATTATAAACAATCAGGAAGGCTAGCGGGGGAGTTACGTTACGTACACAGCTTGAACAACCAAACTCTTTCCACAGGAACCCCCCCCCCCTATCTATTATTTGGAGCTGCATGGATTTAGACTTAAGTTACGAGATTCTTATTTCATAAGAATATTTTAATGCATTAACTTGTTAGGCGATACCTAGCCCACACTGCCCCCTGTTGCTTGATTTAATCTTATTTTTATTAACGTTGGGAAACCTCCCCCCCCCCGTATCGTGATTTACACCAAGTCTTTATTATCATTATTACACCAAACATTGCGAAATGAAATGATTGATAGCTTTAATATAAAGATGGTCGTGTCTACAAGTTTTTAAAGACGTGTATCGCTACATCTCTTTAATATGCACACTGTGTAAACATGCATGTTACGAAACACGAAGATTAAATCTAATTATATTGCTTGTCATATAGGAAGATATAAATCCTGAATTAAATTTCTTCCTCAAATCTAAAAACAACTTTAAAAAAATCATATAATTAGCTTACTCTTTAAATCATAACATGAACCACCCCCCCCCCCCCCCCCTCCACCATCAGTGCACAATGCAACTACTCTATTTGACCCGGTCAATAAATTATTTCTTTAACTCACCAGACTATATAAATGTTTCAGCTAAAGAGTTCAATCTCCCCAGACTACATAATGTTTAAAAATGTTTCAGCAAAAAAGTACAATTTCCTCATTAAGGATTCCTTTAATGTCAACAAAACATCTTAAAGCCAGATTTCTCTTTGAGATAATTGTAGGAAAAAAATGTGTCCCAGTTGAAAAGATTTTTTTTTATGTGGACATCAAAGAGAAGCTTTCCTTGATTGATTCTAGAAGATAAAGTCAAGCTTTCCTCTCTTACACCTGTGTCTATATACTGGCTCTAGCACTTTATTCCCCAGCTGGAGAAATTGATGTAGCACTAGCTACTGACACATCAAATGTCTTACAACAGTTGCTAAAACATTTATGTTGGATGCAGCTGGGGCTATTAAAACATAAATGTTTAATGTAACAGTTGCTGGTAAAACATCAATGACTGATGCAGCAGTAGTTATCAAAACATTGATGTTGGATGTAGAAAATTATTCTGGTCTTTTCCACCCATGCAAACATTGAAGCATTCAAACATTTCAGAATTTCATAAATATCACACATTAGCATCATGAATGCCAGATTTTACCATCATGACTTACAGGCTAACAGTCAAACACGGAATTCAGGATTGGATAAGAAATTCCAGACTCTATGAGTCAGAATCCACCAGCCTTCCACCCCTCCAATAATTAAGACATTCTTACATTCTTACTACTGACATCCACACCCTGACCCAGTTGAGAACAATCCTTGTTTTTAAAAAACCTTCTTATATTTATAGCTTTAGATAAATAAATATTCACCTTCAAATAATAGTATAATATATATGTATATATTTTTAAAAAGAGATGGGAGTAGAAAGAATGTGCATGCAAAAATAAAAATACATGTCATAGGAAATACTGGCAGATTTCAAAGAGTAGCAATGTGCCTTGGACATTAAATATTGTGTAAGTTATTCAGTAAGTTATTCTCAAACAGAATTTAACTTTCAATACTCTACAGACAGAAGAACTCCCTTGAAAATCTAGCATGCTATAAAGTTTAAAAAAAAATAAAAACATCTAATTATAGAATCAATTAAAAACTACTGCATAATCTAGCACTGAACAACCAACAGTAAACGTGTACTAAAACTAAAAGTTTTCATGTTGGTTTTTACAAGTGTAGAAAACAAGCAATTAAGTTAGGAAGTGAAGTGTAGTTCAATGTAGCCCCAGGCTAGGTTGTCATACTGACAGGGCTGGTTATCTCCCAACACAGGAGAGTTATTGATTCAGAATGTATATGGTAACAAGATAGGCTGGCCTTTGTGCTGAGAGAAAGATGAACTACTGCAAATGATTAGCTTCAGCTGATTGTAGAGATTAAGTTCTTCTGAAGATCTAGGATTATAAACATTTAAAACCTTTTAGCTAGGGAATGAACTTTAACCCCTGACTGATTTATGATCTAATGAGATTTATCTCAAGATTTACAGCATACATTACAACCTCAATATATCCTTAAGTTTTTATGAGAAAAAGCTACTACCCTTTCGGATTTTATAAAAAAAAAATATACAACTTAGTAAATCAGTTTTTAAATTATTTTTATATTATGACATATATATGACAGAAGTGGGAATGCCTTAAATTATCAGAAGTTAGCACTGTATTACTTCACCAAACCAATTTTCAAATGCAGTTAATTTACAACTTAGCTAGCTGGATCAGTATTTAAACCTCACCCGTAACCTAATCAATTTAGTTGGAAGGGGGGGGGGGAACGTGTTAAAAGTGTATCTTAAGATAAGACTGAAATCAAGATGAAAAAAATAAAAGCGACAAATCCCAAAGCAACAACAGCAATAGCTGGTAACTGCCAACAACTATCTTGATAAATCCAAGAGTATCTCCACATGTGTTAGAGCAGTCAGCTTAGGGGTCCACATGTGTTTTAGAGCATTCAAGCTTAAACGCTTGCATTGATCAGATGGGCACTAAACAATTATATTTATCAAGGAGATTTCTTTTGATGTCAGGAATTTTTTTTTTTACCTAAATCATATTAACATTTATAATAATTATTTGACTTTTTTTTTAAATGAATGAATAATATAATAATGTAAGAATTTATTTTAACAGATGGATAGATAGTTGGAATGAATCAAGTTTTTATAATATGGGGTGAATATGATGAGAAAGATAATGATTATGTCAATGAGACAATAACGACGACGAGGTGAAGTTTTACCTAGGAATCCATGATGTAGTTCATCTGTGATCAGAAATGTGGATAGCAATTTACTAATTTATGTCTCTTTACACTCAAGTGTAACAGAACAACAACAAAACATGTTTTACAGAGGTGCTGCAGTGAGGTTTTGTGTACAGTGTGGGCTGGGGTTAGAGTGGTGTAGCAAATGATGTTTTCTTGCAGCATTTAGACAGAGCTCAGGGATGTCCAGCCACACGACTATTTAAATCTGTTTTTACAAAACTGCCTGGATTTATCAAACATTAAAAGCACCTGAGATGCCAGTGATAGAAACGTTCATGCCTTTTATTTAGCACACACAAACAGAAATCATTTGCAAGGGATTTTTATTTCATAAATATCTTAAAGTTTTTAACTTTTTTTTTTTACACAGGAAAAACCTTTTGAATCCCACATAACATTTAATGTCATTACAAATTTGTTTGTTTCTGAATTTTTAACTCACATTTGAATAGCTTTCTTCTAAAAATCAATTTCTCTAATGGTACAGAATAAATCTAAAATAATTGCGATCTTTTTTTCCCCTATGAAGCAAACTTGTCATGCCTATATGAATATTTCACTAACACTTTTGATAGGTTTCTTTGTGTACATTAACAATCTTCCAAAATCCCAATAAATATTGTCATACAAATGTACAATAAAACAGCTTTTAAAATATTTTAAGCACTTTAATTGTGAATAGTCACAGGGGATGAATTTCTAATGACAAAATGCACAGGAGTTTACAATAAAGGCAAATAGAGCCTGCATCAGAATAATGTGGAAAGCAAAATAAAGAAAACAGCTTCCAAATTGTGTAAATTGCATCGGTTAAATCATGAAAACAGCTTCTAGAATGTGTATTTACATCAATCAAAAAGTAATAATGTAAGGCTGTTTAGTTTTTGTTTTCATACAACAATAGGAAATAACATTTTGAAATAGGCACACACACACACACACAAATGAGCTACATGCAGTCTAGTAGTGGATATTAACCTAAAGTTACTTAATTAAAGTGTTTGTATAAAAAACTTTTTTGCTAACTTTCATGTTGAGATAAAAACACATTGAGTAGATATTTTAAGGAAAAATTATTAAGATGCTAGATCGTGAAGAACTTAAGTTTGATGCCCACAACAATGATTAGTAAAATATTCAGAGTTAGTGTAAATTTTAATGTGGTTCAGCTTTTGAAATAATACAACAAACTCCCTAGTTACTATATATTTTGATTTGGGTACATCCAGTGAAGTCATATAACTCCCTAGTTACTATATTATATATTTTGATGTGGTACATCCAGTGAAGTCATACAACTCAAATGCACACTTGTTCAAGCCATAATGTTCACAATCCTAAGCTAGTAGAGCCATAGTGAAAGATTCTACAAGGGTGGAGATTACAAAGTGACAGCACTATCACATACTTTACAGTGGGTGGATCTGACTAACTGAATCGTGAAATAAACTAACCAAATAGTACTTGTAAAAACACAGGCAGAAAGTTATCCTGACTTTAATCCTATCACAGGACTATAGCCCAGATACTAACATTCATCCCAACCCTAACTCGTGATACAATACACTGTTATCCCACCTGTATTTTAACAAATACAAATGATTAGACTAACATGCATGAAACAATATTTTAACTCTACACTGTTTCTAGTAAAAATATTGTAAAAATAAATTAGCTAAGTATTTCAGCAGAGCAAATTCACAACTGCTAATATAACATGCATGAAGAATAGCTAATGCAAGCTCTATCCACTGTATATAATATAATATAAGAAGCAATTCCAGAAACTTCCACCATTCCCTTACAAATCATTTTCTGTATGTGTGCTTTATGGTGAGGGGCGTGGGTGAGTGTTTTTATACATGTTATCGGCATTATATTAGCTGATTAGTTTTCTAACACAACCATAACTATTTTATTGGCACCCCAGCTAAGCCATAAATCAAGCTGTTACACACCATTCTACAACTAAACCTTCAGTCTTAAGGATTTAGCTTTAATTTTTTTTTAAAGTTAAAAATCATCAAGCTGTTTTTTAAAATACAACTATTAATATAAAATTATGACAACAGAAACTATACGTAACCAGTCCTCTATTTTTATTATTTTTGTTTTATTTGCTTACCTGGTCGAGGATCCATACTGTTTGGCATTGGCATTTGACCACCGCCTGGCCCAGGAGGCTGCAAATTTATAAAAAATATTAACCAAAGTTTGAGACACTTTATACTATTTTATATTGTAAAATAATAAGATGACTATTTTTGTTCATAGGTACACATCATTTAGAGAACAACTCCCTGGGATTTGGGATCAAAGGGCAAAGTAAGGTAAAGTGGCTCTATTTAATGTATCTGAATCTCTTTCTCCCTTTATTGTTCATATAAACCCACAACCCTATGATGACCCTATCTGTAAACCTAGACTTAACCATGACTTTAAAATGCAAGGGGAGATAATAAACAATTGCCAAAACCAATGTTAAGCCAAAACTGATTAAAGAAGAATGATCAAATTTAAATTTAGTCTGATATCATTTTCACAACCACTGAAGTTTTTTTAATTTAGCGTATCATTTTAATTCAAATGAAAATAATCTTATGCATTGATTCCAGATAACTAACTTAACTATTTTGAGAAAATTCATTGAGAGCAAGCAAAATACTTTTTAACTATGGATTATTTCAAGTAATTTTGTAGTAAATCCTTTAGCTGGATCTAATCTTCTAAAAATTTGACAATTTTTTTTTACACATGTGGGGTTTTTTTAACTCTAAAGGCAAAGGATTTTGTTAGTTCTGTATGAACAAAGACCGACCAAGAAATATTTATTTTGAACTAAATAAATAGTGTATGCCTAGCATTCTAAAACAAAAAAAAGCTCTTTTTATCAGTTAGTAAAAAATATTGCCTGATTAGGAAAACGTGAAAGCTGTATCAACATCTTAAAAATTAAAAATTGTAATTGTAATATTAACCTTTTAGAAGTTAAATACTCAAATGCTACGATTATTTATAATGAGCCGGCCCGCTGCATAACATACGCCGCTATTTAGTTGTTTCTAATTTTCAATAATTCATAATTTGTGAATTCGACAGTACCAACGCTGACACTGAAAATATTTCTTTAAAACACTATAAGTAGCTCGTTAAGGACCATAACCCCCCCCCCCCCTTCCTCCCCCCCCCCCCTACGTTTAAAATCGTTGGCTCTGCTTGTAAACATTTAGAGTGAACACAGCTCACTAAAACCATGTAGGGGTGGGGAGGTAGGGAGAGCGTTTGCAGCTTGTTTTCTAACGGCTCGAAGAAGAGAATTATATATATAGATATTCCCCCAAACTTAGTCCAACTAATTTTACAACTATTAATACTCATAGGATATCCTAAATAATTATATTAATGCTACTAAAGTATACTAGTGCATACCCCTGTGTTAAAATCTACTTGGTTTGGCATTCTGACTGGTACTCTTGGCCCGCCTGGGTATCTTGGTGACATGAAAGGCTGAAACAATAAAGTAGAGTCGTCAGTTTAAAACCTAGACCTGCATCTGGTTACAGCTGGCTCTTCTCTATACATGGACAGACATGCAGGGTTTGGTTTGACCAGAGCTTTAAGTACATCTTTCTTCAAATTTTTCCTTGGGCCGTAAGTTATTGTAAATGAGTTGTTTTGATAGACACACAAACCAAGTAGGAACAAAAATTAAGAGGTATGATGACACAAAGCTATATCCCTTTTTAATTAAAAATTATTCATTGAGGTTATGATGCTCTCTAAGGCAAAATGTTAAAGTTAAAAAAAAAACTGCATCATATAAAATATTATAATAAAAACAACAATTAAAAGAACTGGATTTAAAAATGAAACAACAAATACTCAAACATATGCCTAACTATTCAAATCTATTTATCATGACAAAAAATAAAAATAAACAGAAGTAAACACGAGAAATTGTTTTAAAAAATTAATCAAACATTACAACATTTTTAATGTGTCATCTAGAGATAGGATTTTTAATTAGTATATTACTTGAATTACTAATTACTTTTTAACTAGTTCAAGAAAGCAATTAATTTTAAAGGAATTAGGCTAGTGATAATGTTATTGGCGAACGACTTAAATTAAACCTGAATGACTTAGATTAAACCTAAGTTATATGAAGCTTGATTACTGAACAAAATTTTGAAAGAGCATTAGCATTATAAACAGTTATAATTTAAAAGCACAATTAAAAAAAAACAACAGACTAGTTCAAAGAATAATGTCAACAACAATCAAACTAAGAAAAAATGTTATTTCAACAGTGAACATTAAATTTTATCATTGACTCACGATAGCAAATAGCTTGTTTAATTACATGGATATTAGTTTAACAGCATCATAAAAACAATGAATATTTTAAATTAAAAATTTAGATTCACAAGTTTACAACAACCAATATGCCGAACTTAAAAAAAAACAACTTAGAAGTCAGAAAAATAAATTTCACAAAAAAAAAAAAGGTACACTTAAAATGAACATCCAACTCATTAGTACAATAATAGATAAATGCACGGTTTATTAATTCATAAGCGGTAAGGGTTACGACAAATTAGCGCAAGACAGAATAGTTAAACATATTACAAAAAGTCAAGAAAAGGTGAACAAAAGAGACAATAAATGACAATATCGATGCACTAATGTATGCACTGTGTGTCACTTCAGCAGAACAGAAAATACACGGAAGAGTTAAAACAAGTACGTGAAAAAACAAAAAGGATGAGTAATGAGGAATAGCAGGATTTTTGCAATGGCTAGACACTACATCTGAGCGGACATGAGCCGGTTGAGGGTGTTCCCTGCTCTACTCACCTGGTTCTGACCCATCATGGGATTGTGAGGTGGCGGGTGGGGGGATGGCTGGGAGGCGGGAGGCTGCAAACGACACACACACAAGGGTAGAGACCAGCCAATCAACAATCAAAGTTTACTATGACCCATCTTACTTAGGAAAGGGAGATGGTCAGGACAGAACAAACCTTCAAACACCACAAGACAATCAACCAATAATACACATTATGCAACCAATGCTATCAACTCTTTTTTTTATCAATTGACATTCATACATCAAGCAGTGAAATTTTACAATGCAAATTTTTTTAATAACACCAATACTAAATCTAATGATGGTTGTAAGATCATAATCATATGTATTAAAGCTAACAATATATGTTTTAGTATTACTAAAGCTACAAAAATATACTAATTTTTATGTTTTACTGAATACTGCAATAAATATTTAATAACTAAGTATTAAAATATAATATAGATAAATGAAACATTTTAAAAAGTCTTTAAGTAAATCTAAATATTTAACAAATATAAAAACTACAATAAATATGTATGTAATTATTTTTTTAATTGAAGCAAAAAAAAAATTTTTTTAAATTTATTACAACCCTTGTCCACTCTACACTCTGTGTAATAAAAACAAACTACAATGACAGTGCATGTATGCATGTGTGTATATACATACATACGTAGGGAATGACAATTACACTGAGATATTGGTATCCTAGATTATTTTAATCTGAAATACTCCCGTAAAGGGATGTAACTCCTTTAAGGAGTTTAAAGACAGATATTTAACGTGTTGTCTCCCCTTGGTTTTGAAAAGTGAACAGGGTGCTTTGTTAAGGCTCTACAATTAGTCCTAAAGTATGTTCAAGTTGTTTAGAAATAGCAGTAACATTATAAGAAATATCTACAATTTATAAAAATATTTTGATACTGCTTTATTTTGTTAAAAATCTTACATTGTGATAAAAAATGGAACACAAATGCTAAACAACACAACAATAACTAGATAGTTATGTGAAAATTAATCATTTTTAAATTACTTCAAATTGAACTAGGACTGCTAATATGTTAATATTTTTATTTTATTTTTTACTCACAGGAAAAAAACTTGGTGGTATTGGACCTCCAGCCATACCATCTTGTGGAGGCATTTGACCCAATGGACTAGGAGCGGCTGCGTTCTAAAATGAAAGTAACATACAAAAGGTGTTATAATCATATAATGGCTCTGATTTGAAACACTGATAGATAGATGTAATAGTAATATGACAATATTGTTAATAGTTGAATTTTTACTTTGGAGTGCTAAGCCAAACTCATTAATAGGAAATTAAACAAGACTAAATAATCTTGAAAACAATCTTCAAAATAAATTGGCTGAAAATTATCCTGGCACTTTAGGCAGTCACTCAGGCAAAAGTTTTTGGTTTCAAATCATAAGCAATAATGTTAATCTGAATTAAATTGCGCACAATTTTAAGCAATAAAAAATTAAGTGTAGGTATTAGTGTAAATTTAAAAATTTTAATTGTTTAAAGTACTAAACAAAAAATTGTTTAAAGTACTAAACAATAAAAGCCATATATTTTTTATTCAATTAAAAAAAAGTAGATTGAAATTTTACTTTATGTTTCTGCAACAGCAAACAGAAACTACACAGGTTAAGTAAATTAAAATTTAAAAGTATTGTTTTAATTGAGTATCAATATTAAATTGTTAATTGGGTGCAAACTAAGTATTTGTTTTTATGTGTATCTCTTGTGTGTTTGGGTATGTTTTCATGTTTTAAATAATTATTTATTAACACTGTTGTATGCCTACTACTTTGCACTGGGGAACATGCGAGATCAGAATATATTTCGTTTCAATACAAATTTCCTTCCTAGTTTTACAACTGGTTCCTAAACAGGCTGTTCTGAAAACGATACTTCCTCCCGCCGCACAGTTAAATTGCGGTTAAGTGTGTATAACAACTACACACTTCGCGGCCATCCCTGACCCAGCCGACCTAGGACTGAACCATCTGAGAAATTAGGGGTGTACGGTTTTTATTTGTGAGCCAACTGGCCATGAGTAGCTTACGAGCAGCAACATTTTAAAGTCGTGGAAATAAGAACATAAATATAATTGAAACCGATGCGCATTACCTGAAAAGTCAGTCAGATTTAGGGATGTCAGTCAGATTTAGGGATGTCATTTATTTATGTCGATTGCTGGGTCAAAACACAAAACAATAAAAGGCCTAAGCACGAGTGATAAGTTCATAAGGCACTAAGAATGCGATCGTAAAGTAACAAATCTGTTAGACTAACATGTAGAACCGTCTATTTATGTTAAATAATTTAATCATTACAGTTTAATTAGGACAACAACTATGATTTGGAACAGGAACACATTAATTGCGTTTGTTTCTTTAAATTATCGATCTATAGAAAAGGTTCTCAATATGTTACTAAATACCCCAAGAAACAAACGTGATACAATAACAAAGCAAATGAGATAAAAATGTGAAATATAATATAGAGAAGAAATATCCAAGTATAGGTCTAGTAGTGTAACAATGTATGTACTTTTGGAGAATTAACGTCGTCACACAGATAAGCAGTATTTGAATATTTGATTAAGCTGAACATCATCAAGCTATGAAGTTTCAGAATAGGTGCCAGAGGAACAAGTGTTCGCCCTTCTGGGGGTACCAGGACTTTGGTCATTTTGGTGAGCTAAACCACCACTTTCACCTCGGCAGGTGTTAAATAAATGCAGGTTCACGACACGATGAAACCTGGGCCTACTCCAGAAAGGCGAATACTTTAACTGTGTACTCTTAGGGCCTTCACAGGTAAAGCCTCACTAATCCAGCAACTCCGTGCAGTATGGAGATTATTGGATGCTGGGCCTATAAAACTTATGTGGCATGCTGCTAGCAAGATTCAGACAGAGTGTGAAAGTGCAACATAAATGGAGTACAATCGTGACTAATGAAGCGAATGATGAAGTCATATAAGGTCGGTGGTGTTCGCCTTATAACAGGTCAAGGCGGGGGACCATACACGGTCGCTATAAAGTCCCGCTCCTATCAGAAGAGGGGGCCAAACCTGGTCCTTCCAATCACATCACATAGAAGAGAGATATTGTGCCGGTTGATGTGGACCTTACGTTCCGGAGGTCGGACCAGTTGGATGGCGTTGAATGGCCCAAACAAAGACGTGAAAATAGCACGGGTGATACTGAAAGGCCTAACATGTTGACCTTTGTAACACACAAGTCTACGGTCTACGTTAATATAACCTACATTTTAAAATAAAACACGTTATTTCATAAACGATTGGTTGTATTTTTTACAGTAGTTTTTTCCACTGATTTTATACACGATACAGTGCGAGTTACTTGTTTCGAAATAATTGTGTGACATAGCAGTAATCAGTTTAATGCTGGAATATGAGGTTAGGGTTGGGATTTAGTCAGTTTACACGAATGAGGTCTTAGGGAAAATTTCGAGAACCGCTCATCTAACTTTGTCTTAAATTTAAGCTGGTGTGTGAGGGGAAAAAAAAGAATAGGGGAAAGGGGTGGGGTAGTTCATGAATACCTATTGATTTTTTAGGATGACGCAAGCAGCCCCTCATGGAACTTTAAAAAAACAACATATCGAATGTCCCAACAACGGTCCAGCCTAGTGCTGCCGACCACACCTGATCGAAAACTTTTGGGTTTGTCTTTTATAAGTCAAACGGTGGGTAGTCTCCGTTTTTTTAAAAGACTATATATTACGTCACAAAAACAATGACGTCAGATTGAAAATAGTTTGGCGCGCATCTTACGAATAAGGCTAGAGAACCGCGTGACAGCATGCGCCTATACTATGATACATTATTCCCTCTAATAAAGGCTCCCACTAGCGCCCTGTTCGGACATGTCACGTTAAAAATATCGCCCCGTTTCACTAACTCTCTACATCACAGATGGGTCAAATATTCGAAGGGTTACGGTATAGAGAGAAAATCGATACTCTATGGGAAGCAGTCAATGAAAATCTTTCTAGGCAAAGGATCGGGGATACGGGGGACCTCGACTCTAGGCTCGGTGGCTGACGCATTGTTCGTCAGTGAATCGTTTATAGTGTCTAACTAAGCTGGCAGCGAGTGCTGGAAAAAAAAGTTTTAGTTACGCGCGTAAAACTAAGACAACAGGCCGTCGTCACCACACACGACGGTGGCTCCCCTTTAGCGCGTGGGGTGGGAGACTGGTTGTGGGGAGGGGGAGAGGAAGTTTTAGAAAATATCGTGTTTAAATAAGTTTTGTCAATTAAAGTCATACGGTTGAGGGTAAGACAGTTAACAGTGTCAGACTTCAACTTAGATGTTAAGATGTAGAGAAATGTGTGTCCTGATAAGAACGTACATGCGTGTGTGACTGTGTAGGTGGTAAAAATATGTACAAGTCAGTGATCAGACAATGACCAGATTTACGTCAGATGTGTACAAGGGCAGCCGATGTGCGTGTGGGTGTGTTGGACAACAGCTTGTTGGTGATCAGATGTGGGAGCACACACAACTTTTCGATGTCAACTCCAGGGCACTTTTTCTGGTGTGTCGCGGGGACGCAAATGTTTGTTGTGGGGGGGGGGGGGGGGGGCAAGGGGAGGGAGGGGGAGGCGACGAAGGAGCAATGACCATTTCTGCTGGATGTTTTCGATCACATGTTGTCGAGGCTAGCGGGGGGGGGGGGGGGGAGGGGGGATGTGGAAGACGAACAAACCAATATAAGGGGCCGGGACACGATGAGGGGTCACGAAGGAATTGCCATCTTCGAAGGTGTAAAGATTACAAGGGAGGACAGTATGGCTTCCAGCGTTACAGTACGCAGTACACGATAAAATAAAACTGTGTCCTGTTAGGTGTGTCATGTTTTATGGATTTTTCGTCACTCGACATATTGAACACGAGTATGTCCATATGACGACCTAACGTCATACAGTCCTGACGAAAGGGAGAGGGTGGGGGGAGGTCTGAAACCGTCTGTGTCGTCAACGTGCTACACCAACACGTGCACACGAAAGCCACTCCATTAACCGACAAGTACACAGGGAGATAATCGTCTTAAATCTGATTGCTACACGCGTGAGGGGGACCGTGGTGAACGATGACACGGGCAGGATGGCAGATAATTATCTTACAACAAAGGAAATAAATAAAATCTTAAGTCGAGAGTTGAATGCAGTCACCAGCAGTGAGCGGCCACTGAAAGACAAAAGCGGGAAGCTGGTGTTCGCGGATCGATTACAGATTGCTGCTCGTCTGATCAGCAGACGCCAACCAGCTTACAGTAAACATCCACATTTACGCACCACATATATTAACGTTTGGGATTTGTTCTGGTTTTTTTAAATTGTTTTTTTTTTAATGGTAAAAGTTGCGAAATAAAATTAGCGTAGAACACTGGTGGTATTCATCTGATCAAACAAAAATTGCGTATTACAAAACCACTTTTAGTGTGCCCACAGGTTTAAAAAAAAAGCCGATGTTTGAAAAAAATAGTTTTACTAGTTTACAAACGATATATTGACGAGACCAGGTTTAAGGTCATGAATTGGTCAGTGCTGGCCTAACTGTGACCTTAAGTGGACCGAGATTTGTATCATGTGTAAGACCAACCAACAGGTCGATAACTTTACATAACTGCACTAGTGGGCGCACCCCCCCCCCCCCCCGACCCTCTCCATCGGCTAGAACTAAGGCCTTCGTCAGTCTAGCATTCCCTAGCTTCTATCAGACAGACCAACAAACAATAGCCACACCGCCTTCGACAGACACAGGTAAGCAAATCTCGCTTGTTGCAACTTTCCTGTCTGGGCCTGCTTGTACTAAGGTATACAGACAAAAAGCGGGAGGGGGAGTGATGGTAGCTCAAGGGGAGGAGTACTGTAGACGCGAGAAACAATTTACTGTAAACTTTCCCTTTTTCCGCCCAGCGTTATTTGGTCAACATTTTAAAACAGTAGGCCTACGTTCTTTTTTAAAATAGTTTTTTTTCGGCATTTAGTATTTATAATTATGTATATCATGAAATGTTTTAATATAAAAAAATAACAGTTGCTTCGCAGCAAATACAGTGATATAGGCTGTACTAGGTGACTTGTAGTTGTAGCAAGGTGTGGAGAGTTATGCTCTAGGTGTGTATGTGCTAAGTTAACCTCGGGCCGTGTATGTGCTGTTAGGCTCTGTCCATGTGCTAAGTTAGGCTCTGTCTATGTGCTAAGTTAGGCTCTAGCTGTCTATGTGATGTTAGGTTCAGACTATGTGCTAAGTTAGCCTCGGGGTGTCTATGTGCTAAGTTAGCCTCCGGTTGTCTATGTGCTAAGTTAGCCTCGGGGTGTCTATGTGCTAAGTTAGCCTCGGGGTGTCTATGTGCTAAGTTAGCCTCGGGGTGTCTATGTGCTAAGTTAGCCTCGGGGTGTCTATGTGCTAAGTTAGCCTCGGGGTGTCTATGTGCTAAGTTGGCCTCGGGGTGTCTATGTGCTAAGTTGGCCTCGGGGTGTCTATGTGCTAAGTTGGCCTCGGGGTGTCTATGTGCTAAGTTGGCCTCGGGGTGTCTATGTGCTAAGTTAGCCTCGGGGTGTCTATGTGCTAAGTTAGCCTCGGGGTGTCTATGTGCTAAATTAGCCTCGGGCTCTCTATGTGATAAGTTAGCCTCAGGGTGTCTATGTGCTAAGTTAGCCTCGGGGTGTCTATGTGCTAAGTTAGCCTCCGGTTGTCTATGTGCTAAGTTAGCCTCGGGCTGTCTATGTGCTAAGTTAGCCTCGGGGTGTCTATGTGCTAAATTAGCCTCGGGCTGTCTATGTGCTAAGTTAGCCTCAGGGTGTCTATGTGCTAAGTTAGCCTCGGGCTGTCTATGTGCTAAGTTAGGCTCTAGCTGTTCATGTGCTAAGTTAGGTTCTGGCTGTCTAAAGAAAAAAAAAACACCACGAGTTTTAGTGACTTTCAGCCATTACATGCCTTCACTTTAACAGTAGCACTATATGCGCAAAGCACTATAGGTAGCCTTAGTGTATGTGCATGATAGTGCAGGTAGCTATAGTCTATGGCAAGATTATCCACGTTACCTGGCATTGGTTTTGGGAGAGGAAAACAAACAATTTAAAAAGATGTTAGGAGATAGGTATGGAAACTTGTAACAATGAGAGGGAAACACTGCAGGAGATGGACTTGTCAAACATAAGCTTGTGACACAAGGCAACCACATGTATGTGTATGTGTGTAGTACATGTAGGCTACTGACAGTGTGTGTAATACCTGTAGGGCTACCACCTGTGTAGTCCCTATAGGCTACCAACAGTGTGTGTGTAGTACCTGTAAGGCTACCACCTGTGTGTGTGTGTAGTCCCTAAAGACTACCATCAGTATGTGTAGTCTGTGTAAGGCTACCATCAGTGTGTAGTCCGTGTAAGGCTATCAAGAGTGTGTAGTAACCAGAAGGCTACAACTTGTGTGTATGGCTAGCAATAATTTGTACTGCTTTTAAAAAGCCAATAATTGAATGTAATGCCTTAGTTTCTACTGTTAGTTTAAAATGTGTCTATGGCTAATACATTTCTATACTGTCAGTGCATGCAACATCCAGTACTGCATCCAATCAACATGTGATCAATAGATCTACCATATGTTCACATTGCCCCAAGTTATAGATAAAAAATACAATTAACATAGACTATATAATGGGCAACATGTCCAGAGTAGTGGGCACCATGTCCATAAGGTTGGGCATAACATCTTGTGTAATTGGCACCATTTGTCCAAAAAAGACTCAAGCACAGTATGTGTTAAAGTGCCAGAATTTTTCAAGAATGAGATGTTTTATCAAAGTATTTTTATAAGAAGCATAGGATCTAGTACACCCTACAGAATCTCTACTAAAACTAGCCTGAGATATTAGGATAATAAAATGAATGTACTTACTGGTGCCATGCCATTTACACTGTACCCTGAATTTACAAAACCCTGCAAGGAAAAAAAAAATTACAAATGAAATTAAAACCATACAGATAAGGCACAAGTTAACATTTGAATTATTTAGAGGAGACAAAAGACATGGCAGTAACAGACACATTCTATAGGTCCTATGGACACAAATCATGGCCAAAATAAAAAAGATAAACTCTACTGCTTCTTTCTAACAGATCATTAAGGGGTTCATTTTAATTTTAATAATGGTGAACAAGGGGTTACTTTTGATTATACATAAGTGATCAATAGGGTTACTTTAATTAACAATGGATACCAAAAATTGATTGAACTTAAGCCATATTATTTAGTATTAAAATAAAGATTACAAGATACATCTAATTATGACAATGCATTTGTGTCTGCGAAATAATAATATGGTACATTATTTTGTCAATCATTAAAAAAATGGGACACAAAATTAAAATAATTAACCCCAAAACAAGGACATGTAATTACAACCAATCCCCATACTGGTATCATCTTTCTCTGTGACTTTTGTACTGTTTAAATCTCTTATCAACAGTTGTTAATTTCATTATAAAGTCCAGATTGTTTCATTCAAAAAATTCTCTAGAGACCAGTACTGTCCAACAAATATTTTGAAGCATCTAAAAGAAAAAATTGGTAGAAAATCGAAGATGCCTGCATGTTGGAGCGGTAAACCTTTGTCTCTATGGTTACTTGAGCTTTTTTTTTTATTTCATGTAAACAATTTTCACTGGACCCCAAAATAATTTTATTCTTTATTTCAATATGGAATGTGGGTGAGAAAGGGTGCAAAGAGAAAACAAGTCGTCACGATGAATAGGCTAGTCCAAAGTAGAGTTTCAGAGAGGGGTGCCGGGTTCCGCTGGGAGCGCGTTGATAAAAATCAATTCTTCTTCGCCTTTGCTCCCTCTGCGTTACTGTAAGCACTATAAATATACGGGTCTGGGAAGCAACCACAACAACCGTGTCAGGATTTGATTTGACGTAACGCTGGTTGAAGAATTAAGACCTCACACTTTAAAAACAAAAGGTTTTACGGTAAAACTAAATACGTTACAACTTAAGTTTATAGTGAAATAACCAATCTATTATTATTGATTATAACGGCTAAAGGGAAAAGGAATTTCGCCCCCCACCCCCGAAAAAATAAAAGAAGCAAAGAGCTGCCACCTCCCCAATTAATGGTTACACACCACACGCTTGGAGATCCGAGATAAAATTAGCGTGTCACGAATGCTCCCACCACCGCCTCGACCCAAACACACTGCCCACAGAATGACTACTTTCGTTTTTTTTTTTCCCTTCTAAATAAACTAGTTGAGGAAGGGAGAGAGGGGGAGGGGTGGAGACTACGTGTAAAGTGTCGGATGAGGTTGTTCACCTAACTGGCACATTAGGCTACACTGATCAGGAGTCTGGGTCATTGTTGTCATTATTTGTTTAGGTATGAACACACAACACGTCAACAGTGACGTCTGCTTCGACACGTCTAACTCACGCCCGCTTGGCCCAATTATTTTCACCGTACATCCGGCTACTGCACAAAGGCATGTCTGCTACAAGACGCAACCTGCCAGGCAACACACATGTCCACACACGGTCCGGCAAAGCTGACCACCCGGGGCACGCGCGTGTCGACACATCAATGTGGGTCAACTAAAGGAAGCTGTACACACCAGGAAGCGGCGGGGATGGGGCGGCGTCAATCACGACTACAGTCGGTCGCTAGAGAATGACCAAGTGTTAGGCTATGTGGCTAGAGAATGACCAAGTGTTAGGCTATGTGGCTAGAGAATGACCAAGTGTTAGGCTATCTTGATAGAGAATGACCAAGGGTTAGGTTATGTGGCTAGAGAATGACCAAGGGTTAGGTTATGTGGCTAGAGAATGACCAAGGGTTAGGTTATGTGGCTAGAGAATGACCAAGGGTTAGGTTATGTGGCTAGAGAATGACCAAGGGTTAGGTTATGTGGCTAGAGAATGACCAAAGTGTTAGACAAAGTGGCCAGAAAACAACCGAATGCTACACATCAGATGGTCAGAGAATGACCAAGGGTTAGACTATGTGGCTAGATAATGACCAACTCTTAGGTTATGTGCTAGAGAATGACCAAGGCTTAGGTTATGTGGCTAGAGAATGACCAAGTTTTATACAGACTGGGTGGCCAGAAAACAATAAAGGCAACACATAAGATGTTCAGAGAATGACCAATAGTTAGGTGATGTGGCTAGAGAATGACCAAGGGTTAGGCGATGTGGCCAGAAAACAACCAGGCTACATACTAGATGGTCAGAGAATGACCAAGGGTCAGGCTATGTAGCTAGAGAATGACCAAGGGTTAGGTTACGTGGCTAGAGAATGACCAAGTGTTACACAAACAAGGTGACTAGAAAACCAAACACACATCATGTCATTAGAAAAGACCAAGAATTTTTAGGTGCATATAGAATGTTCCAGATTTATAGGTATCATATTTAAGCTGGATACTGGGTGCATAACTATATATGAAAATGCGTAATAAAATGGGCAGGAACAATGGTTTTAAAAACTGTAGGTTTAGGATCTGAATATCAAAATTGCAGGTTTCCAGTAAATAGTAATAGAAGGTTATACCAAACTGCAGTGTACTACCAAATTATCCGTACCATATAACAGAAAAATGGGGTGTTGTCGAATGTTAGAGCATACGACTGCTAACTTAAAAGACATGAGTTTGGATCCCAACTTAGATTCTGTACTTTAGATATCCCTGAGTCACCCCCCCCCCCCCCCCCCCCCCCCATCTCTGATATGTACAGACTGATGTTTTGGGAAAGTAAAAGCGGCTGGGAATAGTGCTGACCACACTATCACTTCATTTACCGAGGTCACTGACACAGGGGAAGCCAACTTCACCTACCCCCCTAGAATGAAAGGTTCGAAGCTGTACTTTACTCACTTTTATACAACAGAAAACAAATGATTAAATGTTTTTACAATGTGATTACAACCCTAGAAGTATTTAGTAAATTTGTACCAGTGGTTTAGTCAAGCTCATGTAAGCTTTTAGCTTGTTGATTAATCACTGGTCACACCATGATCTTCATACATATCCTTACATTATACATGAGTCAACCCAGCTGTAATTGGTACCCAAAGATAAGGCTATTTGTGCTGGTCGAGTTGTCCCTCTGAATGCCGCAGAAACTATTAATTCCACAATAAAACTAATATTATGGAATTAATAACAATGTGCATTACGACAGTGGCAAGGACAAGATATTTTAATATGGCTCCGACACTTTATTCAGGAGTGTGATTTAAAAAGTTAAATGGTCAAGTATCATGTCAGTTGTTTAAGCAAATTACAGTATATTATTAGGGCTGTGTTATGTCTGCATTGTGAGTGACCAATGATCAAAGAATAATGGTACTTGTGCAAAATGTATGTTCTATGGGAGTTAATATTTTCTTGACCTCTACATAAGAAGGGATGGTGTGATCAGCACTATGCCCATCCGCCTTTACTTTCCCCAGTGTAAGTCAGGTACCCATCAGAGCTGGGTGGACTCAGGGATGTTACAGTCACATGCCTGGACCAAGATCCGAACTTGAGACCTTGTATCACAAAATGACAGCTGTAGGTTTACAATGGAAGCTTTACAGGAGCCACTGCAAAAACTGGTAATGACCTAAGACATTCAATTTTCATCCAAGCTAACATCTATTTTAGTTCTTTTCTCTGAAACCATCCACAACAGTTATGGATACATAAACCTTCTAAAGGTGACAGTAAATTTTGGAAAAAGCTTGGTTGTACATGAAGCCACGGCATTAGAAATATTTGTGTGGTCAATCCATTACCTGGAAGCATACTTAAAACTACAAGTAAATTAACAAACTGGTTCAAGTCTCTAACATGCCCCAGAGTCCACTCATAACTAAAGGGAACCCAACATAAGCTCTGGAAGTAAAAGTAGTTGAGCATAGCACAGAAACAGGCTATGTACCCAAAGAAAAAAACAGATGAACTCTATATCATCTGTTATAAAGACAAAGATGATCTAAAAGAGTATTACTTAAAGAATCGCACAGCAATCTTTGCACATTCAGTTAGTGAAAATGTGTCTACACATTACAGGTTCAATCATATACAGCAAAATGCTGGCTTCAAAATAACAAAACAGGACCATGTTCATCTGTACAGCAGCGTAAAACAGTTAAAATGGTAGAGCAGTGGTTCTTAACCCTACCATTTTCATAAGCACACTCAACGGACTCTACACCATACTGAAAATTCTGATTGTGGATCATATGAGTAGGGTGTGTGACTTGGACCCCTGGGGTTTGATGAACCCAGGTTATGAACCACTGATCTAGAGTGAAAAGATTTGCTCTCTATACCGCAAATGAAACTGAAAGACCACGGAGGCTGACAAAGCTAGACAACTGTCCTGCATCTAAATCTAAGTTATACTAAATATACCACTGTAACAATTTCTGCTCCGACAGGCAGCTGATTACAAAACACTAATATAAATCTTATCTATGATTATTTGTCTTCAGTGAAGTAACTTTCTGATATGAAAATTATTTCATTTAGTACTTTCATACAATTTTTTGTGTCGACATTTTCAAAAAGAATCTTGAATCTGGCAACAATGCAACAGCAAAATTGACGTCTTTTGAAACAGAAAGGACAAATTGAGATAAATGACACAGTAACAGTTCTAATGTCTTTATGTACATCTAGCTAGCGATATTCTCTTTAAGCATGTCAGCGCAATCGTTTTGTTAACTACAGATTACTCTGTTCAAGATGTTTTGAGCATTTTGCTCTTTAGAGTGAATGTTCCCTAAGTAGAAATGTAGCGCTATAAAAATATTTTAAATTTAAACAGGTTCGCATAGTTACAACTCTGTATCACAATAGTTACAACTCTGTATCAAAGTCAAACTATTCAATCAAAACAAAGCTGAATGCTAACAAAAAAAAAAACAATAATAACATCCCGGGGAATTTAGATGTAATTCTACAGATGTGTGACAATAGACCAACTGTCAAAACATTTTAACACTCCATGATTTATCTCGCTCCAACCCCAGGTGTTAAACATACTAATGTCAATTAATGTGAAAAAGTATCTTGAAAAAATGCATTTTCTATAAGAAATGGACTTACATAATCGTGAAATGCTTTAGCTTCACTACTGTGATCACAGGTTTCTCTCCTCTCTGGAGCTGCACAATATAAATCCCAGAAGACACTGGAAGAAAAAAAAAACTTGTATTAAATATCATTGTTGGTGCATACAAAATCATGTTAAAACCAGAATTTTGAATAGTTAATGCGTATCTTGAATAGGAATAACTTATCAAAACAAGAAATAATTAAGATACTGTTACCAGGCTAAGATCGGAAGACACTACGAGAAAAGCAATAATGAATCTATCCATATTCACAATCCTATGTTAAGCCAGAATACAAAAAAAGGTTTAGCTCTCAAGTTCAAGTATCTTAATGTCATTTGCAACACTAAATCAAAGCAGTCAATTGCATCAGTTTAATTTAGCTTTTGTCTAACTGAATTGGCAGTTGCTTTTTGCCAGACTAACCAGAAGAGTACTTAATTTATCAAAACCCCATAATTAACATCTCTGGCTAGGTCTACAAAGTTCCATACCAAATATACAATCGTCTACAATCCAGCTCAATATAAACAATGCACATCTCTAGCCACAAACTACAACTAAGTTTGAAGTAAACAAAGTAAAGTTGCACCCCAACTGAGGTAAATGAAAATAAATTACTGCACCATTAACTAGATCTAAAACCAAGCTCAATGCAAACAAATTGTGACAACTTACCACCACCATGAGTGAAGAAACCCAGGTGGTTCTCCTAGTGTTATGTTTTTCTCCCATCTGATCTGTGAAGAAAAAAAAAGCAACCAATGTCTAATAACTGGTAAAAATTATTTATTTGGCAATTGATCATTTAATGGATAATATATTATGTGTGTATGGTATTACTGTATCTATAGATTAAACTTCAGCTGGTTAAGTCAAGTCCATGTCAAAATGTAGGCCTAAATATATTAATATTTATATAAATCTGTTTTTTATGTTGGCAGTTTTCTGTAAGAATATCCAAAACTACTAGTCTACTAGATTCTGGATCTATGGTATTGTTGTATTACATTGTGTTGTACTTGTTTCACAATCTCTTATCATCTTGTGCCATTTTTTAAAATTATTCTTGTAACTTACTTCTGACAAGAATGTCTGTGCTGATTTCTGTGCTCCAACATGGAGTAAATATTCATAAACATAAAGAGCAAGTCTGAAACAAAAGGAGGGATTTTTCAGCAAAGTACTTCAGAAAATAATTAAATACGAGGCATATATTAGTATATGATGTAATGCAAAAGACTAAGTACTATTTATCAATCAGCTGATATAAGTTGGAAATGGGACTAGGGGACATCACTCGAAATGTTTTAAAAGACCCGGTTCACTGACTAGAGACAGCCATAATCGAACAATAAAGGTTCAGTTTGTTTATTTTTTTAAAAGAACTAAATGAGCTCATAAAAAGTAACTGCAGTATGATGTATGCATGTATGCAAAGTAATACATATTTATTATTTTTTTACAAAGTAAAATAACGTTTGGTTCCAATGCACAATATTTATATTAGCGCCGACTGGTGAGTGTGTTTAATAACTGTAACAGCTTAAAAGCCGAATGTTTGAATGGGGCATCCTCGTGTGCAGGTGGAATTGTGGGGAATATGAACAAAGAAGTTCGCGGACCAGCATAAAATATGAAACAGCAATAGAGAAATTATTATTTATTTTGGAAAAAACACATCTGGAAATGTTATTTACTTACTTTTCTCTTGCTTGAGCATCCGAGGGGACAGTAGAACCTTTCCCTTTGGCGTACATGCTGAGAGCTGAACTGTCACGCACCTGTCAAGCCATCAAGGACGACACTGACCCCGTTGTCTTGCCAACATCAACTAGACCTGTCAGTTGCTTTTCTCTGATAGGTCGACGAAAATAGCACAATTGGTGTGCTGCAAAACCGAATCTCACTCGCCCCGCACAGTTCGGCGACAAAGACGCGTTGGCGACTTGCCAGTTATCTAGTTTGATCGGATCCAAGTAAAATTTTTACTCCCCGCTGATTGTTTATGATCGCTTCCATAATTTGATAAACAACTAGATCTATATATTTACCTAAATCACAACTTTTAAAATTTATATTAATAATTAAAATCAAATGGTAGCATTTATGCCTAATGTATGCTAAACTGAAATATAAATTACTGCACTCTTAATGAGCAATTATTGCTGTTATTTTAGACACTATTTACAACTGGTAAATTTGTCAGTATTTTATTTATGGAAATATTTTAAAATTAACATTTATTGTAAGGACAAATTCAAAAGCGTTATTTAAAAATATAAAAGTATGGTTTGAATTAATATTTTCTTTTCGGGTGCATTGACTACGTTGGTGATTGGCTGCAATTTTTTTAGTTGTAAAATTACGTGAAAAAATAATTTTCAACACTGTTAAAATAAAAATATACCTTTTCTTTAATTTTTAACCATCAATAACAAAACAAATAACAACAACAGAACCCACAACATTTGCTAGAGGTGCAGATTTCAATAATACACTTAAACATAGCTATGACCTATATTCCTCGAGATTTTGCTCAATAGTTTCTGAAGTGCTGCGAGACTGGTCGATGTTGGGCGAGTCTATTGCATGGGGTAGATCTTTTTTTTTCCTCTTATTTTTTTAAAAAACTATTTTACTTTTTTTTCTACTGGATTTGGGACTTTATTTTAGCACTGCAATTTAAAGAGGAAGAAAAATAAATTAAATAAGTGTTCTTTACAGAAATAATAATTATATTTAATGATTTAGCTTGATCATTCTCCTCTTATAAATTAACTTCATGTTTAAAATCAGGTCCATATAATTTTTTCCTAAAATAAATTTAGCTCTGGGATTGAGTAACAACACATATCGCAGGTCAAAATTTGAGAGTTCATACAGATCCAGTATAGCATAAACTGGCCCGACCATAGGTCACGCTGAGTAGGTCCATCTCATACTGATGGCTGCTGGTTCTATTACTCAGGGAGAGTTCTCGCGAATAGTTGAAACTTTTGTCGATATATCAAACAAAATCGATGACAAATGGCACATGGAAAGCGGGATCGTAAGTGATCAGCGTACTTTTACAAAGTCCACATTACACCCATGATTATTAATTAATAGTAACATTCATAAGATCACAATATTATAATTTTATAAATTAATACACTATAAATCATATTTAAATACCAATATGAACAAGTGTGGGATTATATTATAATAATCATTATAAGATATATTGGAATCATCTGCTACTTGCCTTAATTAAATGTTTAACATTATAATATATTGAATAATAAATCCCGCATCCAAATTTTAGATTAAATTTTAAAGGCCATATATATAATTGTAAAAAATATATTTTATGGGTGTAAAAATTAGATCTTTTGGTCTAAAAAATGAGAGGTAGGGCAGAGTGAACTCTAATGGTGTCAAACTGAATGAATAATTCAGATTCTTCATCAGGAAACACAACCGGGGAAAAAAAAGTCCACATGTAAAGACATGATTATACGCCCTTGGAATAAATTTTCCTGCTAAATTTATTTTTCTCTTACAAGTTACATTTTACATACACGTACGTAGATCTAGATCTATCTAAAATTTGTCATATTAAAGCTTTATCATTATATTTTCTTTTTCCTCCCAGAATAATACAGTTTTCATGCACAAGAAATGCAATGTAATTTCACCATCAGATGCTTCTGGATCTAGCGAAATATCAAATCCCCCAAAAAATGTTCCTTTAGAAAGACTGACTAAATGCTCAGCATCTGATCCTCATGAACAAAACATGGAAACACTTGTTGAAATGGAAATTGCAGATGAGGTTTTGTTTTTTTGTTACTTTATGTTACTGTGTTGATTTCTTATTTTTGTGTTATTTAGTGGATTATTCTGAAGTATATGTTCCTTGTTTTAAAATTAAAATCAGGCAGTTTGTGTTTCCATAATTTTATGTATTTTTTTAGAAGCCCTGCCACACTAGAACAACCTAGATAGCCAATGTTCAGTCACAAGGAGCTTATATAAAAGGAAATATTACTAATAAAGAATTACAAATACATTATTAAAAATTCAGTTATGTTTTTAAATCTATAAATTAAAGAAATTTTGTTTTCAAAAAGCAGTCAGATAGCAGCTGCATGCCATTGCACAGGGAAAATGAGACCTACACATATGAGTATCATGTGCTGTACAGTGAGAGTTATCAAGTTCCTGTATTGTATTTTAATGTTTTCAAGAAAGGTACTTGTAATATTATAATTTTCCTTTTTATCATTATTTGATCTTAAAGAATTTAATTTGATTTACTTCAAAGCAATTTACAAGTAGGCTTGATATTTTTATAATGGGAATAAATATGTCTGCTTATCACACTAATAAGAATTTGTTAATACAACTTTTGAGTTAACATAGTTACATTTAGTTAACAACGCACATTCTCATGTTCTATTTAAACATTGTTTCAGATGGTAAATTGTTGTCACTAGAAGATGTATGGAAACTTTGTCCAGTCAGTTATCAGAAATATATGAATGAAAACAAATGGGCCACACTGTCACAACAAGTAAACAAACTGTTATTAAAATCTTTTATTTTCACAGAGAAACATCTCTATCAAAAACAGTTTATGCACTCTCAATTGTTTCTTACATTACTTACAAACAGCAGTTGTTCTTTACTGAAAGTTTGGTCTGCACTCATATTGCAGATAGGTCATTGATATGTTGACATAAAAAGCAGACCAGCAGACAAACACTACACTCGATCAACCCCACTTTTTGAAGCCTAGAAAAATAGGAACTATTTGCTGGAGAAGTTAACATGACATACACTGTTTGACACGTGGAGGCTCATGGCGGGGGAGCACCTGGCAGAGGTAGAACTGTCTTTGGGGACTGCCAGGAAAATGGCTGAAGACCGACAAAAGTGGATGGAGCTTTCTGTGGCTGCCCCATGTGTCTTGGACACAAAAGATGATGATTTACTGTTTGTTTATATGTTAGGGGATCAACTTCCTTCTGTAGTGCCAGACAGATTTTACCAGTGTAAAAATTACAACAGCTGACACAGCTCAAAGTTAAATGATCTCTAAGTTTATTTATTAAATGTATAAATCAATTTACTCCTAATCCAACTCCTGTCATCTATTATCCTTAAACCTATGTATATCTTCACTCAATACTTCAACATAACTCCTACTCAATGATAACCTCCCAATTTTGACTGTCTCCTATGCTATCTTTTTCCAACTGCTTGATTGGCCAGCTGACCATGACAGGTCATCTCATTGTTTTCTACCCATTGGTTCTGTTTGACCAATGGCTAGCTATCCCTGCACTAATCTCCCTCTTGTCTGCTTGACTTGTTTCTAAAAATATATCTAAGTTTGCATCATCACAAACTCTATGCTGTAGACAACTTTTAAGAAGGTATCCTTATCTTTCTTCAACCATACAATCTTTATAATCGGACATAAATTTTATTTTCAGGAGCATCCACTCCTGGGACGACCATATTTCCAACTTCATCCCTGCCACACTTCTGACCTGATGTCACAAATCATGACCAACACAAAAACCTATAATATAAAGTCAGTACCAGGTTTTAAATTCAAATTTAAGTACAAAGTAACATTGTTTAATAAAGTTGTTTTTTGATAGCCTTGATAAAAATATTGTATTGATGTCCTTGTTTTACCTAAATCCAGCAAACAATCAATGTTTTCAAATATTTTGTGTCTTTTCTACAGCTAAATCTAGTTTCAAAATATGTCATGGATGTCCTTGCTCTACCAAAATCATTTTAATATTTTTTTTTCATTTTCAGAAACTATTTAGCTACATGGCTGAGCACAGTTGGGCCATTAGTTGGTCTTAGTATATCCCCGGCATATATTACTGATGTTTGATACGTTTTACATTAATTTTGTCCAATGACTTTTATAACCATATACAAAAGCTTTAAAATAAAAGTTATAAAATTAAAATGTATTTAGTTTAGTTTTCAGTTGATTTAGAGTAGTTTAGTAGATTACTGATTCAAAGTTTTATAAGGAACATTATTCAAATTATACTATGATACCCATTCAACACAATTCAAAGCAAGTTATTTTTTTTATTCAAATTGGCAATGTAACTGGCAGAATATTCTACAGAAGTATTAACAGTTTATTCCTCACCAATAAATGCTTTACGGAGGACAAAGTGCATACAAACTAGGCAAATATTATTGCTGCATCAAAATATTTCGCCCTTATTAATATCCTACACTAAATACTGATATCTGGCATGTTATCAATTGCAATGTCTTGTATTGTCTAATTAATATAATTATAAAAGTTTACACTTGCAAACATGGTGGTCAATAGGGCAGATGAAGTAGAGCTCACTGTTTCCATGACCTCTGCATAGGAAGGGATAGTGTGGCTAGCACTGTGCCCAGCCCACTCCACTTTCGCTAACCAAAGTCAGGTACCCATCAGAGCTGGGTAAACTCAGGAACACCCTATGGTTCTGTGTAAGCAATCATGCTCTCTACATTTTTTAAGCTTTCAACTAAACATTCGGAGTCAAATTGAAATCCTCAAATACTTCATAAAATCTTTAATAAAGCTTACTAAAGAATAAGATATTTTATATAATAACATGTTAAATCCCCACACAAACTTGATATAAATTAAGTGGTTTTATATATAAATAAAAATTAATTTTTTTACAACTGTATGTCTCCATACAGAAAAGAATAGTGCAATCTAATACAAAATAGCATACAAACTATAATTAAAATAAATGTAAGACTTGTTTTAAAAAACTTACAGGCACAATTGATTCCTGACTTACATTTTTTGGTTCTGGCAATAAAATGCACTTAGATGTTGAAAATGAGACTGGGTATTTAAATGAGACTATTCTAATATCACAATTTCAAATGGTGAGGTTTATTAATCATTTTAGATCTTAAATAATGAAAGTGAAGTGATAATGTATGTTATTTAGCAAGACAGTTGAATATAAATTAATGCATCAAATTAAAGTCCAAATCAGAATTCTGAAGTCCATACTACCTAGTAAAATAATATACCTAAAATTAAAAGATCATGTATTTCTTCTATTATTAAAAATTTCTAATCCTTACATAGTTTCCAATGATTTAAAAAAAAGTATATTTTCCAATTAAATAAATAAAATTTTGAAACCATATGATGTTTTGATTCAAAACAATAAACAAATTTACTTTGATTCTACTTCTATGATCTTATAATGGATGACATATTTACACAAATTATAAATAAATATGAAATTATTTCTTACATTTTTATCAAAGTATTAATGCTCTAGGAATGTACATGCCTTATTTGCTTAAGATCTAAATTGTACATGTATTTCTAAATGGTAGCGCTAAAATAATCAAATACTTTAAAAAAATTGGATATTCAAAAATAAAGTTTTGCTTCAACAGTGTCTAAAAATATGACAACAAATGTTACTGCAAAGCATTAAAGTACACTATTATTAAAATTATGAAGGCAATTTTAAAAAGATTAAATTGTGTGAAGGTTTTAAACACAGGTCTTAAATAATTACATTAAGAAAATAAGGTTCGAAGTGTGTGACAATATTTAATTATTTTTTTAAACAAGCGTTAGTTTCTTGCAATTTTTGAAAGCATCAGCATGGGGTTAAAAATGTAAAGCTCTCTATACTAGGAATGTGTAACAATTTAAAAGTGGTAACCATGAAACATAAGAAATAAGTGACATTCTTATCAGAAAAACTAGCGAACAAATGTAAGCTTTTTTATATCAGTTTTAACCAGAAAGTAAACTAACCCCCCCCCCCCCCCTCTTGTTATAGAAGAAAAAACTTGTATTGCCAATTTAAATAAGTGAGGGGATTCTATAGACAAAATAATTAAAAATGTATGAAATTAATATAAAACCTAAAAAAGTGGACAGTTAACCATGAATAAAAATTGGGAATTATTCTAAGGCTTGCCACGAATAAATAAAATAAAGAGTGATCAACTGCATCTCTTAAAATACAAAATACTTATAATAAAACACTGCTGTCATAGAAATTGAATTGTAAACAATAAAGTGTTATAATATTGGATTTCTGTACATTAAAAAATATTTTAATCTGTCAATTGATTGAAAAGTTGTCACAGGTATTCAATATAGTGTCAAAAATTGGTTGAGGATCACACACAAAAAAAAAGTAATATCATTGGGAAAACAGTTGCCCTTTTAAAATACTGCTAATGTGTACCATGGTGCCATGATAAAAAATATCACTTTCTAATACACATCTTGCTTTTAAATAGGGCACTTTAATAGTCCTATAACACACTGTGTTGGGTTAGAAGTAGATATAATACAACATTAAGAGATGATTTCTTTAAGATAAAACAACAAAACTGTGTTGGTTTAGATTGTAACTACAAAATAAGTTTCTTATTTATTTTCTTATGGTGACTGACATACCAAGAATTGCTCTACTTGTTTCTATCCAGCTCAACTTTATAAAGAGCTACAATTTAATTAACATCTAAATCTAGACAAATTTGAAGAGCAGTGATGCATGTCCATACCGAAAAATAATATTTCTTGTTTCCTAAATGTTAAATAATATCACAACCTAACTCATCTTATACAGAAAAGATTTTTAACCTCTTTGGATATCTGGCTGGAATTTCTAAGAAAAACTGTTTGTTTAATATGTTTAGAAAAACCTTAAATTACAACAAAACTTTTACATGGTACTGTACAAAAATTATTGCAATAATTAAGGCATCTCTCTTACATTTTGTATCATACTTTACACTAAAGTTGTAAAATACTGTTTTCTGATATTGATATATATTTCAAAACATGATTTTAAAAATATCAAAACATGCACATCAACTAATATATCAAGCACAAACATCTCCAAAAAATAAACATCAAACAAAATCAAAGTTTTCAATAATGAGAATCAATAGCAGAAATGATGATTGAGGACTAGTTTTATAAATAAAAGAAGGAAATGAAGCAAGAGTGAGCTCCCATAGACTTTATCGTCTTTATGGCAGAATTGGGATATCACATTTAGTGGAATTGGGCTATAGAAATGGTAGGTAGGTTTGTGACAAAACAGTCTTAAAATATGCTACGTAGTGAGAAAATGAAATAAAATTATCAGATTCTGATAGTGTTTTAAGAAACCAGAAATAAAATACCACTTCTGGCTGCTGGAAATTGATCAAAATTTAAAAGAAGCCTCAAGTTATGTTCAGACAAAATTACTGGGTTTTTGTCTAGGGAATGGCAAATTGTCTAGATTTGTCAAAATGCCAATTTAATACTTCCCCTATACTCCACATATGAGAAAGTATAAATGGAGTGATCAACTCGAGCTTGCAATTCAACAATCCAAAACAGTAATCAGATCAACAAATTACATTTTCAAAAGGAATGTCTTTGGTGGTGATCCAATAAATTCTTCAACATAACTAAAACAGCTAATACTACATACATATCACGTCATACAGTTGTGTCCACTAAGCTATTCTTTGGGTTTCTTTCAAACATTAAAAAGCATAATTTCCAAACATCTATATACTACTAAAAGTCAAGTTTGTTTACATGTTTGAATATTTATTTGTTTGTTTTTTTGTTTGTTTGTTTGTTTGCCTGATTGACTATCTCGCATGGTTGCACTCATCGTTTAAAGCTGTAAAATAGTATGTAGGTAGAGAAAAATTTTTGTTTTAAGACAGACTGTTAATCACACATTTATTTAAAGACGTTAATTAATTTATTGATTTATTCATTGTTAAATTAACCGTATTTTTTTAAAAATGTTAATACTTTGAATAAACTTTGTGGGGATAGTGACGTCCCTTGATAGTGACGTCAGAGTTTTTTGTTGACTCTTTAGTACAATAAAATGGCGGCGTCTATCGAAGAAAATTGTGTTCCCATTCCAAAGTTTAACGCGTTCTAAATCTAATTTTCTGTCGGTCATAACTTTAACAATACGTCCGTTTGCTGTATTTATTACGTACCAACACTTATATCAATTTTCAACTGTCTTTTTTCATTTAGTTTTACAATAAATTTCTCTAGATCTAAAGATCAGCTGTCGAAGGAAATTTATGAATCTAGCCTAGATCTAGATCTAGGTCACTAAACTCAATGTAAATTCTAAATCTAGACTTAATGTAAATTCTACATCTAGAATCTATTTCAGGCCTTAATACATCTAGAATCTATTTCAGGCCTTAATTATTTTATATAAATCTTTGTTTGGCTAATTTAAGATAAAATTTAATTTGAAAGTTACTACTTCTAGACTAGACGCTCGAAATCAAGTTGCATCAAAGTATAGTATAAAAATTCATTTGTGACGTCACGAGTAAATAGCTAAGTTTGTAGCGTAGTCCGCTCTCATGCGAGTGGTACAGGTTCTAGACCAATATGTCAATGATATTTTTTTTCAATTTTTTTTTTTTTAGATGTTAATGATAAAAAATATTTTTTTTCAATTTTTTTTTTTTTAGATGTTAATGATAAAGTTGCCTATCTGAACTTGGCAGGATACAGGGCAGGTGAAGTAGAGTTCATCTGTTTCTTTGTCCTAACCATATGAAAGGATAGTGTGGTCAGAGACATGCTCGGCTGGAATCGTTTTTTAAACGATTAAAAACATGTTGTCTGAGACTTGGCGGGACACTGGGCAGGTGAAGTAGAGTTGAGTAGGTCACATGTGACGTCAGTATATGAAGGGATAGTCCGAAATCGGTGTTTTCGGTGTTTTTAAAAGATAAGAAACATATTTTTGAATGTGGGCTCTGTTTTTGTGACGATAAGTGACACTGCCGTAGCGTAGCGAGGAGGGGGGGGGGGGTGGGGAGGCGGGGGGGGGGGGGGAGGGGAGGCGGGGGGGGGGGGGGGGGGAAAAGGGGAGGCGGGGGGGGAAGGGGAGGCGGGGGGAGGTGAAGGGGGGGGGGCGGGGGGACGTATGTTGGGGCGCCAAAATGGTTTGGAAAAATAAATTGAAAGGTTGAGGGGGTTCAAATCGAAAGTTTGAGTGGGGGGGGGGGGCGGAGGGGGTGCACATCAAAAGTTTGAGGGGGGGGGGGGTTGAAAATCGAAATCTTGGGGGGGGGGGGTTAAAAATCGAAAAGTTTGTCCCCGGGCGCCGGGAAGGCTCGCTATGCCTCTGAGTGACAGACGTGATGTTTTTTGATGGATGACCCCCGAAAGCCACAGTTATCCAAGGGATGACGGGTATTCTAGTATCTACTATATATAACAATTCATATTTTATAACTGATGATTAAATGTAATTAGCAAAATGAGTAATGCAAGCTTAAGTTAAAAAAATGCCTTCATTTTTCAAAAATAAAAGGCTAAATGCAGGTGGAAAAGGCTACATTTAAATCAACAACAAACAAATTGGAACATTTTTACAGCAAAAGCTCACAATTTTAACTGTAGAAAGAGGCGAGAAGCAAGAACTCACAGTATTGATATGATAAAGTCTTTAAAAAATATATTCACACTTCTATCAAAACGGCTACATTAGAAGTGGGTCAAATATAAGCTATAAAATTTGACCACAAATCCACCCACAGACGTTGTGACCTAAGCAAAAGCTTGTAAAAAAAAGTTCTTGCACTTCTGACATTTTATTTTACTCCAATGGCAGACTTCCCTTGTGATAAATATTTTTCTGCCAGTCCTTAAAAGATTAAACTTCAATAAATAGTTCATACCTATGCAGCTGATACATGAAATTGAGCAGTATAATTTACAAGATAGAGCACAACCAAATCATAAAAGAAAGTGCAGAAATCTTAAAATAGAAACTGCTTTACGTAAATGGTAATCCCATGACTCCTTGATGGTATATCCTAGGTAGAACCAATCGTCTTGTGAGTGTGTTGTGTATGTCTGAATTTCCACTCTTGGCTTAACAGGAAACTGTGGCTGGAACATGATGTATATGACTTGCTGGTCAGTGCTCATCATCCCCTCAGACAACAACTTTTTCACAGCCCGCATGTAGTCTTCAGTGTAAACGTACATGAGTTCTGGCCGACCCAAAAACATGGCACCCCCTACCCATGCTTTGTCCTCAGCTATAATCTGATAAGGAGATAACGATGGGTCAAATTTTCGTTGTCCACTGTAAGCTATCTTGTCCGTATCAAAGTTTGGCGGAAGTCTAATAGGAAAAATGTGAGTTTCATCCACAACACCTCTATATAAACCTATATCTAACCAACTGATATATTTCGTGTGAAACATTTGTTCTTTAATTACTTTACGCACTAGTTCAAACTTTGCATGCATCATACAAGAATAATTCTCATTGACAGTGTTGGGGTCATGAGAAGGATAGCCGGGCATTGAAAATATTTCCTTAATTCTTGGAGCTAATGAAAATGCCCACAGAGAGGTCCTATTCAAAAATATCACTTTTGTTCGCTCTGGTTTAAAATGAGATCTGAATTCTTTAAAAATAGCAACGACGTCATGAGAATCTGTAAAAACGATGAGTGGGTTATCAATCCTTCCAAAAACAGACATCCAGTTTTTGTAAAGCTGTGGAGAATATCCTCCAAGTCCAAGCTTTTTCCCCTTGTTCAATCTTCCAAGGTTGTAATATGCAGTGACGATAGTGATCTCTGAAGACAATGTGTTGGCTTCAGCCAACATTCTCTCATGGACTGCATTTAGGTCAGGATCAGATTGGTAGAGGTCGTCAATTTTCTGTCATTAATATATTACAAGATGATTATTTCATGTGTAGACATGTTTACTGTCTCAAATATAAAGACTAATTTAAAATAATAAAATAAATAAAATATTAAAACTAGTATTTCTCTGGTATAAATTAGTATTTATAACCCCTTTAAATTATGAGAAATGTTGCTGGACAACTACACACACTAGTAGTAGCAACTAAAAATCATAGCGGTATTCTAAAATAAAAAGTTACAATACTTCAATCATAATGATGACCCAAATAAAGACTAGGCAGTCTTTCCATTGGCCATAGTTCAAGTTTAAATTCAAGCACTTCAGCGTATTAATGAATGATACCACAATACAGCTCACATTGTTGGTATCATTAGGTGGGATAATAAATTAAAAGAACTATGAAGGTGTAGATATCTTAGCTTCAACAGTGAGTAATATTTAATGAGAAAAAGTTACCTTAGCTGGGCGTGAGTTCCATTCATTTCCTTCTAAGCGTAAAGCTGCATCTAAATAAATTATTAACTTTTACATAAGTGAAAACCATAAACTTATTCATTTGTATGAAGTTATAATAAAAGGTAATGTATTTCAAACAGTATTTTTAAACATGCGATGGCTAACCAGATTCTAAAGATCGGTTTACTGACTGGATTCACTGAGACTATCCAGCTCTGAAGTGTATCTCATTAGTTAGTAAACTAAAGGCTGTTTGTCATAGTGCTGGGCACATCCCCCATTCATAGAAACAGAAATACACTTCCCCCTCTGCCCCATGGAACACCTGGTACTTTACCATTATTTTTTTCGTAGTGACGAATACTCTCTACATTGATAACATAGCAGTAGGATCCAATTGCAGTGGATTACAACATCCACGTCTATTTACAGTTTGATTATTAATAATCTTTGTAACATATATGGTTACATTCAGAGTGTTTTATTTTAGAATTTTTAGTAGGTAAAGTAAGAATTGCCTTAAAGATTTAAAGCATCCATAATATTTGATTTAAATGAACAATAGCTAAAAATTTAAAATTACAGGACTGCAAATTTTAGGCAGGAAATCACAATGACAGTACAATGACTTACAATATAAGCAGTATGCATAGTATAATGCTCCAAGAACAACTACGAAAATGATTAGGCGATAAATAAAACGCTCAGAGTCTATCATCCTTGCACAATATCTAAAGAAGAAAATAGCAAAACAAATTATGAAATAAAATCTTTACATGCTATTAAAATGCAGAAATTAATGAAAAAAACATCACTTTATAATGATAAATTAGTTGTCACCTCCTTAAAAGAGATCTAAAGTGCATTTCCATCTTGTATCCATTGCATTTCAAGTGTGTTATTAAAATTCAATGACTGTAAACCAACAAAGAAGCAATAAGAGAGCTTTACTGATGTTGCAAGCTTCTGGTACATCAACTAGTTAAGAAAAAAATAGAAATATTATTTTCATCCTAGAATAAACTTTTTACTAGATCTAAAATTTAACCTGATACAAAAAAATAAATAATGTAAATTAGAACAGCATAACCAACCTGATAATTGGTTTAAATTTTTCCTCATTGGTATTGCTGTCTGTTAAAATTAGGATAAGCCTGTGATTAAGCCATCCTTATGGGTTGCATCAGAAACATCTGGAATTTGTACAAGTATTAGTATGTATTAGTTATACCAAGTTCAAGGAAATATAATCAATAAGTAGAAGAGGCGTAGCGACCCTTCCCGGCGCCCGGGGACAAACTTTTCGATTTGCATCCCCCCCCTCAAACTTTCGATTTGCACCCCCCCCCCCCCTTCAAACTTTCAATTTATTTTACCAACCCATTTTGGCGCCCCCTTAGGTCGGTGCCCGGGGACATATGTTCCCTCCCCCCCGCTACGCTACTGATAAGTAGACATAGTTAATACTAATTAATAGTAGATCCTAAGCTGGCCCTAATACTGGACAACACTCAGGTAGTAGATAGTAGTCAGATTCTGGCTAATCCTTAAGTACGAATAGAACAATAGGCCTATTTATTATTTATTTTAATTTTACAGATATTTTGTCTTTCAATGCAATTTTTCATACACTTTTCTTTATTATTTCTCGGTATAGTCTAATACCTAGAATATAGTTTTTATTATTTTCATCTACAGTAGATCTAGTAGGTCTACTTCAACAATTAGAAATAGTAATAGCTTTAGTCACTGCTGTGTGTCAAATTGAATAGGCCTTCAGTTTTTAAAAATTTAAATTAAAATTAATAATAGCACATCATGTATTACATTTAAACATTATGAGTATGACTGGCTAAAGGGCATGGGGCTTATCTCGATATACTACTGATATAGATTATAAAATCAGGACACTGTCCTGTACTATTGTATGTTTTGTTTGAATTAATTATTAAATGAAATTGAAAACGTTTCAGTTTCAAGTTGTGTACATTTTTTCCCCATCGTTCTGAACAAATATCAGACTTCAGGGTAATCTATCGTTTTGGGTACGTAAAATCGCCCGCGATTTGTAATGTGAAAAACAGGTGACTCCTTAAATTTTAATAATTATTTCACATTTTGAGGAGGATTTATGTATTAAAAAATACAAAAATGTTTCCTTGATTCATTTATGTATCTGTTTTTAAACAATTGAATTAAAACTTTTCCGTAATAAATGAAGACTAGCGATGTTTCCAACAGATGCAACCATGCTCATTTACTATAGCAGCCATCTTGTCTAAGTTTTATTTTTATAAGCTTTAAGCGCCAGATTCAGGGGGAAGCCACTCTATTTTACAAATGGCTGCTGTTTATATAGCAAACCTTGCTCTCAGACACTGCTGTTTAAAGTTAATTTCTGGCCTATATCGATATATTTAGCCATTGATTTAGGTTTATTATTCATTTATCTATAATATTTGACACAAAAGTATGACAATATACTTCTATTAAAGCCTTGACAATGAGGTAACGTTTTCGTACATAAATAGCCGCGGGCGATTTTACGTACCCAAAACGATAGATTACCGACTTCAGACAGACTACAGTTTATCCGAAATTTATCGGAATAACAATATTCAATATATATTTCTTTATTGATCATACTTTTCAAAACTATTGAATATTGAATAATAAGTTATTGATGTAATAAAGAGTATTAAAGAGTAGAATACCATTAAAATGTAATTGTAAAAGAAGTTTAATAATGACTGATGTGCAGAAGTTGGTTGTGGACAAAACTTTAAGTTGGTCGCGTCAACCAGAATTAGCTCCCCGGAAATGCTGCTAGTTACTAGGCCTAGAAAATCCATCAGTTTTAATAGTTTTTATCTGAACGGAACAATTTTAAAAGGTCAACTGATCGCTTTGCAACTAGCATTTCATCACGCGGAGATCTAGCCATATGAGAGCTTTCTACAATTGTCCATGACATTGTAGCTTTAACTATGCACCACGTGTGAAACAATTGCCATTTGTTTGATCCATCATTTCTGATGTCATCAAGTGATGCTGCATTTGTGACGTGTGCTGCGCTTGTATGAGGGAGATGGAGCGTTGAAAATACACAAAATTTGTCTTTGAGTTCCTTAAAAAATTAAAATCGGTGGAAAAACAATGTTTGTGGGGTGCTGCTGAAACTTGTTGACGCTATTTTAAGTGTTAGGATGGGGGAGGGTGATTCTGGACCTATAGTGAGTGACGCAATATGACATGCCAAAATCGGGTATCAGTTGAGTAGTATGGATCAAATTTAAAAAAATGTAATGATAAGGGGTCATCCATAAATGACGTCACGCTTTTTTGACGATTTTTACCTCCTCCCTCCCCTCCGTCACACATCATCACAAAAAGCCAGACACCCCCCCCCCCCCACTAAAATGACATCACAACTCAGCCTACAAACCCCCCCCCCCCCCCCCTCAAAATTGCAGTTGAATTTTTTTTAAACATCGATATTTTTCCAAAATCTTGTCTGTCTGTCAAAATAGAGTATTTTAATCAATTCCTATTACAATTTATTAAAACAGTTTTCTAAAACGCGAAATAACGTCTCTTACGTTTTCTAACATTGCTTTTTTACTTTCTCATATATACGAAGTATAGAGAAAGTATTGTAATCGTGCACAAAAATCACTTGAAATTTTAACAATTTTCACCGTATTACACATCAGTCCGTCATCACATCCGAAGTATAGAGGACTTATTTTAATCGGGCAAAAATTATCAATCCAGATTTATCAAAATCAAGAGGTTTTATGCGTAATCCAGTCTGAAAAACTGGGCTTTGCAATTCTGTCCGTATGTCTGTGTGTCTGTCTGTGTGTGTGTGTGTAAACACGATAACTTGAGTACCGTTACAGCTAGGTTGATGAAATTTCATATATAAGTATTTTATCAAAATCGTAGATCCGTATCAACTTTTGAGTGATTTCCGATAACCGGAAGTGGTACTTTTTCTAATCATGTCTATAGCCCGAGTTCCCATCCCCTGTTTTTTTTTATATAAGAACATATGAGAAAGTTTAGGGGAGATCACTCCCGGTTTATTTAATAATGCAAAAGTGTGACGTAGCACCATTTGAAACCCCCCCCTCCCCTCATCAAACACCGTCACAAAATTACGGAACCCCCCCCCCCCCCCCCCCCCCCCCGCGAATGTGGCGTCATTTATGGACGACACTTAATACATTATCTTTTTAAATACATTTATTAATATAAAAATAAATAGAAGTTTATTTAAGTTATTATTTTAGTGCATTAAAAATATGTTAATAAATACGGGTTTTTATGGATCTTCATGTATGATTATTTACTAATTCTATTAATTCTAGGAACGTTTGACAATTTTTTTAAATGCAGCAAATACACTTAGATCTATATCTGTTTCTATTTAACACATCACAGTGCGTTATTAGGGGCTGATTAAGTTACACTAAATGACTTCAGAACATTTTTACATTTCAACAAAACCTTTTTAAATCAAGAGTTCCTTTTTTTTTAACTTTTAGGTCTGTTTCGATTTTTTTCGGGTAGGCCTATAATAGTATTCGACATACCAACATTTTTAAAAACTATTTAAAAATATCCCGTTCTTACAATCAGTAGGCCTATACACTTTGAGTGATGTGAACATTTATTTTTGGGCAATTAATAGAGGTTACACCGGACAACAAACATCCCAGTTATGCCGACTTGGCATTATGCCACTAGGTGTGGGGGAAAGTAAAACCCGCCTAAAATTTATGGACAAACCCCTCACATCAACTAATTTGATACATATTTTTAACTGCCTTTTCAACCTATCAGCAATAATATTGGTCAAAAGAATATTAGTTCCCTATATCTACACACACATTTTCGCAAAAGTTAACATATTTTATGTAGGCCTATATTGTATATAGATTATGTAGGACAACGATAATTGCTCATAGTAAGACGTTACACTACAGTTAATGAATCACATTTCTGTATACTTTAATTTTTATTAGCTTTAAGTATATAGCTTCAAAATTCATTGGTAATCTTTTGATCTGTAAGATACATTTTAAAACAAACGAAAAATGGATTATTTTTGTGGTGACTTATTTCACATCAGGACTAAAACAAAACAAAAATACAACAAGCAATTGCCAGCAGTGTTTTTATTTCAACCTTATTGTGTACACTCTTTGAAGATTCTTTTCATTCGTTTTTAGGTTCATCTCAAGTTCTAAATGCATTTTAAAAACTGTATAAAGTTTTTTTTAAATGTAACCTAAACTATTCCCCATGATCTAAACAAGTCAGGTTTATTTGACAGTATGGCAGAAACACCAGGAAAAGATAAAATGATTTTCTATGATAAAACATCATTTTAACGCAGTTTTGGAAATTTTCATTTTTTTTTAAATAAATCCTTTAACTCACATTGAATAAAATTATTAATTTTAACACTGTTAAAAATGCTAGAATTTAAAAAAAAAATGGTATGGACATTTTAAAACGCATTTATACATTGTCAGTATAGTTCCAGATTTTTATCTTGCGTTTTGTGAGCTACTTACAATTTTTGAAAATCAATTTTTATTTTTGCAAAATCATGAAAACCATCTTCACAAAATTTCATTTCAAGCATCACATTTGATAATTTGAATATTATTACTTAATTGGTTTTATAAACTGGCCCAAAACAAATACATCTCAATAACATGAATACATCTGTCTACAAGTATTGTATTCATATAATCTTGTACACATATCTAAGACTTTCAGGCCCTAGAACAACATGATTTACTAAAGCCATCCAGTCACCGGACTTTATTTAATCCCGTTTCAAGTTAGAATAAATGTAGATTAACACAGATCATTTTGGCAAAACAAAACACAGATTTAATATAAATAATAAAGTTTCATTTTATGGTTTTAATTTTAGTGTATTTTGAGCTTAAAGATGTAGGATAATTTTTTTTTTTAATGAATTATGCTTTATGACTGTTACTTGTATTATTTAGAGTAAAACTGAAGATTAGTACAATTTATAATAATATGATATTAAATACTTTCATGAGTTAGAATATTGTCTTTATATGATTTATCTGCTTAAAACATGTGTTCAAATGTTACAAAGTATATTATTTTAACCATCACAAAAGAAGAGTGGAGATGAATTTCAACTTCAAATAGAATTTAAATGTTACAAAAAAGGGGATTCATTAAAAGATTCTTTTTATTCTCTAAAACTAGTTGCTTCATAAAAACTGCCATTAATATTGACTTAAAAATGTCTTTAAAATCTGTGTGCAATCCTAGTCCAGTCTTATCTTAGTGTATCAATGTTGACAATAAACCAAGGCTAGCTGGCTGTATGCCAGATAATAGTGGATAAAAAGATTCACAAGAATACTGTTGATGGATTTTAAATGCCCAAGAAATAAAATCAAGCTATTCAATAGAAAGCCTTGACACTGCATCATTATCATTTTAGAACAATATTTTAAAAATGTAAAACAATTATGCTTTTTAGACAACACTAATTCAAATTTATCTTATTTAAAAATGATTGGGTATATAATGTCTGAATTAAAGCTATTTAAGCACTACTAAAAAATAAAACCTTTTTTTCTTACATTTAAATTAAGTATGCAGATATTTTTTTTTAAAAAAGGAATATCATAAAAACATTAAGATACTCTACAACTATAACTGTAAACAAAGGTTAGTCATTTAGTGAAAATGATTTTTGCAATGTATGTTATGTTGAGAATAATTATAGGCAGCAAACAAAAATAAATGAAAGATAAGCAAGTTTTAAAATGTAAAAGAATATCACTAAGAACATGAAAGTTTATGGTGAACTTTTTAAAGAAATGAAGCAAACAACTGTGCATTTGAAACTTTTTGCCCTGTAATGAATATTGTCTTCTTCATTCACACTTTAAACTTTATTACTAGACTATAAAAAATGTGTAACCCCCCCCCCCCCCCCACATGTTTCTATGGCATTAAAACAACTTTACTTTAAGTTAAGCTCAAAACTATAAATATTATGCTAACTTACAACCTTAACACCCAGGTTTCTACATTTATGATAATATATTTTTATTTAAAATTGTGAAACCTTTTGCATAATATACCATTGTACTGATTTTAGCTGGGAAAGAACAATAGAAAAATTAAATTAAAATCAAATTTCCTCATTAAGCCTGCACAGTAGGAATGTAGGTAATTAATTTGATTAATTGTATAAAAAACTTGGGTCCACCAAAGGTCCAACTTTATTGTTGGGTCGTTTGTTATAAGTAGCTGTGTATAAGCAAGATGTGTAAATTTTAATAAAGTTGGTAAAGATAAGATTACAAATGTTTGTATTTACTGACTTAATTTCTTAAAATGTTTAATATAATGATACTTCTCAATTAAACAAGTAACGAAGCACAAAGAGTATATTTGTATTACTACCTATCTTAAAAATTACTTTTTTCGCTCTTATCAACTTGACCAAACAGGGAGGTAAGTTCTGTGATTAGTTAGATATTAAGGGAGGTAATTTTGATGTCCAAATATCTAGGGAGATTAAATCCAATGAGACTGAGTCTAGTTTAGTGGTGGTATTTGCCCTCTTTTTTGTTGCTTGACAAAAACAGCTAATGTAAGTCAGCTAATAATTTGAATCATCTTACTTATACTTACAAACAACAGTAATAAATAACTTGAACAGTTGAATCAGAATATTGCTAAAGGCATATAAAGGCTAGGAGGAGTTGCTCTTTTATCTGCATTGGTTGGAAACAAAGAAAAGCAGCACCGCCAGGAGCAGATAAATTATACTGGGCTAAATCAACACAAAAAAATATGATAGTAGCTAACAGATAAGTCACAAGTTTTTTAAAAATTCAAAGCAAAAAATAGTTATAAGTACATATTTATACGGAATAAATAAGGTCACAATATGTGACATTGGCAATATAAGTAATGCACAGCTGAAGCACATGGTAAAGGGAATAATGCATTAATAGATTTATTTTAAACTTGTGATAGTTGATAGCTATCTTATAAATTCAAAAAATTATTGCCATCTTTTAAATCAAATCTGACCAGGTTTACTCATAAAATAAAGGTTTAAAACACAAGTATCATTATACATTACATAAAAATTATTTAACCCTATTAAGGAAATATGCAAAATTGATTCTGAAATTTTGAAAACAGAATTTTAGTTTGTTCTAGATGATAAATTTCTAAAAAATTGAAAGCAATTATATTACGTTTTAAATTCTTAGTAAATAAACTGAATTTTTTTAATTTATCATGCCAACTTCATGATTAATTTATGAAGTATATAATAAACAATACAGTCTCTATACAAGATTTTATACCCTTACTTTAAAATAATTAAAAATAAACACTATTATAAAATGATAAATACATTCTGTACTTGAAAAAGAACTAATATTTCCTATAAAATTAATTATAAAGTCATTATAATCAAGAAAGACCAAAGATGGTTCAGGGGATTAAATGATACAGTAATACTAAATAGTTGTGAACATAAATTCTGAATATTTTACATGCACATCTAACATATCAATTAACGACAACATGTTTTTGTACTATGATACATTGTCAACTAGGCGAGGGGAAGGAAGCTGATCTTGATTTTGAAATAAACTTGTGTTGTTGGGGAGAGTTATTCCAATGAGAGATGCCACCTTATCTCGATCTTTCTGCAACATAATAATAGTTTTTTTTTATAGACCACTATTTCTTCTCACCATGATTAAAAGAATGACTAAGCTTTATACAACATGATTACAAAGCTGGTAATTGGTTAAATAAAGCATTGAAAGGGCCTGAATTTAGACTGTTTTTTGGCTTCTCCTTGGAAAGAAGATATCTATTACACAAGACTTCTAACATTAATTCTTAAAATACTATCTTAACTAATGTATACATTTTTTTAAAAATTATTTACATAGTAAAAATTTAATTTACTAAGTGGTATATTATTGGTAGATAAATAATCATAGCATTGAGAGCAATTAAAATCCATTTCTATGCAACAATAAAATCTCTTTTGTTTCGTTTCAAAAAAAAAAAAAATTAGATGCCTTTTTACTTGATCAAAGAGAACAAAAACAGCAAAGAAAAGTGAGAACGAATGAACAAATGACTTATAAAACAAAAAAAAACATATAATAACAGGTGTATAAAACTAATTCTATTATACCTAAAGAAATATTTTTTTCTATGTGTTGGAAGCTAAAGAAAAACTTATCAATGACAAGCAAACCCTAATCTATGATGACAATTGAAATAATTATATATATCTTACCTCATTGATAAATCCATGATAAACCAGATCGTCAGCTAAAGATTCCCCAGTATCATTGCTAACCTCACACTGGAGCTGTCTGTTGATTTGGTCATCAAACCTGACCATAAGTGTTAGTTGAGGATGTGGGTTGTCTTCTATTCTTGTGATCTTTAAAATGATTTATTAACTTAGAGTGATCATATACTAACTACTAGTAATATCTTGTTACTAATCACATATGATCTTAGTTTTTCTATTCTACATTCAACTATATGTAGACTGAAAAGTCTAAAATACTTATCGAATCAATAAAGTAAATTTTAGATTTTTCTTATATTAATTTTGAAAACTGGATTGGAAAAAGAATGTATTACTAACATGGCATGTCATGGATACAATTAACCTGGTTTCAACATCATAAGGTTCAGGTGTCTCAGATTTCACTGACTCTGCCAGTTCTGGACTTGCAGCACGAGTACGTGTAACTTGAGGGTAACTCAAACCAAAGGCAGTCAGAGGATAGATACCATTTCTGATGAAATCATTGTTTTGTCAATTTATATCCAAATGATTTTGATAAATAACAGGATTATAATCAATTTAAAATGGATGCCTATTCATTTTTGTATATAAGCATATAAATTAGTCAAAGCAAAACATAAATAATATGCAAGGCAGAGTTTTCAGCACTTTTGAAACTTACTTTAAGTATTAGTACATCATGTTCTTTAGTATTATTATTATCTAAATTGAAACTTACTTTACGTCATCTAAGAGTTTATCTAGTTCCAATGCAGGCGTTTGGGAAACTCTAGATAAATAACACAATGAGTGAAAAATAATAAATTTTAAATATAAAAATATTGTACAATTAAAATGCATTTTATAGATTTATTTTGTCCACACTTTGTGACCGATTTTTTATAGATATAAATCACTTCCATTTAATTGTAATTTTTTTTTTAATTGTCTATACACATTTTTATGATAAGAGCCCTTACTTTAAATGGACAATTTCTCCATTCATGCTAAGAATTTCAGCAATAACACGGTTGGGGTCATCTGTTTTGGCACTGTGCGATATTTCTGTAATGTTTTCTGCTAACAAAGCTGTTTGCAACAATAATTAAACTGATTAAGCATGTCTTTTACCTTAGTCAATATGTTAAAATTTTTAGTATAACTTGCTATTAAATCTTTATGGTAAAGGTTTTTATTTCTTCCTTGCTGATTTTACTTTATATTTGCTCAGCATTTTTTTGTTTTTTAACAAAAGCTTTTTATTTTTCAAGTTTATTTCTTTTAACATGCATATCATGATAAATAAGTAAATTTAAAAGAAAAATGAAAAACAGAAATAGATAAAAATGTAGGTCTACCATTGGACTTAACAATCTTATGGGCAGCAATAAGCTTTAGAGAATGAACTTCAAATAAAACTTTGTGAAAAAGTAGTTCTCTAGCGGTTGGTCTGTCTTTGGGATCTTTACGCAAGCAGCTTTTGATGAAATCCTATGAAAAAAATCACAATTTTTAGTTTTATAAATTAACTTTAAAACTTTGTTAATTAGCTGGTTATTTAACAAACCATTAGCAATATATGTTAAAAAAATCTCAATTAGTTAGTAATAAAAACTGTGTGAAAAAAAATCTTTTAATTAACCTGCTGCAAAGGACTTTCAACCAGCTCTAGAGAGGAACTGATGATATCAGCATCAGTCCCCCCAGGAGAATCCCCACTTGATGCAAAACCTAAGGTCGCCATCTGATGAAACAAAATGTGTGCATCTCAGTAAGACAAACATTGTGTAAATTATAAAAGCAAGCATTTATGAGAAACTGGGAAATCTGTATTGTATTGAAACAATAAATCTGACAAACAATGTTTGCACTGAACCATAAAAATTCAACTTCCTAAGTGATTTTTGTAACCATGAGTCTATTTACCTCAAGGGCACACATTCCAAATGAATAAATATCCACTTTTGTTGTCATTTGTTCACTGTCTGAAAAGAAGAATTAAAAATTTTTTAAAACTCAAAATTTAAATATGCCTTAGACCAGTATGACTATGTTACATAGTCAAAGCACAGGAAAAGGCCAGTATTTAAGATTTTTTGACAGGGATTTGTTTTAAAAATTACTTGAACCCTTATTGCCTCAGGTGTTACTTTCCCATTTTTGATACCTCATTCACAGCAGTTACAATTAAACTTTTGGATTCTTTCTGTTTTTAAATTATAAAAATTGATCACAATAAAATATTTTTGTGGTCAGTTAAAGCGATTAGCACATTCAGTTAATATTTTTCTTCATCTATATTATCTTAATTTTGCTTAAATAATGTAATTATAATTTTTTTCCAAATGAAAATACTATTTACTTTTTTTACATGCCCAAAAAATCTCTGTGAAGGAGGCAACTAACTGTACAATTAAATAAAGAAATAGGCAGCAAAAAGTTGGGGCTGTAATGATTGATATGAAATTCTATAAATAATTTGTAACTTCCATTCAGCTTTTGTCCCATACATCACATTGTCATCTTCAGAACAATGATACAATATATAAGAATCACCTTCACATTCTGGTGCTGTATAATGTACATTTTTTAGATCTTCACTGTACGTCTTGACATGATGATGTATGGCATCAGGGGCAACTGCGGAATAAAACACAAAATTTAGAAATTGTAAACTAACATTTGAGTATCAATAAAAAAAAACTCTCCATACTACCAGATGTTGTAATTTATCTTAATTTTAATTGGAACTAAAATTTTGAAGTAAGCAACTATTATATTTTTAAAAATATAATATGTTTTCTATTTTTTAGACATTTTTTAAGTATAAAGCAATAGAAACGCTTGCGTCCATGCAAATACTTCTTAAAATATAATCTGTTATGAGTTGCAGCATGCTTTTTAAATACATCTATAACTAACAAGTTATAATTTAACAGAGAAGCTAATGTCTATTAAAACATGTTAATATCTACAAGCAAACCTGTCTAACGATTTTAATCTACAGAATAAATGAACAAATAGATAGCTAACTGCAGCATGAAACTAATATTTTTACCACTACATAAAAAATTATTTTAGTTGTATCAATCTTGTAAAAAAAAAGCCACAAATTAAATTTAGATTAAACTATTCCAATAATTTAATCCAATATTCTTTTGTATCAAGAGAATAAGAAGGGTTGTACGAATGTTCAAATCAATACTTACTACAAGAAAAAATTTCATAACTACCTAATTTGCTACAAATAGCTTTATTTATAGCTAGGCAAAAAGGTAAGGCTTATACCTTAATTTTAATCACAAATATATGCATTCTATAGTAATTTTTAAAAAAACACACCTTAAATATATAATTTTCTAACAAAAGTGCTTCCCTTAAGTTGGTCTGACAACTAGTATGATATGAGGTCAGTATTCAATTTTAAAATCTAAAGGAAATAAGCACCATAAAGCGTTTAGTCATGCTAAGTCAAAGTTTTTAATTTTAATTTCAACACAGTATCAAGGTTGAAAACTACAATGGAATTCTACTAAAATTGTAATATTTTTTCTTTAAAAATACAAAAAAATCACAACATAAAAACTTGGGAAGGAATGAAAAGGGGGTAGTGGATGGGTGGTCTTTCTTTCCACTGATGAGAAATTGTGTTAAGATACAAAATTACCAAGAGTAGCCCAAATCTGTTAAAACAGAATTGTGACCTGTAAGTAACATTTTTCAAAGTAGGTCTATATCGAAATGTGGTTATAAAATTCTTTCCAGGGATTTTTTAAAAATAAAATATCTTTATTAATATAATTAGACTTAATTCAGAAGAATAAAAAAATAACTAGTCTACTGTTTGTTAAGTGTATCACTCTGGTAATCCCATTAGTCAAATAGCAAAATAGAAAAAACCAACCCATAAACATAACAGAGGTGTGGTATGCCTAGCTAAATAATACCAAACATTAGTTTTTTTTTGTTTTTGAAATTGTAAATATTTCATTATGTTTTAATCACCAAGGCAAGAATTTATCTTACCTTATTATTTATTTTTATAAACGTTTGGATATTTATCATGTATATAGCAAGATTCTAAAGAATAAAGCTTAAGATCAGCACATACTTAGTCAGAATGATTAATTTCAACTTATTAGACAAAAACCATTGACATGTTAAAATCATGTCATTGAATACAATTTAGGTACTATTAACAATTATTACATATTGTTAGTATGTATGAACTTTACAAGATAGAATATTTACAAATACAAAGGTATATAATAATGAGAATGTGCCACAAACTTCTAAAAATATTAAATTAGTGATAAATTATGAACCAATACAAAAAATATACTCTACTAATGGTGGTGGAGGGAAGACGTACAAATAATGATACATAAAGGAAATTCTGGATTATATATTTTTCAGTGATTTTCAATATAAAATATAATAAATTCTAGAAAACTCAAGTGTGTAGTAGCTGTAATCACCAAATTGTTTTAAACTGCCAAAGTTTTGAGAATTAATACCTGTATCTACAGCACATTGAATCATAATTAAGGTAAAAGACTGTACTAGACCTACTAGGGACAAATGTATCATATTTTTAACTGCTATAATTTTTTAATTGGAAGAAGAAATGTCTCTTGCCTATATAGGATATATTTTTACTTAGTTTATAATTTTTTTTATTTCTGTTGTTCGAAATGTGCTGGTAAATATATAAACCCTACAAAAAAATTGATAATTATTATTTGCCTTCAGTGTCTGGGTCAACTAATATAAACATGACTAAATGTATAATCAATTGTGCACAAATATAATGTATTAGTATAACAATTTTTTTATCAAAATTTTTTTATTCCCATTTCCTACTTCTGATGACATAGTAGTAGTGCCATAATGAATGATATTTTTCTCTTATTTTTGAATAAAAACTGCATGTGATGAAACTTAATAAGTAAGCCTAGAGAGTTTTCAGAACTCTGCATAAGACAAAGTAAAAAATAAATTCGGTCAAAGAACAACAAGGTAGTGGAATAAAAAAAAAACTCAAGTATCATTTATCAGCTTATAAAGTTTCAAGAGAATAATTTTGAGAATTAATCTATAGTAGCATTAGAGCATGGTAATAAAACACTAAGATGCAGTGAAAAAAGTCACCTTAGGAACTTTGACCATCCATTACTATGGCTAGAAAGATTACTAACAGTAGGAAGTTGCCAAAAGCAATTGATAAGAGGAGAAATTTTGTTATTATTTGTCTCTTGTTGAAAAAACAAAATTTTAAAGGTCGGTATCATTATGTGTAAAAAATTATAATTCATATTATTGTTGCCTTAATTATCTTTACTATTACTATTTTACTAAGACTACAGTATTTTAATGGGTTCAGAGTGATGTCCCTAGTAGGTTAAATTTGTATTCAGAAGTAAAGTTTACTATTAAATTATTGAAAAGCCACTTTAATTTAATAAACAATCGTTGTGTAATAAAGATCACATAACAGATTCACTTTCTACACACACAAAATACTCAAATGTACTGTAAAAAGAAAATAAGTATTTTTAGATTATATTTGAAAAACACTGTTTTATCATGTTATGTGCAACTAAGAATGTTAAGGAAATATACATGATAATAAAATAGGTTGTAGAAGGAATAATAGGGTTTTTTGAAATGGATACAAACATTTTAAACCAGGCTATATAGATTTTTATTTATTTTTATTTATTAGTAGTAACTATGTTTTTAATTATATAAGTATGTTAAAAACATTTTACTTAATTAAGAATAAACCTTTTGTTAAGTTATTTTAAAATTAATTCTTTTTTTGTAAACAAAAATGAAAAACATAACCTTAGAATTGATTTTATGCTTCCAGATTGGCAATATAATTATTTTAATCAATTTTATTTTAACTTTTAATCTACAGGCGAAGTGCATTCACACCCAATATGAACACATTACAGACAAGACTGTACAAGCGTAAGTATCTAAATAGAAATACACAGCCTCCTCTGCACACCAAAAATAAAATATCACTCACTAACATTGGCTTGAGTTCATATTTTTTTATGGGGAGACAAGAAACAAAACAAACATTAAAATTCATAAGCAAGGTAAATTAATTAGGTGATACGTTTTTTGATTGGAATCTACAACCAGCACTGTAATCAAATGAATGATAAAATTTGAAGAAATAAATATGAGGGTATTTTAGCAAAAATGGCATAGCTTCAGGAAATCCTTTTGATATATCTGTTTATGTGTTAAATGATAGAAATATTTATTTATTATTATAAACTTAAAAAGTGAATGTGTTTTTCTCAAGGACTATAAATTAGGTCATACTTTCAGAATATTTCCCAAATGATCTAATAAAGAATATGAATCCAAGAATAAATAGTATAATACAATTTTTAAATGTCAATCAAAGCTAACACTTAACAATTACTAAAAGAACCATAGCTAAAACTCCTTATACCATACACCATCTTCTATCTCTAAGAAAAAAATATTTCTAAGAAATATTTCTTGATCATAAATTATTAAAGTAAGTTGTTTATATTAAGCAACTAAAGGTCATAATAACAAAAACTTTAAGTAAATTTCAGAATTATGGCAATTTTAATGCTTATTAGCAAAATCTAGAAACAGCCAACTATGAATCTATTAACAGCTGCATTAAAACTCAGAGAATGCGTTCAACAACAAAAAAATTTCCACCAAAGTTGAAGTGATGCACTGAGTTATTTTACACATCACAGTTTTAACATTTCAACTTTAATATAACATAATATCAAATAAAACAAAGTGTAAAAAATGGAATTGATGCAATCTGCTGTTTGAAAGTGTTTGCAACAAAAGTGGTTTCCTGTCTAAATACTAGCCATTTTTTTTACCAACTGGATATAACTGTTATACCTGAGCCAATTTTAATAAGTCCATTGTGCTGAATGTAGATAGTGTCAGAAGTGAGGTTGCCATGAATTATCGGTGGATCACATGAGTGAAGATAACTGAAAATAAAAATAAAAACTGCAAAAAAAAGCTGTATGCAAATTTTTTATTGATAAATAATTTTGTTTGCTGACTCATTATAAAAAAAAATGAATTAATTAAAATTAAAATGTATGACTAACTTATAACAAGAATAAATAAATCTTATTAACAAACTATATGCCAGAAAAACACACATGAAAAGAAAACAACTAAAATGTTCTAAAACTTGTAAAGGGTTTGAGTTTATCTCCATTTTTTTCATAGGGAAAATGTTTCTTACCTCAGTGCAGACAAAATTTGAGTACACCATCTTTTCCAAGCCTGGAAAAGTTTTTGAAAAGTATTAAGGCATAATCATTAACAATCAAATTCAAACAAAACATCTTTTAAAAATGAAAGAAAAAGCTTTTAGACCTGAAAGTCAATGGAACAGATCAAGTAAAAATGTCTGCGACCATGGTATATGAAGGCAGATTGTAGCCATCAGTACAGGTATGCCTAGTTGCCTGTATGTTTTTGACATGAGTTAGGTAACATTTGAGCTGGTGGACTCCCTTTTCTTTTTTTTCTTATAAGTCATTAAGTCATGGTCTCAATTAAAGTAAATAAATAAAGTACTAACCTTTAGCTGGAATGTTTTATTATTCTTTTTGGTCTTCTTCAAAAACTGTTTAAGGTTACCAGATGACATATATTCTGATATGAAAATAACCTAAAAACAAAACATTAGTAATATAAACAAATATTGAGCAAAGAATCAGGATTGTAAAACTATATAAGTAATGTATCATTAAAATTGTTCTACTCAACAAAATATAAAATAAAGTTCGAAAAATTGTATACTTTTTCAGTCTGTGAATTCATTTACATTTATTATGGAGATAATTAATTTGATATTATTTGGAATAAAAAGGTCCAATTTTTTCCTAAATAATTGTCTAACCCTTGGCTTATCATTCTTGGTGTCAGTCCAATACTTGTGGAATTTTATGATGTTTGGATGGTCCAGCTGACAAAGATTGTCAAAGGTTTGTCGAATTTTGTCCTGAAACATTGAAAGTATATTAGCTCAATTTTTAGTCTTATCCAGTCTAAAAGAAAGATTTCAAAAATTTATTAAAAACTGTTTTAAGCATCAAAAAATTAAAAATTAATTCTCACTTGTTGAGCTCTAAAATCTCTCTTTTCAGAAAACTGAACTTCATTCCACACCACCTCCACTCCTTCTTCAGTATCCATTGCCAAGAAGGCATTGTCTATACCAGGCACATCTCGCTGATCAACCTAAAATCATTTAGATGCACGCACACTTAATAGAAGTTATTTTTCACACCAAAAACAACATGAAAAGAAAATTAAAAATGTAAATTCTCCATAGCTTTAATGGTTAGGATTAAAATGCAATTTTTTAGATACAAGATTAAAAACTTACAAAACATAACTAAATTATTGTTCTAAAATAATTATAACAAATAGATACTTGTGTTAATCATAGTTATATAAATATTTATTATTAGCTATTTTGCAGTGTTTTTCCTTAATTTTTTTTAAAGTAGAAATATTAATATGTTCATAAACACCAGATTTTGGCAGATAGTGATAGTCTTTTCTATTACTATTGGCCTGGATTGGGTAGCGATGATTTTAATTATTGCTCTTTTTTATAGGCCTATTTTTTTTTATTTGTGTGGTAGACTAGCTAGTGAATGTAGCCAGTGAAGGTAGTAGATCTAGAGCAGTGATTCTTAACCTGGGTGCAATTGGATTTTGTCAGTATAGATAAAAGAACTAGCTGCCTTGGCTGGTGAGCAGATAACGGTTCAAAAACAATAGCAATGTAGCATGACATATTAATAAAGTATGCCAGAGGGAAAAATACATCAATATCGTGATATTTCTATTATCATGGAACCCATGACATCACGACACACATTTATGTAATGTCAACAACGCCTACACAGGCGCGCTTTAATCGTGTTTATACGCATTCACGTATTGTGATGAGCATACGACGGGGGACGTTCTGACCAGGATTCCAAGGGACGACTCGAAATATCATCCCTAGTGGGATTCAGTGTCTTCATTCAGGGAGATCGATAGCTAGCAAATTCTACTCCAGAATGTCTAGACTCTAGACTCTTTTAGACCTAAATCTAGAATTTAGAATCTACAGTAGTACATTCTACTAGTCTAGATCTAGAATCTAGATCTTCTCTGGCTAGACCTAGCTCACCTAGAGATCTAGATTTAGCTAATCTAGATCTAGCTAGATCTAAGCTAAGTGACTTAGTCTCTAAACTCTAAGTCATAAGTTGATCTAGATCTAGATCTAGATCTAGATTCTAGATCTAGAATCTAGATGTTTGTTTTTTTTTTAGATTTAAAAATAGAATCTAGTGATTTAGGTGTGTTGACTCATGGAAAGTAGAAAGTTGTTTTCTTTAAAATAAGATTTTATTTTTATTCATTTTGTTCACCTCTTCTCTTCGTTTCTGCCATCTTCCACAAGGGCTTTCTTCCAGTACTTCTTCATCGTCCGAATCTTCTCCACTGTCCGGCTTTTTTTCAGACTCTTGATCTGCCATCACTCTTTCACAAAAGATGTCAAACACTAACAACACAAACCTCCAATAAAGTTGGTCAAGAACATCTGTACCAGAAATAAAAATACTTCCGTGTTTCCGGATTTCCTTATTGTGCGCTGGTTCTTTTGACTATGTATACGTTAAAGTAAAATAGTCACAAATATGGAATAAAAATTTAAAAAAAAAAAAAATTAACCACGCAAAAGAAATTTAGAATCAAATAACATGTTTATTTACCGAAGATTTAATATGATTTATGTTTCAGTGTTGAGAAATACTAAGTAAAAGTATGAATCGCTTTGGTCGTCTATTTCCATGGGAATGATGTCGTGAACATATAATTAATTAATTATACTATGAGTAGATAGGGAATAATAGGGAGGGGATTTTGACATTTGTGTCGAGGGTGAGGGGTAAGAAGATGTGAAGCAGCAGTGGAGTAGGTCAGGAGAGAAAGTGTGGAGTGAGTCAGATTACCCCCCTCCTCCCATGAACCCTCCAAAATGTCATGTGTCTTATGGGCAGGTTAAACCCCCAAGTTGAAAATTACGTGTTAGGACTTTTTAGCGCAATTTCCATTCTGGAGAATTGCGTTTATTAACCCGTCATTTCTGGATGTATGAATGAATGGATGTGTGTCCGCAGCTTTAAGTCGAAGCAATATCGAGGACTAGTTCCAAAAGCAATTATGTTAAGCAAGTTACGAGGATGAACATAGGCCAAAAAAATTCCGGGTTTCTTTCATGGATTTCCCGGAAAAGCCAAAAAAACTCCCAAAAAATGCAGTTTTTTGCCCATATCTCGGCAACCAGACCACTTAGCGACTTGAAACATGTACCAATCGATTCCTGCCATAATTTAGAACAATATTGCCGAAGAAAGTTTTCAAAAATATCCTTTTGTTCGGTCACAAAAAAATTTGAATTAATTAAAATTTGGACCGAATTAGTAGGCATTTTTATCAAACCACACCACACGCGTCATCACGTTCAATGGCTGCGACATCACGTTCGGTAGCTAGGCGCGCAATGGTTTTTAGTCATGTAACTCTATTGTAAATAAAACATGTAAAATACTGAAAACAAAAATTAATTAAAAAAAACGTTTTAATAACTAACCAATGGTTTTACTAACCCTGCTCTTGATTTACGCTACGACAGAGCTATTTTTAGATAACATAAGGAAATTGCGCTTAAATGTCACTAGACTTTTTAATTAACTTGTTTGAGTGATAAGAAAGTTGTAACTAACATAGTATAATAGTATATGACAAAAATGCAAAAAAAAAAAAAAAAATCACTAAAAAGTTATAGTTTTGTGAAAATATTTTCTAAAAAGTGTCATTTTTAGGGTAAAATATTTCAAAATTAGCTCTCATTGAAATCACAATAACACAGCTTCTGTTTGTCAGAATAACACGAATCTTTAATATAATGTAATATACACAATTTCAAAAAGGATGAGGATGAACTAAAATAATTAGAAAATAATTTTTAAAAATGGATTTTAGCCAAATATTTAAAATGTGAGACCTAAAAAGTTTTTAAAAAGTAGGGAGCAGACGTAGCTTTTTATTTTATAAAATGTGAAGTTTCAAAGATATAGAATTTATTTTAGTTCAACTTTACAAGCAGTGTTTAGTTATGTAAACATGTGTGCAAAATTTCAACTAAATATCTCAAGTAGTTTTTGAGTTATATTGATTTAGCTGGCACGATTTTGAGAAAGACGCTAAAGTGAAAAATATACTAAATTTGAAATAAAAACGAGAAAAAGCGAAAACTATACCAAAAAAGTCATTTTTAAAACCTACCAGTTACACAAATTGCATCTGGAGCCTCTTGCTCAACAATAAGAACATCTATTTTAATAAGTTTTTAATTTTTATGTTGCCAAAAGTTAATATAGGTGAATTGTACGTCATTACTCTCATTAATTAAACAATTATAAAAAATACTAGCAATACGTAATTTGGCAAAATAATTATACAAGGATGTTCAGAATTGAATGTAGTTTCAGAAAAAAATAGATTTTGAAAAATCAACATTTCTGACTTAAATATGTATTTAGGGGGGGGGGGGTAACCTGCCCTTATGTTAAGCTACAGCCAGCTATCGAGTACCGCTTTCAAAATAATGAATATCATAAAATTACAATTTCATGTTATCAAAACCTTTGTGGGAAAAACCATAAATGTCAGTATAAACTGATCACTAAGTCAAAATATTATTTAAAATAATCCAGGTTATTACTACATTTGGAAGTCATATGTTAGAAGCCCATTTGACGGGAACAAATATACCTTTTGTCGTGGCTATTTTGACTGGGTCGTTTTGTCGGGGGCAGATTTGTCGACGCACCGATATAAACCGTACATGAATAAGAGTGCGGGTTGCCAGTCGGGCATACGAATTTAAAAAGTGCCTTATAGGGCATACGAAGACCTGAATACGGTCCTGAGCTACAATAATCGAGACTTTGGAGCTATTGTTTACACTCGACAAGCCCTTGCTTGTTTAATGTGAAGAAGAGGGGGAGAGTTTAATACGATAAGACAACAGTCCAACAGCAAAAGCTGACATGGACAAAAGGCTTACATGTCATACAAGAAATACAGAATATTGTTGTTGTTTCATGTCTTGAGTATTCAAAAGTTTCTCTTGGAGAGGAACCTCCAATCAGAGTTTCTTCCACGCATCTCTACGGTAGACTTTCTTCGGGGCCTCTGCGCCCCCCCCCCCCCCCCCCGAAGAAAGTCTACCGTAGAGATGCCTGGAAGAAACTCTGTGGTTCTGGCGGTACGATAGTTTTGTCCCTGGACAGGGGCTTTGTCTCGGACATGGCTGGGTCCTGATGGGAAATCTCAGCGCACGCCACTGCGTTTGAAACAGAGTTTCTTCCAGGCATCTCTTAGGGGGGGGGGGAGGCGAAGCCCCCCCCCCCACCCCCCCCCCCCCCCCCCCTCCGAAATTTTTTTACCGCCCCCCCCCCCCCCGAACGAAATGAAATTTATATAATTTGTATAGAAAATATATACTTTTAACAGTGTCCGCCCCCCCCCCCCCCCGAAGAAAGTCTACCGTTCCCCCCCCCCCCCCCGAAAATTTCAAGTGTCCCCCCGGAGAAAAAAGTTTGGAAGAAACACTGGTTTGAAATAGTCCTAACATTAATGTTGTATCGTGTTAATGTTAAATCAATGTTAAACGATGAAATTCAAGTAAATATATTGAACTAAAAAGCGAAACGTTTTGAATTAGAATAGGTTAATTCCGCAATAATGGCCTATCGGCAGAAGTAGTCCTCAACAATAATTGATTTATCTTGTCTTGTTTGCGATTATTGTGACTGATATCGATGCATAGACAAGCAATAAAGTCTTCTTGTGATGGATCCCAGTAATTATTTCAGGCATCCTCCGGGGGAGGGGTTACAAACATTGCACGACTTTCAATCTAATTGTCACTTTTGTTTTTACCTTTGTATACAGTACTGTTTTAGTGTTTTTACTGCCTGAAAATGTACTGTTCTGCTATCAAATGTAATAATCTTCTTCTTTTCTCACTCTCAGACGATCAAGAATGATGAAGAATAAGTCGTCTTCTGGAAATCATTATTAGACTATCTTTCTTGACCGGGAATTGTGAAGCGCGCATCTAACTTCAAGCGCTTACATGTGAAAATTTCCCCCGTTTTTGTGCTAACCTACCCCAAATAACTCTATATAAAAACTTAACGCGATCTCCTAAAATTCTAATAAACTTATCCTCTTAAACCACAGACAATTCCCTTTACAATGATACAAATTACATATAACATCAATAAGTTGTTCTTTAACAATAATACATCAAACATGCAAGTAACGTAAAAATATCATCAAATACACCCAATTAAAGTAGATTCCCATAATATCGGCTTGCTCCTAACTAACACTAAGATCACTTTTCATGCTATATAAACAATTATTTATTAAGATACGAATTTTTCTTCTTGTCCTACTAAGCACAATTGTCTGATTCCTAACAAATTCACTACAATACTACAAATTATAGTTTATAAATAAATCAATTATGCTACAAAAATAATTAAGGAATTTTAAAAATCTGCATTTTTGTCATTATTTTTGACATCCTCCGAAATACTGATGTATCTGAAATATTTTTGTATTTCGCTGTGAGATATTTTGTCCTGAGATGTTTTGTCTCTGTGATCTTTTGTTATGAAATTATTTTATTCTTGGGATATTTTGTCTAAAATAATTCACCTACATCATATCCTTATACAATCCTTTTAAGTCCACGAGAAGCAAAGGGTTGCAGCTATACCTTTCCACCGGAATATGTTTAGGGCAGCTCTCTTTAGCTGAGCCTACCCCCCGCAGCCCTTGCTTCCCCTTCAGTGTTTCTTCTTGACCTTTTTTCTCCGGGGTGGGGGCGGATTAAATTTTCCGTGGGGGGGGGGGGGGGGAACAGTGGTAAAATTATATATTTTCTAAATGAATTTCATTTTCGTGTGGGGGGGGGGGGGCTCAGACCCCCCCCCCCCCCGAAGAGATGGCTGGAAGAAACACTGTTCTCCTTCATTGCCTTCCACAGTCCTTCTCCACAGTGTTTCTTCCAGACTTTTTTCTCCGGGGGGGCACTTGAAATATTCGGGGGGGGGGGGGGGGGGGCGGTAAACTTTCTTCGGGGGGGGGGGGGGCGGACACTGTTAAAAGTATATATTTTCTATATAAATTATATAAATTTCATTTCGTTCGGGGGGGGGGGCGGTAAAAATTTTCGGGGGGGCTTTGCCCCCCGAAGAGATGCCTGGAAGAAACTCTGCTTCTCCAGCCTAATGCTTGCCTTGCGATATGAACATACACTTCAGGACGTTCCAGGTCTATTCTCATTTGCGCGCTTTGGTACCGGACAAAAAGCCGACACGGAAAAACAGCCGACATGAACATAAAAAGTACGACTTGGAAAGTCGGCCTTTGTCATACACCCATATCCCTGTCTATCTTATCTTAAAAATTTGTCGTACATATTTATTTATAGACGAGTGTAGCTTTCAGTAATTTGATTTTGTAACTAAACTTTCTAGGTCGCCGAGACAAAACATTTGTGTAGAAGACTCTTTTTCTTTGACATAGTGTAATTCCATATCGGGCGTGATGTAGAAGGAACATATTGTCACTATCAAACTATCATTATCAAGGCATATTTACAGCGGCGTGTGCAGGTGGCGTTAAGAGTGTTAACCCTCCTTTCCCCTCAAACAGCTGTTAATAATTTTATATGTATCGTATGGGGCTAAATAATGCAGGGCTAGTAGCATATACAAATAAGTAATTGTCAAATACTAATTATGCTACTAATGAGAGGGTTAAACAAATCACTTTATTAGGATCACAGAGTATTTACTCAGGATGAAAAAAAATCATCATATTATTATCTAGAGAGTCTAGGCCTTTCTCATTAGCCTGCACTCACAGCCACAGCTGTCACTTGGTCAGAGGCCTAGCCTAATGAATGGTAGGCCTATGCTGTGCACAATTTCATTACCTTTTGTAATAGAGAGTAAACTTACTTCCGGCCTTAAACTACGAACCAAGCCACTTCTTCACGTGTGAAGGCGTAGCTTTTATTTGTTTCACAGAAATGACATACACTTAAAAGCATTAGTTCTTGATAATTTTAAAATGGGCGTGTATCTTTCTTCGCCAATTACTGATAAACATTCAGTTGATGAAACTTGTAATGGATTTGTATACGGTGCGTCATCCATGCAAGGATGGAGGGTAACTCAAGAGGTGCGTTATTTTTAGATTTTAGACATTTTGATGAAAATATTAGGCCTAATATTTAGGGCGTCGCCTACCGTTTTAAACTTCATTATTGTTTAAGATTACTTAAATAATTGAAAACTACATTTATTTACCTTTAATTTGATAGGCTATCAATTTTATTTATCAAATTTAATCGTTAGCCTAGAAAATGATTTGTGAAAAAGGTAATCTATCGTTTTGGGTACGTAAAATCGCCCGCGATTTGTAATGTGAAAAACAGGTGACTCCTTAAATTTTAATAATTATTTCACATTTTGAGGAGGATTTATGTTTTAAAAAATTCAAAAATGTTTCTTTGATTCATTTATGTACCTGTTTTTAAACAATTGAATTAAAACTTTTCCGTAATAAATGAAGACTAGCGATGTTTCCAACAGATGCAACCATGCTCATTGAATATAGCAGCCATCTTGTCTAAGTTTTATTTTTATAAGCTTTTAGCGCCAGATTCAGGGGGAAGCCACTCTATTTTACAAATGGCTGCTGTTTATATAGCAAATCTTGCTCTCAGACACTGCTGTTTAAAGTTAATTTCTGGCCTACATCGACATATTAAGCCATTGATTTAGGTTTATTATTCATTTATCTATAATATTTGACACACAAGTATGACAATATACTTCTATTAAAAGCCTTGACAATGAGGTAACGTTTTCGTACATAAATAGCCGCGGGCGATTTTACGTACCCAAAACGATAGATTACCGTGAAAAAACAGGTTTATTTTTAATTAAAAATGGCTAGGTCTAGGTCAGGCTAGACTCTAGAGTCTAGGGCCCCAAGGGGATGATATGACTGATACTCAGTGATACGGTAGGTTAGTTTTTAAGGAGTGTTGTTGTGATGCGATTGACAGTTCATTGCTGTTCAGCAGAAATGTGTTGTCTGCTAGATTTCTTCCCATTGAAATATAGGCGGACAAAATTGGCAGGCTTAGTTTGCTGTTGTCTCTATAAATTTATTTTTTGAATGTTTTTGTTTTTCGAAGTGACTACTCAGAAAAAGATTTTTGCCCCACCGTCTCCACCTTGTTGGCAAAAGATAGTTCTGCGCAGTGACCTAGGGTTGGGGTTAGGTCTAGGGTTCTGCGGTTGTAAACACACGCATGCTTAGTATCATCGAAAACATCGCCGCAAAGGCAAGTCGTAGTTTCCCTCCATTGCGCATGCATATCTTTTTCTGATAGTATCGGCCTTTGTTTTTAGGAAGGGGCTATTCGGACCCGGGTCCCAATAGCCACGGCCGCTATTGGGACCTGGGTCCTAATAACATCGGCCGCTATTGGGACCCGGCATTAAGTTCGTTAAGCACTTGTACAGCCTGTATTAAAATTATACCTTTTATGTTTATTTGATTTTTCTTGTGGATTTGCTCATATTTTGTTGTCTTTTATTGTAATTAGTTATGCAGAATAGCTAGCGTTAGTTCTTGTGTTGCTATTTCTAAATACCCTATATTTAGCTGTATATAGTAGTATATACAAAATCATTAAATATTTTGTAATTATCTTAGACGTCGTGGTCAAGTGGAGGACGCATTACCTCCCGATTCTCGATCAGTTACGGGATCGGAACCTATCAAAGCTCTTGTTTTTGCGTGAAGTAAAGTGCATTTATCCAAGTTTAACATTCCATTGAGTTGTTTGCATAAATGTCTTTTTTTAATTGTTTTTTTTTTAAATTATATATTTTATATTTTTTTTCTAGACTTAGGTTTTTAAACACGCCAATTATTAAAAAAACATCGTTGCTCCATTGATCGCCCGCTCACGTTTTCTAATCAGCACAAGAAAAATACCGACACGGTGTAGCCAGGGTCACTGTGAGTTCACTTTGGTTTAGAAGTGAACAGTGTAGCGTATAGCTGCATACGTCATAGCAAGACATTGCTAGGAGCTTGTTGAGATTTGTTGTCGTCATAGTCCCCCCCCCCCCCCCCAACCCAGCAAGAGGGAAAAACGGATTTGGGGGCATTGTGAGTTCAAATGTTACATATTGCTTCTATTAAAGCGTACTACAACGCATGCGAGATATTCGTGTTCAAGAAAACGGGCCCGGGATGGTCGTCCATCAATGACGTCACACTCATAGGGGGAAGGGGGGTCCGTGATTTTGTGACGTTGTGTGATAAGAGGGAGGGGGGTTGTAGGCTGAGATGTGACGTCATTTTAAGGGGGGGGGTCTGGCTTTTTGTGACGATGTGTGACGGAGGGGAGGAGGTAAAAATCGTCAAAAAAAAGCGTGATGTCATTTATGGATTACCCCATGAGCTATTTTATACAATTTTATATATATATATATATATATATGGACGGATAGACCTATGAAATCAAATTACGTTTAACAGAAGAAAAAATAAATAAGCGATAGCCTATAGCTTCAGGATTATACTGGAAACTATAGTTGAGATGCGTAATGATTAGTTACTTAGTGTAAACCCTAGTCATAAAAAAAGTGACTAGTCGGAAGAAGCTTTTGGCGTTTAACAATCCAATGACCTTAAACAATCTAAAAATGGGCTGAAATTACCCTTAAGAGCTGAGCAATTGGCTCATATTACTCTTTTAGCCTTACTCTTCTAACAAAATTAACTATCGTGTGGTAGAGCGGTTGTGCTTTGGGCGGATCATTAGGGCTAGAATCTAATATATCTAGAACTAGTAAAGAGATCTACCCATTTAGTCTGTAAGTTAAGTATAACATCTTTTTTTAAAAAAAAATTAACTGCATATTTAAATCTAGTATTCAAGTTTTTATCATGCTAATCCCATCAGGACAACTCATAGCCCTGAATAGCAAACAGTTAGGTAACAAGAAAAACCAGGTTACTTAAGTGCTATTTAGTAATATGCGAATGCACATCTTCTTACTGCTAGAATTGGCCTAGAAAAGTTAGTTTCTAATAGGAAAATTGGTTAAAGGCACCAAAAATAACAACCTAGAATCACTTTTAATATGTGGAACTTTTTTTCAAATGTGAGGATAATTATGAAATTTATTGATATACTTCTGTTATCTATTGATACTCTTGTATGTTAGCTGAACTCAAAGTAAATGGAAACTGATCCAAGAATATTTTTTCTCAATCTAACTGAAATCTCTCTTTTTTTTTTTTGTCATTGAAAGGAACATTTTCCATTATATTAAATTCTTCTTGCAATAAAGTATTGAGATTTAGATAGACAAGCAGTGTTTTCATTTATTCCAATTAGGGACCCAACAACACCAAATCAAAATCCCATAGCTTGCATTGTTAGGCTTATTTTGATAAATACAGTACACATTTATTTGTCTTAGGTTGATGTAAAAAAAAAAATTTCTTTGTTTTTATTTTTAAGTTTATTTTAACAGGTCCTACAGAAATAACCCCTTTATTTATATTTTAATCTTTTAGGATGCCCATAATTGCATACCGGTGTTTGATGAAGAATCAAAGACTTCATTTTTTGCAGTATATGATGGACATGGAGGTACTAATTAAATAAATTATTTTTCTATTACATCTTTTTTTAAAATTAAAAAACTATTGCATTTCTACATCAATAAAATTATTTTTTAGGGTCAGAGGTTGCACAGTATTGTGAAAGTCACTTTCCCAAGTTTATTAAAAAGATGATGGAACAACAAGGTGGGATAGGCAATGATCCAACCACATTTATTCAGAATGCTTTTTTGGACTTTGATGCATCATTGACTACTCATGATGTTGCTCAAGAGCTGAGAGATATTGCTGGATACAATGAAATGGATTTTCATGATGAAGGTAGTTTTGCTGTTAAGTATTATGATGCTCTTTTGGTTTTATGAGGGGTTAAAATAATCTGGTATTTGACTGAAACACACAATTCAAGTGTTTGCAAATTATTTTATAAAATCACAAAATTTACACTTTTAATTAAAAAAGCTTTAATTGGTTTTATTTTGTGCATGACTGCTAACTTGGAAAAATCCCAGAGTTCGGACCTTATATATGTGAGGCTTGTTTGCTGGGGACACCAACCTATCTAGGAGCAAAGGCAACAAAATCAAACCAGTGCATTGTAGAGTGTTATTGGGTGGACAAAGGCTATGGGGAAGCAAATCCAGAAAGAAAAGTCTCAACATAATACAAAAATTGTGTTGAAGGCAATCCCTTTCAAAATAACAATAGGAATTAAAGGAGAAGAAAAGGGATTAATCTTTATGACTATAAAATATGTATGACTATTAACAATTCCTGTAAAATCTCTATTGCAGAAATACCTGTAGGAAGAACAGAAACTGACTTGTTGAAAGAAGAAGCCAACATTCCTTTAGATCAACTTTTGGCTCAGTATAAAAGTAATGCAAATGATACCACCAAAGACAATCAAAATACAAATAACTCACAGAGCCCGGCTTTGGCAGCAAAAGCTGGCTCATCTTCATGCAATGGAGAAGATATGTTTAAAAATAGCCCGCAGTCTTGTTCATCATCTTCAAATCAAGAAAGCGCAGAATCTTCATTAGAATCTAATGGTACACATGATCTTAACTCAAATAACACTGTCCAGAGTGAGAGTCCACTTGAGCTTAGTGATAAAGTCAATTCAAATTCCCCAGATGGCGATTGCAAATCTGTTACTGAAAATAAAACAGACAATGCTAAGAACTGTGGATCTCAACATCTTATAAAAAATAAACAAACAAATTTGGATGACAATGAGTGTGTATCCTCCTCATCACAAGTTGAAAGCACTTCTGTTGCTGGCAAAACAACAGAAAATGCTGTTGAAAGCTCTTCTCTTGCTGAAGACAGTTCTTCCACAAGTGTTGTTGGGAACTCCTCTATGGCTGGTGAAAGCTCTGTCAATGCTGTTGGAAGCTCCACTGACACTGGTGAAAGTTCTTCAGATTGTGCTGGAAGCTCTTCATCAACTACTGCTGGAAACTCTTCAAGTGCAGCAGGATCTTCAAATGAGGTAATAGAAAATTGTTTTCTTTCATTATGTTAATCAGCATGAATAACAAAACATTATAATGTATAATGCTACATGATTAGTGCATTTATTTTTAATTTATGTAAAAAAATATGTATTTTAAAAACATTTTGTTAAACAGCTAATTTCAATATTATCTACATTAGTTTTAATACAATAGAAAATCTAATTAATTAATTTCCAGTTGTCAGACTCTTTGGCACTGCACAATTTGTTTCTGGGATTTTAACATGAACCACATTTTCATTGTTCACAAATATTAGTATTGATGGAATTACCTGTGTCATTCTGTAAGTTTTCATTGTAGGGTAGCATTTCAGAATTGACACATTCTTTTTAATTTAAAAAAGAAAGTGTTCACACTTACCTGTTACCATTTTATGCAATAATTTAACTACACTTTACATATAAAGTGGGTTTGTTAAGTATATGATTGTGTTGGTATCGTTTAGGCTGAGCCATCAAGCTCTGGTTTGTACTCAAATCCTGGGGTTAGAAAGAGCAAGGCTAAAGCAGCAGCAGAAATGGCCTTGTTGGATGGAGAAATGGACACAAGTGATGAAGATGATGATGACGAGGATGAAGATGATGATGAAGAAGGATGGGAAGATATGAGGTTAATTTTAGAAATTACTATCATCTTGTTTATTTTTGTGTTTTTAATTAAGAAAATAATATTTTTTTATGTGTAAAATTTATTGAAGTTTTTTTATGAGGATTACATTTTTAGTTATCTTGAATTATAAAAATTTGATCTAATTAATATAATAACAAACTTTCGTAATTAGATGTGTACTTGAAAGAACGATAAAACACTTTATCTTAACGTAATACTACCATTGATAATTTAGCTTTTGTAATTTAGAAATTTTAAAACAGCAGAGAATTTAAAAATTTTGTCATGAATATATTTTGAAAGTCTCTACACATCTTTGATGACATTCCAATAGTATACACTAGCCAACACTAAACAACTTGATTAACTTTAATGTGTAAACTTAGTGTTGTGCAATATGATGAATTTTGCTTAAATACCTGCAGTTTAATATTCTGTTATATTTAGTGATAGTGAGGATGATGATGAAGATGATGAAGACGAAGTTAAGGAAGTAAAACGTAAAGGAGATGGCTCAAAGATTTTACCTTGGGGCATGGCTAAAGAAGAGGAAGTAAGTGCAAGAAAATTAAAATGTATTAAAAATGAATTGTGATTTCAAAAATTGCTAGTCAATAAATACGTCCAAATACTGAAAATGGATGTCATCAATAACTTTCTGTTTGCTACTGCTTCAACTACTTGACTTGATATTTTATGTCATTATACCTAATTTTTTGAAAGACATTTTAACAATCGGTATGCATTAAATTTGTACATAAATTCCCAAGTTTTTTGTTTTGTATTTTAAAAATAACACTGTGGCATTCTAAAACAAATACATTTGATATGTGTGTAACTGAACTTGAAACTGTATTTTTTAAATTTGCAGCCTGGTTCAGATAGTGGCTGTACTGCTTGTGTTGTCTTCTTGCAAGGAAAAAAAATTATTGTGGCTAATGCAGGTGACTCTAGATGTGTCTTATCAAGGGCTGGCAAAGCAGTTGAACTTTCCTTTGATCACAAACCTGAGGATGACTCTGAAAAATCTAGAATTGAAAAGGCTGGGGGTAAAGTCACTCAGGATGGTCGTGTCAACGGTGGCTTAAATTTATCAAGGGCAATAGGTACTTTTTAAAAACATTTTACTTCATGTAAAAAATTTTAAAAATAAACATTAATATGTACAATTTGATGTGACATTGAAATTAGTATTGCCATGCCATTGATGACTTCCCTTAATCATAAGGAATGCAGTGTAAAACCACTTTTGCTTTCAGGGGACCATGTTTATAAACAAAACAAAGACTTGCCAGCTAAAGAGCAGATGATAACTGCCTTGCCTGACATTGAAATGGCAGAGCTATGTGATGATGACCAATTCATTGTGATTGCTTGTGATGGCATATGGTATGACAGTTTTCTTTTTAATATCAGCTATGTATGTAAATGTTTTAACTGTTCCTAATTTTGCTTTTCTATCATCCTACAGGAATTATCTTTCTAGTCAAGATGTTGTTGACTATATATTAGAGAAATTAAAGGATCCAGAAAAGAGGAAAAAGCCTTCTCTAATATGTGAAGAGGTATTTACAAAGTTACATCAATCTTCTAGTACTGTTTGTTTTCAACTGCATGAATTTCCATTAAATAAAAATCTACTAGACCAAGCTTGATTAACTTAAATCAGTGAGGCAACACTTTTTTTCTATTCTCCTACTCACTGGTCTGTACTAATGCTTAAGGTACACAAATATTTCATTATTTATTAGCGTTAATTCTGGGGAGATTTTTGATTAAGTTACAGCCCAAGTAAACATAGCAATATTATTTTAAAATCTTGGAATAAAACAGATTTATTTTTATGGTAAAATTGTCATATAAAAGGACCAAAACTATTTTTCATTTTGTCTAAAATCTATTACTATTTATGTTTGTGAAGGCTTTTTGTTTCATCTACACAAATATAATCATGCGCATGTCAAGTATTAATATCTTTTTCTTTCAACTTCTTGTAGCTGTTTGATCATTGTCTTGCCCCCAACACTTATGGTGATGGCACAGGTTGTGACAACATGACTTGTATAATTATCGTACTGGACACTTACACCAACACAAACAGTATATCTAGCACTGAGGCAGCTTCTGACAAGAAGGAAACAATCTCTGATGTAAACACTGACAGCCCATCCTCTAAACAAAATAAGACAGATGATGGCAATGGATCAGATTCTTTAAAAAGATGTTTAGATACTGTGGAGGTCAGTGAAGGGAAGAGGTTGAAATTACAAGAAGAGATAGTGTGAATTGTATTTATAGACTTAGTTGTAAATACCTAACTTTTGCCTTGTTAGTGATCTGAAATAGAAGGTAGAATCTTTAACATGTGGACCATTTAACATGTGGAGTTAAATTGTTCACTGTTTTTACTTAGATGGTAGGATGTGTGTAATTGTAACAAGGGCTGTGATGTCTAAAAATGGCTGCTGTTTGTAGCAAAAAACTTTTCTCATAACAAAAAAAAGGGTTAGTTTTTTCCATTCAATGTCAGTAGCTAATAGATGCCACAGCCCTTTTATGCATTTCTTATGTGTAGAGGTATCTTAAATAAAACTTGTTCTTAATCCAGAGCAGTTTTTTTTTAGAAAAGTGGCATGCAAGCATGTTAGCGGTCAACACCCTATTATCTATTAGCTTCCACCCACAAGTTAAGAATTAATTTCAATTTTTATTTGTAGTGCCTAAATGGTGATGAGGCTCAAACAGAGAAACAAAGTGTCAGCACATCCCAAATTTCTGTCATTTAAAGGATAGAGTTTGAAATTCTTCCTTTAATCAGCCAAATTTATTACATTTACAGCAGCTCTGTTACAATTTTTAGTTATTTTTAGATCAATTCTTAAGTCAGGGCTGATTTAAGTATGTTAAATATTTTAGACCATCTATAAGTTATTTATGTGAAGACTCAGTGAGACTACAATTTTACCTGACTGATGCTTTATTTTGGCAACCTTTATTTCTAAGCAAGTTCTAATGTTAGTGGAGCCAAGAAACAGCTGATGGATTGCCACATTAATATCTGATATGCCACCTTTAACTTGATAGTTGGGAAGCTAAAACAGTGATCAACTACTTCACCTTGCCCAAATATTTTTCTCTCAGATCCTTCACATTGTTGTTTTAAACCACTCACCTGTTGGAGGTTGAAGCAAACAAATTTGTATACAGGGTTATATATTTTTGTACGTGAGTTTAAGCAGCTATAGTTCTGGTTATGACAGGAGCTGTCAGTGTGTATGCTAGCCTTTAAGTTAGTATAGGATCTTTTATTTTTGTAAATGAGTTAAAGCATTGCCAATTCTGGTTAAGACCCAGGACTGTCATGTGTATACTAGCCTCCAAAATTGATGTTCATTTTTTTAAAGTCCGGTCTTATATTTTTATTTGGATATCACGATTCAGTAAATGGTGACAGTGAATTGTCAATTTATTAAAAACAAAGTGCACTTTTTTCACTTATAATCCAATATATTTTTATCGATTGATTAAATGTGTTCAGAATTTGAAAAGTATGTAAATATTTTTCTTTTACATTAGTAATAGTGTCAGAATTCAACATTGATGAATGAACTCTAGTACAACATATTATCAGATTGAGTTCTATGGATTGAAGAAATGAATGATTCTATTGAGACTGAATGGGATGAATGCATATATTTTGTATTTCCCAGCATTGATTCAATGTTTGACCAAAGTACAATTTATTTCACTATCATTTGAAATATGTTAGTTGCTTTCTATAAGAAAGTATCACATTTATTTTCTATAAATTATATGCCAACATAATAAATTGCACTTTTTCTTTTTGTGTAAATAAACTTAAATATTCTTATTGCTAGTAAATGCTGATTATTTTTTTTGTAACCATATACATGCATCAATTTGAATGATAATGAATGACCAAAAATATCTATTAAAACATCTATTATGACAATATTTTGCATATAAAGAAATTATTTCTTGTTGTTACTTGTATTAGAATCTGCTTAATGTGATTTTTTGGTTGTTTTTGTTAAGATGAGTCATAAGATCTAGTAGCTACAGTTAAGGTTGTAACTGTAAATGCACTTAATTAATCAACTATTTGAAATTTTTATCTAACATCAAATCTAGTCTTAAGCGTTAAACTTTTGGTGGCATTAAATTGTTAATTTTTTAAATTTCAAAGATAATTTATTAATAAAACAGAAATTTTATTATTTTTACATTCCACTTTTTAACACAGAAAAGCTAGAGGGAAGCAAGAATTTAAAAAAAATTAAAATAACTATTTTTTATTGTACTCAATTAATGGCAGAAATTTAGTTTTTGACAGTTTTTCATTAAAAGTAATATTTTGTTATTTAACTAAATGTAATGAAAGCTTTTGATAATTAACATTGTGTTTTAGTTTTCTCACCTCTTTCTTCCAAAAATGAATTGTTTTATTCCCCTTAGAAAGTCTGCCGCAAAGTTTCATGCAAAAGTTGATTTAGGTTAAGTCTTGACATGTCACATGAATGCATTATTGCCATTCTTGGTTGAAAACAATTTGTCTTATCACTGTTTAAAGTTTGGTTACATAACCATTGGAAGAACCAATTTATATGCAAATTATATGACAACTCAAGTTCATTGATGCCAAGATTACATTTTTCTTATGGATTTTTTGGCATTTTTCATATTTGCATAGAAATAATAAATATAGCCGTCCCATGTAGTAAATCACATATTTTTTTGTTGTATATTATCAAAGTGTACAATATAATAGGCGAAGGTTTGATAGCTGATGTGTTAACTTAGTGAAGGCTAAATCTGCTCTCTTGTTGCTTTACTGGAAACAAGTTTGTTTTTTTACTGCTACATTGTGCTGATAAACTTTTCAGATGTAACACTTTTTTTTATTGGAAAATTAAAACTGTTCTACACTGATGTACTTGATTTGAAATATGCAGGCAATTATTATCTTTGTTGAATTAAATAAAAAGTTGTAAATAACACTTGACTTGTAGTATAATTTATACTAATTATGTGTCATTCTCCTGTAGAACTAGTGACTTGGAATAGGTCATGTATGTAATATAGTAGAAGTAGTATGTTTATGGAACCAATATGTTGGAATGGGTCATGTATGCTTAGTAGTATAAAGTAGTATGTCTATGGAACCAATGTGTTGGAATGGGTCATGTATGTATAGTAGTACAAAGTAATGTGTCTATGGAACCAATATGTTGGAATGAGTCATGTATGTATAGTAGTACAAAGTAGTATGTCTGTGGAACCAATATGTTGGAATGAGTCCTGTACAGTACTAGCAGCCACCTCTGGAACTGCCAGTCTCCACTGGGAATAATCTACAAAGGAAGATTTAAAATAATCAACAAGATATCAGTTGATAACTTTTATTTTCAATTTTTAAAAAATTATACAAATATAAAAGACTCTTCTTAGTATAAGTCACATCAATAGTGTTTAAAAATTGTGTCCTTTGATTGTAAAAACTGACCAGAATTCTGTAATCTCATGTATTAAATGGCTGTTTCTCATGTATTTAATGGCTGTTTCTTGTAAAAGTACAATGGTCCATACAGTAAAATTTTACAAGAATACAGCTAACAATTACAACAGTACACAGTAAAATTTTTCAAAAGACTTTGGCCAACAATTAAAATACTGCAGTAAAATTAAATTTGGTATTTGCATGCAATCAACACAAGAAAGATAAACAACATGCCCTCAGATTAGGTTGATTAAAACTTAACATAGTGATGTGGGTGGACTAACGTCACACCTCAGTCCAGGTTTAGAGTTGGACTAACTTCTAAACACTGTAGACTAGACAGTAGAACTAGAGCAGGTTTATTAATGTGCTCAGGTTTGGCAGAGTGTCTAACTAGATCTGGAATGTTTTAGAATGAGTTTTGTCTTGCTGACGTTAAAAACAAAACAAAGAGATTGAACATGAAATACTGTACAGGATACTCCGTGAGCAAGGAACCGTAATTAGTCATAAAAAATCGTTTTCAATAGTAAACGTATTGCTTATATACAGGCTTTCATTATTAGATCTACTAATATTTGACAATATTCATTTTCAACATTTTCCATTTTATTTCTTGTAGTATAATCTAGTCCTTTTTTCGGCCGTGTTTTAAAATATATTGAAAATACTGTCTATCGGCACAGCTTTCTTTCTGTGGTCGTAGCATTGTTATTTATTTGCTTAGTTATTGTTCAAAATGGAACAAAATAATAGTGATTTCAAGTCGCACTGAGTCTATCGTCTTCTATGCTGGGAGCAGTAGGGATACGCAAGGGACGCAACTCGCCAACTAAACTGCTATACTCTGGTGCATGGGTGGCGTTTCTTGTCGGGTTCATCAACCGCCGGTGTAGGAGATTGGAGTTGGTGACGTTGTCGCTCCAGCTTCTGTCCCGGATGTCCTCTGTTGCGTCTTGTCTGCGCAGGCTCGGGCCCTCGCTGGTTTGACTACGACTTATCGTGTTCAACACCGCTTCATTTTCGATTCGGTATTGGTCCGTGTCTAGAATAGGACAGCTCGAAGAGGAAGACAAGATGGCGTGAGATCTCGTGTCATTTCTCGCCCTTCCCGCCCTGTCTACGTCACGCGAGTTTTGCATAGCTATGACGGCGTCATAAGATGGCGGGTCTGTATCCGCGGTGGTAGCTACAGCGGGGGGTAGAACCGACGCTACTGTTGTCAAATTTGGGGCATTTTCACAAAAACTGTTTGAACGTCGACGACGGACATTCCCTCGATATGATTGGATAGGCTCGTCAGTTCTAATTGCGTACATTCTGGTCACGTGATCACTGGCGTGTCTCCTCCTGCCACTGTCGGTCCTAGACACGGCGTTGTTGGTCTGGGCGAGGTAACTAGCCGGGAAGACAATGTTCTCAAACTCGGTGGACGGTGTCAGCTGAATTCGACACGCTTCATCAAACGTCGGGGGCGGGGTTAGAGGCGTCGGCTTTGGCCAGTCTCGGCATATCCTGGAACATTTGTGGAGTTTGAAAAACTCGGTGATGCCGAATAAACCTTTATCGAACAGGCCGTAGGTTTTGCAGCTGGAGTGGATGGTGGAGTCGGTGAAGATGTATCTGGTGGCGGAGCCGGTTCTCTCACACACGCCCTGGAAGTCGCAGGCCACGAGGGTGCCGTTGGTGAACTTGTAGGTGTAGTGGGAGAAGGCCTGCAGATGTTCGGATTCGGCGTGCTCCTCTGTGTGGTTTTCTAGCGACCATGGACAGAACCGGACCAAATCACCTACAGATTGGAAACGTTACGTCAAAAAAATAGTGCAAATATTTTTGTCGAAATATTGCGTTAAGCATTTATCTTTTTGTTTCATTTTATCTTTTTCTTACAGCTAGTTTTTCTTTAAAAAAAAAAAAAAAGCTTAACCCTTTTTTTTCAAAGTGTCACAATGTTCACTTGTCAACAATCGCTAACGTTCGTGTTGTTAAACTTGAAAAAAGTTTACTAGCGTTAATTGTTTGAAAAAAATCAAAATAATAAAAGTGAATACTACTCAACTAATGAGTGGTTATGTTGGAGTCATTGGGTGTGGGTCTGACCACATGTGAAAAAGAAGATGAACTGATGGGTTCGCAAAAAATAAATAAAGAAACACTTGAACCAACCCAAAACAGTGTTTCAAATTAATTATCAGCCAATGAGCGGTATTAACTGATGGCCAAGTACAATACCTGGGATGAGCTCCTCAATAGAAATCCACTCGTCTTGGTCTAAGCTACGTTTTCCCTTTCTTCCTGCCAGCCATTTGTTGACGTTGGAGACTTTATCCATTTGGACGATGCCAGGAAGGACAACCTGATACATAAAATTAATTGACTTATCGACAACGTGGTACTTTGACGGTCGTGTGGTAGCGTACAAAACGAAAGTTCTTATTTTGGCTTCCGCGTACGACTCCATTGTTTTCGTAGGCGAAAGTAAAGGTGGATTGGCATAGAGCTCGCCTCACAATCAATTGAGATGTTATGACATGTTAGGGTTATGGGAATATGTGAACACGAATTCTTTTGCTCTATAGACCATCGGGTTTGAAATGGATTCTATTTTTTTGTTCTATAGACTATCGGGTTTGAAAAGGATTATATTCTTTTGCTCTATAGACCATCGGGTTTGAAATGGATTATATTCTGATAATTGACAATAGAAGTATAAAAATAATAATTAGTAACACCATTTAGAAATGGTTATTTTTTTTAACTAGACTATTGCCAGATCCCGTGTATATCGGCAGTTTTCCAGATTTTCCCAGTCAATTAAAAAATTTGATTTTAGAATTAAAACTGAATTCAATACGTGGTTGTTAAACTGATTGCATAATGACTGGCTGAGTGGTAGATCACACGAGTGGTAACTATCGAATCTCAAGCTCGGCTCACGGTCGAGCCTGTTTCAACATCACGTGACTTCGGTCAAACAGGAAGAGCTAGATTCAAAACGGAAGACCCCAAACATCAAACTAAGAAAAGATCACTCACTCGGATACTGCACAGGGATGGGAAATCTTCAACAAACTTGGCCGCCAGTTGCTTGGTGACGTTGGACTTGTTGAGCTCGTGTACCCAGAATTCCTTGGTGCCGGGGATGTCGGTAAAGGCCTTGGCCACGACCTTCTCCCACTGACGCGGACCTTGACCCAGTAACACGCCTTTGTACATTGTTTTTTTACAGCCCCTTGCAAACGGCTTCATCGTCAGGCCAACCTGGTCATTCATAAAACAAAAGGGAAATGGCATTTATTTTTTTAATTAAGAAAAATGTAAGTAGTTTATGTAATAAAAACAATTTGGCCAAGGCCTGTATCGTTAGTAGAGTTGTGTTAGGGGGTGGGGGATTATAAGCCCCCCCCCCCCCTTATGGGCCTCCAAATAATAACTCTATTAAGTTAAATTACAGTGAAACTCACAAAACTGCAATTAAACATTTTACACACACACACACACACGCACACACACACACTAATAGGCATCCCTCCCTACACATACACTTGAAAAACACTTATAAAATATAAATGTTCTAAGTGAAATGGAAATCCCCCCCCCCCCTCCTATCCACGTTATCTATATATATAATTCTCTTCTTCGAGCCGTTAGAAAACAAGCTGCAAACGCTCTCCCTACCTCCCCACCCCTACATGGTTTTAGTGAGCTGTGTTCACTCTAAATGTTTACAAGCAGAGCCAACGATTTTAAACGTAGGGGGGGGGGGGGGGAGAGGAGGGGGGGGAGGGAAGGAAGGGGGGGGGGGTTATGGTCCTTAACGAGCTACTTATAGTGTTTTAAAGAAATATTTTCAGTGTCAGCGTTGGTACTGTCGAATTCACAAATTATGAATTATTGAAAATTAGAAACAACTAAATAGCGGCGTATGTTATGCCGCGGGCCGGCTCGTTGGTGTTATTTCAGATCCGTCCTTCAACTTGTAACTGGCTACATGACCCGTTCATTAGATAATGTATCACTAAAACAAAGTGAGAAAACAATCAGTTTAAAACACGGGAGCTACTTCCGTACTGCAGCCAATATGGGTAATCTTACAGGTAGGGAACCTTGTTTAAATGATCACCGCTACAGTACGGCAGCCAATATGGGTAATCTTACAGGTAGGGAACCTTGTTTAAATGATCAACGCTTCAGTACTGCAGCCAATATGGGTAATCTTACAGGTAGGGAACCTTGTTTAAATGATCACCGCTACAGTACGGCAGCCAATATGGGTAATCTTACATGTAGGGAACCTTGTTTAAATGATCACCGCTTCAGTACGGCAGCCAATATGGGTAATCTTACAGGTAGGGAACCTTGTTTAAATGATCACCGGTTCAGTACTGCAGCCAATATGGGATATCTTACAGGTAGGGAACCTTGTTTAAATGATCAACGCTTCAGTACTGCAGCCAATATGGGTAATCTTACAGGTAGGAAACCTTGTTTAAATGATCACCGCTTCAGTAGGCCTACTGCAGCCAATATGGGTAATCTTACAGGTAGGGAACCTTGTGATCACCGCTTCAGTACGGCAGCTAATATGGGTAATCTTACAGGTAGGTAACCTTGTTTAAATGATCACCGGTTCAGTACTGCAGCCAATATGGGTAATCTAACAGGTACGGAACCTTGTTTAAATGATCACCGCTCCCTAGGATGACACGCACTGATTGGGAGACAGACAGAACTGACGTTAAGACGAGAGGTTTTGAGAATTAGAGATTTGATTAAACGGACAATATGGCAGACTAAGTAGATGTGATCTTTTTCTTTAGTCTTGGCATGTGAAGGAATTGTGTGGCCGGTACGAGACTGGAAAGACCACACTATCACTCACTCACCTAGTCACACACACCCCCTACGTCAATCACTCACTAACTCAGTTAACTTTTGAATCACTCAATAAGTAACCGACTTAGTCAGAGGCTACCACTATTTACTCACCCAGCCACTCGGCACCCCCCCCCCCCTCTCTACATATATCACTAACTGTTGTTCAGTAACTCCCTACACCCCAATCATTAATTCAATCATTCACACATTGAATCGGCCAATCAGTCACCCTAACTAAATCCCTCCCTCCTCTCTATTCACACTTATTTGACTCCATCCAACCCCCACTTACCCAATACTTGTAGCCGTCCCCGCCAGATATACTCAGGGTCTCAGAAGACATCGCCTGCCCCATTGTCGTCTGCTGTTCCTCAACACGTGTTCACACTTCAGGTCTGCTGTAAAATTTCGTTTCAAAAGTTATTTACTTAAGAAAAAATACAAAATTTAAAAGTTACTTTGATGAGTTCAATGGCATTGTTATCGTCATATTTCTGTGATAATAGCACTGTATAAGTATAAGGTATTATAGACAAAGCTTAACACTTCATTTGCATCTCATAACAAGAGGATTTTTTTTTCTGTAAGCCCAACCCTAGTCCTCAGCTAAACCTATAACCTTTTGAAACCGTAAGATCGTCGTTCAGCACAAACAAGTAGGCATAGAAGCAGCAATAAAAATAAAACTTGCGATTCTTGAACCCAATCATAGGAAAAATAACTTTGGGGAATTATTTTATAACAGCAGGTGACTCTTCATTAAATTAGTCCAAATTCCAAAACAAGAACATGAAACAATGAACTAGATATTTTCATACGACGTGAAAGTCACGTGTTAACTCACTACTCACGTGATGTGGCAAAACAAGAGCAACGCCGTTGTTTTGGAGTCGAGGTTACTGTAATAGAACCAAAACAACAACGGATGTTGTTTTTTTCTCGCTCTTTACTAGCTTTTCACAGCACTCAAATTAAACTAAACCAAAGTAGGATCAACTTTGTTTAGCCGCCGATTGCAGCTAAAGCTAAAGATATTTTACTATCTCCCAGAAGTTATAGGCAGACTTAGATTGGCGTGGTTTTACAGCCCCATGTTTTGTTTAATATGCTAAGTAAACATCGAATGACTGGCAGGCAACATTTAGTGTACTGTAGTTGTGCGAGCTATTCGACGTAATAAAATAGCTTTTAGTAACGCGATACTGTGGAACGGAAGAGGTGCGGTTGGGTGGGTGTAGTCTTCTTGTATAACACACAAAAAATGCTCGAGCATTTTAATGGGCTGGCTTTTAAAACATTCTTTTTTGGGGCGTAGGATGTATTTGATTACATATTAAGCTTTATTTTCAACATTTTGATTATACTGAAAGTATTTTACCAATATGTAAAAATGTACGGATATTCCTTAAACCGCCCCCCTCCCCTCCAATTTAAACCTTGAATGAAAATTAAATTGTAGGAGTTCATCAGACGACACAGCACAAAGAATGTTTCATTACAATCACGTTAGTAAACTCTATCTCACTTTCAACTAGGTCATACAGTAGGCCTACACAGCTCAATGTTTTTATAATTAAACCTCATTACATTAGATCTAATTATATGATTAACATGAGTAATCCCTGTCTCAACAATACAATGTTCTTTAGGATACCTACACCGATTCATAAATCAAATTTTTATAATTCAATTTCATTACATTATTGATTCACGTAAGTAACAATGTTCTTTATGAGGCCTACACAATTTAATTTCATAACTCACCTTTTTATAACTTAATTTAGTTATCTTCAAGCACATGAATATCCAAACGTGTTGCCGTGCGGTTGTGTTAGACGTGTGCTTGTTTTGACACACGTGTCCCAGATTCACCCACCAGTGAAAGGTACAGGTCTATAAATAAAGGAGGCCATGGTAAAATGCACCTCTTATACTGCACAAGTGACACGTGACTTGGAAAAGTCTTCATAATATCCGTGTTGCTTCTGCTTCGGTTTACTGGGTTAAAAACATAGGTGTCGCTCCAACCAGCAGCTGTGAATAATTGGATGTGACAACACGCCAACCACCTAAACCCTTCATGTAGTACTAGTAAACCTAATTGCCTTTTTTTTTCTAAACATTAAAGCACGCTTGCCAATTTTTAAGCCATAGGTTCCAACTTCCTTTAAAATAATTTAAATTGTTTAATAAACATGTGCTTTTAAAATAGCCCCAAGTAATATTTTCATGAATGAGCACGTCAGGGGTATACGTTTTATGTGACAACCGACTCTTAAGACCCCCTTCCCCCTCCCTCCAACCCCCACCACCAAAATAGCACATGGTGAGGCTCATTATTAAACCCTTGGTATATATCAACGGAAGGAGCAATGTACCGTTCTATTTTTAAATATCTGGAAGTTGTAGCCCGGGCGGTTAGTTAGTTTTTAGCCAACAAGAATCTAACTTTTAATAAATAATAACAGCCTCACTATCGTTTGGACGGAGTGGTCTAGCGGTAGACAGCTCGAGTGCTAACCCAAAAGTCGCGAGTTCGAATCCGCGTTTTAGTCAGTAGAACGTCCGTGAGACCGGAGTCCACCCAGCTCTGATGAGTTCTTAACTCACGTTAGGGAAAGTAAAGGCGGCTGGTCATAGTGCTGACCACACTTATCCCTTCATGTGATGAGGTTACAGAAACAGGTGTATTCTACTTCCCTTGCCCCATAGATCATCAGGTTTGAATGGGACCTTAACTTTTTTTTTAAAAACTACTATTTGAATTTATATCATACAATAAAAGCATTGCAAATATTTGAAAAATAAAAGCTACTCTTGTGCCCTCAACATAATGGTGTGATCCGCCAACGAAAGGTTTCCTTCTGATGTCATGTGATGTGGAGTTTTCCGTAGGTAACAAAACAAAAACGTAGTTCCCGTTCTTCGAAAAGTGGGACAACAAAAATTGGTAAACCCCGTTTATCGATTACTATATTGCTAATAATAGACAGGTGAAAAGCGTAATAGGAGCGGTTAAAAGCTAGAAAAAACCTCCACGTCACAAAAAGTATTTTATAGAAAAATCGAGAAGCTTTGTCCCTTAGCACAGTTAATTAATTTAATTAAATTTTAAATTTAATCAGTACAAAGGATCTCTTAGCTGAGCCATCCTCTCCCGAAGACAGTCTACCCCCCCCCCCCATCCCTCCAAACGAAACGATTTTAAGTAATAAATATATACTTTTACCAGTGTCCCCCCTCCCTCGGAAATTTAGTCCTCCCCCCCCCTCCCCCGAGAAAAAAGTCTGAAAGAAACGCTTGTACCGTGTGAGATTTAGTTTGGCGGTTGCTGTAATTAACGAATCTTTTGTGTACACAAACACATACACAATCTATAATATGTTAATTTAATCAAATAATTTTTTTTAAATTAGTCATTGCACCCGCTTGCAGCATATTTTCTTTGATTTATTAACCCTACCTTGGCCGTCCAACTATCGCCACTTGAAAACGTTCTTTCGATTACGTCCCTTATCTCCCACACCGCCTCAGTCAACATAGGATGGTGATGAAACAACGGTGACATAGGCTGGGTACGGCGTCACGGAATTTTGTTTTTTCATCTCACTCACCTCACTGTCGTACGGCATGTTGCGTTTATTTACGTGTACTTGGGTGCAGAAATACAGTGTCGGACAACACTCTTTTTGACTGGGTGTTAACTTGATTGAGAATTACAAACATACAATTAGCGAAACAATACATTTAGCGTACCATGAAAGTAACATTTTTATCTGGTTGATTGTAGAATATTAATGACATATTGTGGAGTTAATTTTTTTTCTATATAAAAAACAAACAACCCACTAGAGTGACAATCGTATGATTTGTTTCATATGTGTGGATTCAAGATTTTAGCTAATAAAATCAAATTCATGTAAAGAATGTTGCACATATTATAGCCTACAACATCGGCATGGTAGAGCGTGGTTTGTCATTTCTTGTCATACCGTGTTGTAAGGGTTATGGATTGTTTACATCCTGTTATACAATACAGCGTTTGACTTTTTAAATCCTGACTTGTTGCAAGTATTCAATTTTAGCATACATTTTTTTTCTAGAAATAAAGCACATACAAATATCTGAGGTACGTTATGATGTAATATGAGATGTTACATAATATGAGAGAGTATGGTCTATGGGATGTTACATATATGAGAGAGTATGGTCTATGGGATGTTACATAATATGAGAGAGTATGGTCTATGGGATGTTACATAATATGAGAGAGTATGGTCTATGGGATGTTACATAATATGAGAGAGTATGGTCTATGGGATGTTACATAATATGAGAGAGTATGGTCTATGGGATGTTACATAATATGAGAGAGTATGGTCTATGGGATGTTACATAATATGAGAGAGTATGGTCTATGGGATGTTACATAATATGAGAGAGTATGGTCTATGGGATATTCCACAATATGAGAGAATATGGTCTATGGTATGTTACATAACATGAGAGAGTATGGTCTATGGGATATTCCACAATATGAGAGAATATGGTCTATGGTATGTTACATAACATGAGAGAGTATGCAGTGTTTCTTCCAGACTTTTTTCTCCGGGGGGGGGGGGGCACTTGAAATCTTCGGGGGGCGGTAAACTTTCTTCGGGGGGCGGACACTGTTAAAAGTATATATTTTCTATATAAATTATATAAATTTCATTTCGTTCAGGGGGGGGGGGGGGCTAAAATTTTTTCGGGGGGGTTTCGCCCCCCCCCCCCCCCGAAGAGATGCCCGGAAGAAACTCTGAGAGAATGGTCTATGGGATGTTATAAAATATGTGAGAGTATGGTATATGAAAACATGCTAGATAGCGATGTAAGACTTAGGGGGTGGGTATAAGCGTATTTTTTGTTTAACATGAATCAGCGCTATCTAAAACGGTTATTTTTTTAGTATTTGTATTTAAAAATATTTTATTTTTAAGTCTGCTTGCTAGTTGATGTTAAAAAAAATCTGAATTAAAAAAAAAACCACATTCAAAACATTGCAATCTGCAGGAAATATCCGTATCAATACATGATTATATTACTGGATATTACCTAAAGTCTTTTCCTTCCAACTAAATCTTCATTTGGCAAATTTACAGACGTGGTTATAAGGTAGAATAAACTAACACAGCACCCCCCCCCCCCAACGAGTTCCGGTGTAGGGGATTTTCCGTCACCAACTCTGTGTTAAAGACATCAAGTAGAAATTAATGTACATTCATCTTGTTGGTCCTACACGGTAGTCACGTGATGGATGTACCAAAACTAGAGTATAAGACTAAAACAACAGGAAATATAGTCACAAATTACCATTATCATTAGAAAACTACTGTTGTTTTCTGAAGAGGAACTTCATTTGAATAGGAAATTATTTTAGTGCATATTTCTTTCCTAGCAAAAACAGTGAATGTTTATTTAAATTATTACAGTGAACATGGACATCGACACAACACCTTGGTGTAGAATAAAAGATGTAATTAATTTAACATTTTATTTTAGAAAGTTGTGTTAAACCAACCGTGAGCATTGATTCCATGAAACGCTCCTCGTTCATTGGTCTGGTTATTGGGGTTGTAGGGTTGTTGGTCACTGGTCAGATTAATGGGGTTGTAGGGTTGTTGGTTACTGGTCAGATTAATGGGGTTGTAGGGTTGTTGGTCACTGGTCAGATTAATGGGGTTGTAACTTCAACGCCCTCAACAATAAAACTTCTTTCACACCATATTGTCACGAATTCAATCACACCGTAATTTGATTTCAGATGAGCCAATCTAAATGTAATTCAATCACACCGTACACTGACTTAAACTGAGCAAATCTAAATGTATCTCAATACTTCACAAGTCAACTAATACAAGCATACCTAAAACTAATTATAACTTTGCTACATTAGAAATATCTTTTTTAGGGTCCATATATGAAGTTAATCATGATCCTTGAACATGAAATAATGACAATAATGTATTAGTTTTCATTTTAGTGTGAAGTTCTATTTTTTTTTAAATGTGACGGAACACATTCATTACATTCCACGATGTGACTTACTACATCCACCGCCGCCCCTCCCCGTGGACGTATATTTAAGGTCAAACTACTTAGACCAAGAAACTACTTAAGCTTCTCACTGAAGTTCATCACTCGTCGTCCCATCCTTGACGAGGCTAAGACAGCCCGTCATAAGAAGACAAGTCCAAAATTTGGTTGCGGATGTACACGGTGACACTACGGTGTAAACATAATTTAATATTGTCATGTGTAGTGCGAGGTTGGAGATATGTTGCCAACGTGTCAATATTAAACGTGTTGAAGGTTGGTCAATCGGTCCGCTTACTCATCAGGATTCATCAATATACGATTCTTATGAACATGTCAGCCCCCCACCCCCCCCCCGCCCCCACTCCTTAAAATGTCACACTTCAGACTACACATTGCAGTCAGTTTTTAAACAGTGTTTCTTCCAGACTTTTTTTTCCCTGGGGAGGGTGGGGGAGGGGGGGCAGACACTAGTAAAAGTATATGTTTACTATATAAATTCCATCTCGTTCGGGGAGGGGGGGGGGGCGAAGAAATATCTGCAAGAAACTCTGTTTTTAAAACAACGATTTCTTTCTAAAATACTCACTGAGCTCGGTCAAGATTTACACATTACACTTATGTCTTTTAAAATACGAAATAACTGCTAAAGTTCAGTTTGAAACATTACTTTTTCACTACTGCTTAAAATGCAAAAGTGTGCCGTCAATAATTCTGAACTAGCCCCTCCCCTTCGTCACACATCGTCACTAAAGTCTGAACCTCCTTAGGAGTATAACATCACGAACAGATGACTCCCAAAAAAAATAAAAAATAAAAACTCTTTATCATAATACGCCTTTACACGCACTGGAAAAAAAAAACAACCTTCATTCCAGAGTAAAAGTGTTGGTCCCTTAAGTCAAGTAGCATTGATACATTAATAAGGCGATATTCAAGTTTATAAAAGAAAACAAGTTAATTAAACAAGTTAATTTAAAAAGTCTAGTGACATTTATGCGCAATTTCCTTAGTTATCTAAAAATAGCTCTGACGTATAATGCTGGGGTGCGTTCAAGCTAGAAGAACGATCGGTTGTAGGTTGTTTATGTAATTTAAAATTTGTGACCGAACGAGAGGGATATTTTTGAAAACTTTCTTCGGCAATATTGTTCTAAATTATGGCAGGAATCGATTGGTACATGTTTCAAGTCGCTAAGTGGTCTGGTTGCCGAGATATGGGCCAAAAAACTGCATTTTTTCGAGGTGTTTTGGCTTTTCCTGGAAATCCATGAAAGAAACCCGGAATTTTTATGGCCTATGTTCATTCTCGTAACTTGCTTAACATAATTGCTTTTGGAACTAGTCATCGATATTGCTTCGTTGAGGAGGAGATACGACTTATAAGCCCGGACACACATTCATACATCCATACATTCATTCATTCATCCATCCATTCCCAGAAATGACGAGTTAAAAAACGCAATTCTCCAGAATGGAAATTGCGCTAAAAAAACAATTTTTAGATTGCTTATCCCACTCCGTTTGTTCATAACTAAGTCGACATTCGCACACGACTCAAAAACATTTACTTTTTAAAAAATCGACCAGCAACTCTAAACAAACAGTTATCTGCCCATTATTACAGCCCGTACAAGCTCCTGAAGAAGGGGACTATTTTGTTACGCGGTGAAACCAACCCTCGTCTCAACTGTGTGATCGCTACTTAATATTCTTGTCATGTCCTTTTGTACTACAGTCTTTGTAGATTTTCAAACAGATTTTGACAACAGGATACATTAGAGTCTGAATAGAAGTGGGACTACTTATTTACATCAGCCAGTGCAAAGATTTGTAAAACGTGTATAAAGTCGGTAATACTTGTGTAATTTTTTTAATAGACTACACCAAATACTTATTTGCTAATTCCAATTGCAAACTTAAAACAAAATATATTACTAATTCAATCAAATATGCCTAAAATAGTTTAAAAAACTGATAATAAAGAGAAAATTAGGTTACAAATCGACAACGCGGACAAGTATTCAAATATTAACAAACAGCTCAACTGAATAAAATGATGGGTTTTGTTCTGCTTTCAGCTGATGTTATTGTTGACATATCGCGTTCTTGTTTTGGTCAATCACAACAACAGTGAGTCAGGTGCCACACAACAAGGTGTCAGTTCATTCATGTGTGTCTTAACACACCCAATAAATGTGTCCAGTTACACCAACAGACAACCGTCTGTGGCCACACGGTAAAGGTCAACGTTCAGGTGTGTCTCCAGATGCACAATAAAGGTGTCACTTTACGTGTGTCCTTATCCACACAACAAAGGTGTCAGTTCATTCATGTGTGTCTCAACCCACCCAAAAAAGATGTCAGTTTATGTGTGTCCTCAGCCACCCAAAAAAGATGTCAGTTTAAGTGTGTCCTCAGCCACCCAAAAAAAGATGTCAGTTTATGTGTGTCCTCAGCACCACAACAAAGATGTCAGTTTATGTGTGTCCTCAGCACCACAACAAATGTCAGTTTATGTGTGTCCTCAGCGACATAGCGAAATTTTCAGTTTCTGATCCACACAACAAAGGGGTCAGTTCATGGGTGTCTGAGCCAGAAGCGTAGCGACCCATCCCGGCGCCCGCGTTCAAACTTTCAATTTGGCGCCCCCCCCCCATATAAAAAAAATTGTAATTCAAAATTACAGCTAAAATGAGCTTAATTTGGGCGCCCCGCCCCCCCCCCCCCCCCCACCGTCGCTACGTCTCTGGTCTGAGCCACACAACAAAGGTAAATATTTGAGTTTCAGTTACATTTGTATCAATGCTGTAATTACCCTTGTTTTTCGGTGCTAAGCCGCTTCTGTTATTATCATGTGGTGACAATAAGAAACCAAATGTTTTGGATTTGGTCACACATCTTGGTACAAACTACAGGTATTTTCAAACTGTAGAAAAATCAAAATCATACAACTCCACACCACGAAGTTTTATAATGACATGTTTTAATGAAACTGCACGATTTAAAAAAATAAAATAAATAAATCTCCACTTAGAGAGTGCAGGCCGGCTGATTCCAATGTAGTTTTACGATACTCACCATTTGTAAACAAAATCATAATGCTTTGAAAGCAACACGACCACGCAATTATCAGTGTACAGGTAGGTTAATTTGACGTGAAACCATGGACATGGGGGTCATTTTGGGTGGGTTCTTGCCAGAGTTTCTTCCAGGCATCTCTTCGGGGGGGGGGGGGGGGGGTGGGGCGAACGAAATGAAAATTTATATAATTTATATAGAAAATATATACTTTTTAACAGCGTCCCCCCCCCCCCCCCCCGCCCCCACGAAAATTTCAAGTGCCCCCCCCCTCCCGGAGAAATAAGTCTGGAAGAAAACACTGGTTCTTGCCCCCCTCACCCCAACATCTCCTGCACTACGCCACTGGATGTTTTAGTTGGATGTGAAACAGAAACCTTTTGTTAGTTTTTTTTTTGGTGTTATTTTAAACCTTGAAAAAAAAAACCTCAAAAAAAAAAAGAACAAAAGTACTTGTAAAAAAAGCCAAAACGTTAAATCTCGTTTCACCATTGGGTCCGTCGTGTTATATCTTGTTTCGGTAGAGCCAAAAATGTGTTTGAGGAGATTGTTCCATTTTTTTTTTCGTGCCTTCAAACAGGTCTTCATTGCCAAAAGGGGAGGGCTGGGTATTATTATATTCAAGATCCAAGAAAGGGGCTATTTTGTTTCGCGGTTGAACAAACTTTCTACACTTCGACTCGTGCAAGGGAAACAACAACCCCTCTCCAGCGGCCGAAACAAAACACAAAGTGGCCAAACAGTCGGGACTGGGATGTGAAAATATGACCAGAGCTTGGCAAACGATGCTGGTGTGAGCGCGGAGATTGAATCGCTTGCAGTTTGAACCTGTTGCGGAATTTCAGCGGTATGACTTTCTCGACAGGGGAGAGAATTTTACAAGTACACGCCGAGTGTGTGGAAGAGTAATCACCCGCTTTATCAGATGATTGTTTCGTTAGGCTGAAGCTAGCGTGGTTGATATTTTTAATTTGTCGTGTGCAATATAAAAACGAGAATATAGACCAAGAGGAATATATTTTAATGGATATATTATAATTGTATTTTTAAAATTAAAATAAAATGTAATGATTGTGTTAGAAATGCTTAGTTGTTTTTGATGGCTATAATGTTGCGCCGTGTCGCGCAGTTTTTCAACCATTTTGTCCTGCTTCTGGTGCCATATTGTTCTGGCTACCCCGGCGGGGCCCCGGATTTAGCATGCTCCACTATGTTTCCCACTGGCCATTCGGCGGCCGCGCAGACGTCAAAGCCGCCTTACAAGATCGTGGCCCAGAAGTCAGCCTACATCCCTGGGGAAACTATTGGAGGTAAGTGACCCGACCAGACACTGTCTGATAATGCCAAAATACTGGAATCGTCTTAATAAGGGTTGTTAGCTTACTGGTAGTAAACTATTAACTATGATTCCCCCCCCCCGTCAGGATTGCCAATACGTACTTAAAAGACTATTTAACTTTAATCATTAATTTAATTGAAAAAAAAAGTATTTTTCTTCTGTAAATTTCGCAATTTTTTTGTCTTGGTGTCAACCCTCTAAATGGTTTCTCCCGGTGCGATCCGTACTCCCCCCCCCCTCCCTCGTGCCGCCTCTACTTACCACAACAGGTGATACCCAACCTAGTGACGCCCTTGCATAAAGACAGAGGGAATGATCCCTGTAGATTTATTGGGGTGCTATATGCCAGCTGACCAATGTCCGTGAAGGCGATTGTAAAACGACTTAGACAGATGGCTGTGATTTAGAAGCTGTGAATCACACATCTTAGTTTAGACAAGTAACTAAATTCTAGAGATGTTTGTTTAGGGCCTATCATACAACATCAAAACGTGGTTTTAAAACATTGTTGGTGTGGATAGAATTTCTAAAACCACTACGTAGCTATAAAACAGCTTTAATCCACGCCAGATATTTAGCGATAAAACCACTTTTCTCCCAGCTACGTAGCAATAAAACTACTTTTTTTCCAGCCACTAAAACCACTTTTCTCTCAGTTCTGTAGCAACTAATACCACTTTTGTCCACACAACCTATGTATCCACTAAAACCACTCCCCCCCCCCTCCAGCTATGTAGCCACTAACCCCACCCCCAGCTAGGTAGCCACTAACCCCCCCCCCCCCCCCAGTTATGTATCTACTAACCCCGACCCCAGCTATGTAGCCACTAACCCCCCCCCCCCAGCTATGTAGCCACTAACCCCACCCCCCAGCTATGTAGCAACTAACCCCACCCCCCAAGCTATGCATCCACTAACCCCACTTTCACCCCCCACCAGTTGACGTCTACGGCGTGCAGGCCGACTTTTATCGGCGTCTATGTCCAGCCCCGTCTCGTCGGTTGCCATGTCAACACTACCAGAACTGTGGGCGTCTTCACGGCAGCGGACCCTCGGCTACAGACACGGCACTGCTTCGGTGTCATTCATGTATGTATGTCATCTGTCATCTATGTATGTATGTCATGTGTCATCTATGTATGTCATGGTGTCATCCATGTATGTATGTCATCTGTCATCTATGTATGTCATCTGTCATCTATGTATGTATGTCATCTGTCATCTATGTATGTCATGTCCGTCCTCCATGTATGTCATGTTGTCATCCAAGTAAGTATGTCGTTGTACGTATTGTTTGGAATGTACAAAAGCTTGAGTGGAAAAATGGAATACACGTGTGAGCGGGATTCTGAACATAGGGCATACTAGGATGAAGCATGTGTATTAATAGTGTAGGCCCATGCTACCTGTTACGTTATATCGGTAGCAGTGTTTCTTTCAGACTTTTTTCTCCTGGGGGGCTTTTGAAATTTTCGGGGGGGGCGGTCAACATTTTTTCGGGGTGGGGGGGGGGCGGGTCACTAGTAAAAATGTATGTTTACTATATAAAATCCATCTCGTTCGGGGGGGGGGGGGGGGGGGGGGGGCGAAGAGATGCCTGGAAGTAACTCAGGTCCGGTAGTGGTGGAAGGGGACGAAATCTATACAGTTTCGGATAATTAATAATAATCCAGGGGGCGATAACTTTTCTTTCAAATAAAAACGTCGGATTACTTTTCGGATAAAGATCTTGGTGCCCTAATTCATCTGGATAAAAAAATCTGTACCCTCACATTTGCTGTGTAGCTACTGGCAGAGGCGTAGCTAGGGGAGGGCGGGGAGGGCGGCCGCCCCGGGCGCCGACCCTAAGGGGGCGCCAAAAGGGGTAGAAAAAAAAATTAAAAGCTCATTTTAAGCTGCAGTTTTGAATTATAAACAGTCAAAGTAAAGAAATTTAACGGCTGAGAGCCTTTGCATACTGATTTTACTGTTTTCTACCTTGATTGTGTAACTGTAAAACGTATATCTTTAAGAAACAGTGACTGAAAAAACCGTTTTCCAGCTTTACTAGGTGGAGGGGGGGGGGGGGGGCGCTTTTTCGAAGACTAAAATCGAAAAAATTCACACCGGATTAAGGAAAAAATAACCGATATCACTCAGAAAAGCAACCCATTGAACTAAAGCGTATTTTATGATTGTGTAACATAAAAAGAGTTAGTGGCGTTTAAAATCCGCTCTACCATTTTTGTCCAAGATGGTTGGGCGCTTTTTCACTAACAAAAATCGCAGGATTTGTACTATATCGGTTGCTAGATAACTCTTTTAACACTTAGAAAAGAAATCAATTGTATTAACACTTAATGTACGATTTCACTACCCAGTTTTGCTAAGTAATAACGCGACTAGTTCTTTGTACGATTCTTACGATTCTCTCAACTTGATCGTGATAGATCAGATACTTTACTTGATTGCATTTCATCTTGCCTGAATCACTGCATTAAGAGAAATAAATATAACGGATTCTTGTATCGCTATCCGATAAGTAAAATAGCAGACTGTCGGAAGCGAGTGGGTGGGAAGCGACACTCTTTGCCAAAATTTTAAGAGAGAAGAAAATTAGTATATTGTACTGAATATTACTTTGTTCAACCCAACTGATAATTCAAAAATGCAAAATTGGCCTACTATTATCGAAATTGTTCTAAAGACACGACCAAAAGTAGACCAAATAAGGCTTGCACCTTCTGCAAAATACACTCTAAAGCAGTGGTTCTTAAATTTTTAGAATACCGAACCCCACCAGTTTCATATGCGCAATCACCGAACCCTCCTTAATAGTTGTATCGTCAAAATCCGATCGTGAATCCTGTGAGTCGGGTGTGTGTCTTGACCTCCGAGGAAGCCCTGAGACTGAATTACCGAACCTCTCGGGTTCGATGGAGCCCACTGTTCTAAGCTCTTTTGTTTTCTACTTTTTATTAGTTTCGGCATTTTAAGGGGAAATTAATTGGCGTCCAGTGAAGTTTTAGGGAACGACAATCAGCGTAGTTGTTAATTTTTTTCCAGACTGTCGCACACACAAACACACTGACGCATATATATATATATATATATATATATATATATATATATATATATATATATATATATATATATATATATATATATATATATATATATATATAGGGGCGCCAAAATGAAAGATCGCCCCGGGCGCCGGGAGGGGTCGCTACGCCTCTGGCTACTGGCGACGGACAGTTTCTTACAGGCATCTCTTCGGCCCCCCCCCCCCCCGATCGAAATGAAATTTATATAATTTATATAGAAAATATATACTTTTAACAGTGTCCGCCCCCCCCCCCCCCGAAGAAAGTCTACCGCCCCCCCCACGAAAATTTCAAGTCTCCCCCCCCCCCCCCGGAGAAAAAAAGTCTGGAAGAAACACTGGCGACGGAAAAAATTGATCAATTGGAAAACGTGTTTTGTTTTTCTTAACACATTGTCTTGTCTGCCAGTCCACAGTGACCCATACGTCCAAAGTGAAGAAGAACCATGTGGCTTTGTTGTGGACGGCGCCAGTTCGCTCATCCGGTCACGTGGTTATAAAGTAAGTTTTCGCACTCATTGATTAATTTTAAATATATAAGGGGGGGGGATGCATAAATGACGTCACTTTTTTGTAACGATCCCCCCTTCCCCTTCCAGTGGGTTTCACTGTGTGCCAAATATTAGCCTCTAGAACCATGAATTTGACCAAATCCGAAATTGTTGAATCCGATCCGTGTTGTGTCTACGGCCAACGTTAACCTTTGACCCGTCTGTCACTGCCAGGGCGACAATCGTCAAAGACAAGGAGACCTTCTGGGTGGATGTTGACTCCCCGCCCCTCATTGACTTGCAGACCATGGACACGCCCACGTGCATGAGCCACACCCACAGAGACGGGTTCAAGTTCGACCACAAAAACAACCGGTACGAGGCCAATAAATTGACAGACTCTGGCAAAGAGTCGAGCTCTTCAAGGCCGCAGTGGCATTTCATTCTTCTACTAATGGCGGTGATGGTAAGGGGAGTAATCCAGTTATTATAGCAAAAATAGTTTGTCTCCCTTGTGTTTTATAAAAGAGTTATATTGATGACAATCTACACAAATCAACTACCTCTTCATTAAAGTGTGTTAAAATTAAACCCGTGTTTTAAATATTGAATAAAGATAAAGGGAGTTGATAATGGTTATGGCACAAATAGAAGAGAGTGTTTAGTGTTGAAAAGAATTTAAACAAAATAAGCTTGTAAAGTTAAAATAGTTGGAGAATATTTAACGCACACTTACCCGAGCACAACATATACTTGTTCATAGAACTTGTTCTGTTTGACATTAAAGATGTAAAGTTTATTTCACTATCTTTTAGTTTTGACTTCTTTAAGTATTTTTTAAAAAAAAATGTTTTAAATATCCTTTATTTGACGTTTTTGGTTAAAATATTTCGTTTTATGACAAGCGTTTTATTTATAAAATTTTACTTAGATAAAATGATTTGGTGTCAAAGATACAGTTAGTTGGTTTACGTCTTGATGTAATTTAATTTCCAACGCTGTTTATTATTTTCTTTTATCGGAGTATTGTTTGTCTCAACTCTCGTAACTTCTCGCCCTTTGGTGTCGCTAGTTCACGTGGCAAACATCTGCAAACCCACGTGATAATTTGCCAGGGAAGATCAGTATTTTATAAAAAAAAAAATTACTATTGTTTTACGCTAACGAATAAGGTATAGTTTGTTTTTAATTTTTTGTCGTTGAATAATTGGTTATCAACTGTCAATTATTTAAAAAAAAAGAACAATATAAGTCGATACAAATTTAGTTTTTGTTTCATTTATTTTTTGTTTTCTGTTTTATATTTTCTATCTTGTCGTCTTCAACGCTGGTCTGTATTGTTGTGTCCTCTTCCGTTTCTTCGTCGGTGGAGTCGGTTAAGCCCAGAGCCTGGCGCCTCTCTTCTATTTCTTGTTCGGCCCTGCAGACGACACCATGGTTGTTTTCAGCGGGGAAAATAAAACAGATTCATCTGTTTGACATTTACATGGGTCAACACGTCTGCTAATCTAAAATTCTTGACCTCGGATTCCAGACTTAAGTCCGGACTTTGCTGAGTCCACCCAGTTCTGATGGGTACCTAGCTATCGTTGTGGAAAGTAACGGAGGCTGGGCATAGTGTTGACCACACTATTTCTTTAAACGCCGAGGTTACAGAAACTCTACTTAAACAGGTGCATTGGTTTATTTTTCTGACATTTACAAATTAAAAGTGGGCATTTTGTTAGGTTAGTTAGGTTAGGTTTGCCTGTCGTCCATCCTGGGACATAGGCCGCTGACAAGAGCTTTCCAGGGACATTCTGTACTAAACCAGAACTGTTCAATGAGGAGCCACTTACTGGCAGGTAGACAGGCTATACAGCTTACCGCTAGGCTGATTGATATTTTCAGGCGAGAAGAACTAGAAGAACTAAGATTCCTAGCGAGCAGGGTTTTGTTTTTCTGGAAAAAGGGGTGAGGGTTAGGGAGCGGCAAGGTGCCAGTGAACAAAGATCGGAAAAATAAAATTGTTTGGTCGTTTTCTTTGCCTGCTCTAGTCAGTATTGAGATGTTAGCTAATTTCCTATAGACCATTTTCTTTTTTGTAGTTCTTGACCAGTCTGTCGCCAAGATCCACTACTAGAAAATATTAAGACCTCCAACCCATATAAAGTATGTGTAGTGCTTAAATTATATCAAGCATTTTTTCAGAGGCGTAGCGAGGGGGGGGGGGGGGGGGCGGGGGTGCGGAACGCACCGGGTGACACCAAGGCAAAAAATAACAAAATATATAGAGAAAAATGATAATTCCACTTAATTAAGTGATTAATTCGAGTGTTAAATAGTGTTTTAAGAGGTGCAAATCGAAAGTTTGATGGGTGGGGGGGGGGGGGGGTGCAAATCACTTCTTTGATGGGGGGGGGGGGGGTGCAAATCGAAAATTGAAAGTTTGTCCCCGGGAAGGGTCGCTACGCCTCTAGGGGGGGGGGGGGGCACCATTAAGTGCCGCACCGGGTGACACCCGACCTCGCTACGCCACTGCATTTTTTACTTTCCTACCAACATTTCTTATAAGTGGCAAACATTATCTTGAAATATCTTGTGTGCACTGAGCGTATATTGACACAGTTACTTGCGCGACAAGTATAAAACTATTGTGCGATCGCGGTACTTAGAGGTTACGACACACCCTCGGGTTCTCTTAAAGCGAAAAGAAGAGTTCAACAAGTATGAGCAGGCAGGTCACCACTCACTGTATAAGGAACTTGACACACTCATGGTGGCCGTAGATCTCCGCCAGACGTCTTGGCGTACAGCCGTAGTTGTCTTTCTTGTCGACCCGGATGTTGGCAGCGTGCAGCGCCCTCAGGGCCGTGACCTTTCCGGTCTCAGCTGCGCAGTGGGCGGGTGTCCAACCCGTCTCGGTGCGGACCGTACCCTTGGCCCCGTTGTCTAGCAGAAGTCGAATACATTCAACAAAACCTGCAGTGGAAGTTACTAATCTTATCCTCACGAGCATGTAGCTCTACACATATAATATTTTCAGCTTTTTCCAAAAAGCAAAGATTGCCAGTTAATTAGTGTACTAGCGTGAAATTTTCTACAGCGGCAAACCTCTTTGACAAGCCCAGTGTAAGGGCGTCTTCCTGTTCCAGTCCTCGTCCCCCGTGTTGACGTCAAACTTGCCACTCTTGATGAGCTCCTCCAGAGAATCAAAGTCCCCAACAGACGCCGCCTCGTGAATCTCTAGACCCACCATTGACGTCATTTTGTCTGGAGGTAAGTTTGTTGCAACACTGGTATCCATGAAGTTAGTGTTCTAGCTGTAACCAAAACGAATATCTGATGAATTTATACGTCTTTTTAAAGCGATAACTATTAAACTAACCAGTGTACTATTTATTAAAAGTGGATTTTTAAATAAAAACGATTTCTGTATTTTGGATTTCATGAAAATTACTTTGCACAATCTATGTAGACATAAAATAACTTTGCCTGGTGAGTAACCTATGTATACTAACAAATTTATAATCAAGTTATTGCAGGCCTTATGTAGATCTAGATTTTTATAAAATAAAACAGTTTTAGAATATTTCACCAATCAAATTCTATACTAGAGTGACGAATACATTAATTATGATTATGTTAATTTTCAAATAATAAAAGGGGGGTAACAGTGTTTCTTCCAGACTTTTTTCTCCGGGAGGGGGCACTTGAAATTTTCGGGGGGGGGGGGGGCGGTCAACATTTTTCGGGGGGGGGGGGCGGACACTAGTAAAGTATGTTTACTATATAAAATCCATCTCCTTGGGGGGGGGGGGCGGTAGACTTTCTTCGGGGGTGCGGAGGCCCCCCCCCGAAGAGATGCCTGGAAGAAACTCTGGGGGGGGGGGGGTAGCTATTTTGGGCGGTAATGGGGTGGATTAGCTATGTCATTTTAAGGAGAAGTGGCTAACTTTCTAAGACGAAAAGCTATGAATGAGAGAAGTGAGCGTGAAATAGTTACAATAGCTTGTTGTCTCACGCGAAGATGTAAAAAAAAAAATTACCCTGTTTACATAGCTCCGAGTTTTTATAAAACCACCAGACGACAACTGTGTCTTTGTCAAACAACACGCTGCCCCCGACTTGTGTTGACCAAGAAAATAGAAGCCGTATTCCTCCGATAGAAGAAGAGCCTAACAATAGCGGCCGACACACTGTGTTGTTTCTTGTGTCACGTAACGAAGCACAGCTCCAACAACACGTTACAGCACTGTGTACACACATTGTGGCACGCGGCACGCTCTGACCAATAGTCGATCAGTTGCTAAAGAATCAATATATCAATCTGTTGACAACTTGCCGTCTGCGACCCGGAAAGGCTAGTGCTATAAATAGTGGGCTCTCGTTCCACCAGACTTTATCACGATTCTATTTTCTGTGCCTTAACCTGGTGCCATTTGCAGTTGTTATATAAAAGAATCAAACACTGGTTAAAGTATGAACCTAATTATTTTCTATAGGCCTTATAAATTATATATTTTTTTCTATTCCGTTCGGGGTGAGGGTGGGGGTGCCTGAAAAAAACTCCGAATAATGTAAAACATAATTGTATTTTTTGTCTATAGGTCCTCGTGGAGTCTATAATCCAGCACCTATTATAGCCAATTCATAAATAGACCTATATGCAATTTTGACACCTTTAGACCTACCCTATTTTAATTTAGTGTTTAACGTCATGTTTCCATACATCAAATTACAATGGGGGGGGGGGGGGGGGGGGGGGAAGAAGAGATGCTCAAAAAGGAGGATGAAATTCACACTATCTTACAATCTTAGCAAGTCAACATTTTATTTTTTCCACAATTTTTAGCTGCTTTTTAAAAAATAATTAAACAGGGACCACAACTCCCTCATTTTAAAATACAGAGGCAGTTGAGACAAATTTGTATTACTTTTTCTTACATAAACTGAAATGAAACAACTACCAGTGGCCTGGCGAGCTCGGGTGTCACCCGGTGTGGCACTTAATAGTGTCACCCCCCCCCCCGTAAAAAAATTTGGATTATTTATTTTGGCATCCATCAGGTATGGCTGTCTCTTGACGGCCCTTTTGGTCCATGACGCATTGCACATAGAATGCTAGGCAAACAAGAGCCAAACAATACGCTACTCAAAATGAAAACGCACCTAGAATAATGAAAACGCGATCACAACTTAGTCTAGATAAGACATAGGCCAGGACATCCCGGCCAGTGCGCGCATTGGCTGGCCAATGTACAAAATACGCTGTCCAGTTTAAACGTTTCGGACTTTGGCCAGTACGCCCCGGCCAGTGCGCGCATTAGCCGGCCAATGTACGAAAATATGCTCTTAGTGCTAAGTTCTTCGGGCTTTGGCCAAGAGAGCCGGCCAATGCACACATTGGCCGGCCAATGAGGGCTTTGGCCGCACTTCGGGCGTTGACCGTAACATATACATATACTATACCAGGGGTCGGTAACCTTTTGAGACGGAAGAGCCAAAAGTTACAATGTACAAAATTTCCCAATTTTTAAAGAGCCACTAACAGTTTTATGCACATCGGTAGTGGAAAGCATGGAACCATTGTCACGGGCTGGCCACAGCATAGTTGTGGGGCTGAGCCTAATGTCCAGAGTTTCTTCAAGACCTTTCCCCCCGCCCCCGAAAAATTACAAGTGGTGGCCGGTGGCAACACTTGTAATTTTTTTTCGGGGGGGGGGGGGGGGGTCCAGGGAGTGTACTAAATTTTCTGGGGGGAAGGGGGAGAAAAAAGTCTGGAAGAAACACTGCTAATGTCCAGCGTCTGTCAGATATCCATATAAGCTCTACTCCACCTATTCTCATTTTTATTTTGCTGAAAGTTGTTTTTGTTTTTACAGTATTATATTTTTTGAGTCTTGAAAAAAAAAAATAATTATTATGTAACTGGAGAGCCGCGTATTAACATCAAAAGAGCCGCATGGGGCTCGCGAGCCGCAGGTTGCCGACCCATGATAAAGACTCGTTTGTGGTTGACGAATATATATATATATATATATATATATATATATATATATATATATATCTCAATATATATATATCTCTCTATATATATATATCTCAATATATATATATCTCAATATATATATCTCAATATATATATATATATATATATATATATATATATATATATATATATATATATATATATATATATATATATATATATATATATATACAGATTTACAATAGTAATACTTCTTTCTTACTTGTAGCCTACTTTCATTCATTTAAGATAGTTTACTTATACATAGATCTAATACAAAACGTCTAATTACACTATGATTTAAAAAAAAACAACCTGGAAATGCAAATTCAATTGATTTTTCCCCCCATCGGCGTGGTGGGCTGAGGGGGGGGGGGTGGGCTTTTTGGGATTACAGAAAATTAAAATGATACACATTTTAAGCAACCGGAAAAGTTATGTTGATTACAATGAGACACATCAAAGCAAACATTCTTCCCTTTCAAACATCTAGATCTATATATATAGCAGTCCTCACACAGTTTTTTGTTTAAATTTATTTGTCGCCAGTTAACCTTTTTTCCAAGCACTGTTAAGATTGAGCATATCTTAATTTAAAAATTACTCATTTTATATATTTTAAAGGCTTATATATAGAAAAGAGTCAAATGGAAACTAAAAAAAAAAGTGAAATACTTATTTAAGATGGATTAAGAATTTTTAAAAGTATTTTATTATAAAGTTTTAACAATACAATAAATGTTGAGTTCTAGTTTTCGTTGCGTACAATGGAATATTTATTCTACAAACTTTGGAACATAGTTACAGGTTGTCTCCTTTGATTTATCTGAAAATATAAAATGGGAAGTAACTAATACAGTAATGAATTAATTTTCAACATTGCAATCAATCAAATGTAAAGCAAAAAAAAAACGACACATAATAGTTTGTATGTGTGTGCGTATAAGTGTGTGTGCGTATGTGTGTGTGGGCGGGGGGACGGGGGGACGACACTGGTTAAAGTATACATTTTCTAAATGAGTCTTATATTTTTTTCTATTTCGCTTGTCGAGGATAGGAGGCACTGCCCCCTTCTCCCTCGATTGAAATGCCTGTAAGAAACTCTGTCTGATGACAAATATGATAAAGTTACTGTAAGCCAACTTGCTAACACTCATTCCCAAATACTGCCACCCTGCACTTGATGATGTTTATAACTTTATCCAGCTAGAGAAAAGTTGACATTCGCATTTGTAACAACATGTATTCTTTGTTGTTGTGGGTTTCATACAGGAACACGAGCAACAGTGGCAACTTGAAATGACAACTTTATTTACACTATGTACAGATAAATCCGTGGTACATCCATATTTGAAGATCAACTGATATAGGTACAAAAAATAATCACGACTCCAAGTCATGGAGACATCTTACATTCACTGCCATCGTTTCAGTCCCAAGTCCTAGCACACAACACCCGTTCACCTTTCGCTCTCTCTTTTATTCCCCTTTCTCTCCCCTTACGTCAATGAGCGATCTCACCCAAAACACGGAAAAACACATGACGATCGCTCAGACAGTCCTTCCGCTAGCCAGGTACTCTTCATTCATGCAAAACACAATATAATAAAGATACATAATAATACAGTCTGTGACACGTCCCCCCTTCGAATAAAATTTTGTGTAACAAAATTTATAAATACAATATTGGTAGGGCAGGATCATGTGCCAGACAACAAAATTTTTATACATCTCAAAAAACATGGAAAAATACATTCTTTGTAGACTAATGCACAAGCATTATGTGTAATATATTCAAATATGAGAAAGAAAAACATTTCAATTACCAAGTAATTGTATAAACAAGACAAATGATTTTAGTGAATTACCAAACTATAATACATAGTTGAAATTATCAAAGACTTAATTCAACTCATGAATTAAATAATTATATCCTATGTAGTAAAAAAACTTCCTTATCATCAAGGCATGTTATTACTACACATAAGTAATATACCTTATTGTCTCCCCTAGTCGACCCATTTCAGTCATATCTAGGTCACAACACAACATTCTTGCCTTTCACAGGTATCGACTGATACAATTCATCATTGAGACTTCCGTCTTATTGTTATGCGGAATAAAGTCTCTAACTTTTACTTGATTTACTTTATTCACTGTTAATTAATAGTATAGAATAGGTTTAACATAATACAGTTTTCATTCTTTTGAAATATTACACAATTTATATAATTTATATTTACTGATACAAAATGTTTGATATCCATATTTTACAGTTACAGACTGTATAATATTAATGAACTGTCAATTGATAATTTAATCTTAGCATCCTTGTTTAACTCTATAGCATGAGTAATCGTTCTTGTGTAGTTGACGATGACCTGTATGCCATCTCTCCCTCAAATTGTAGCTTTTAGCTGTGCTACCATAATCATTTCCTAGATTTCGTGTAACTTGTGTTACTTCATTTGTTTTAATATTCTCCTCTGGTTTCTGAACAACGTCAGTAGTTATCTTGCTTTGTGTATGTTGGTTTGGTTCATCAACCAACTCAATATAAATATTATGGCATTGCTTTGGCCTTTCATAATACATCTTGCTTCGGTATCTTTCATTAGAACATGATATATTCTTTCTTAAATTACTATATTTCCCACATGACTTTCTTTGTACATAATTGTTTCTTCTCTGATTTGCCAACCTATGCCAACATTGATTTTGGTAATGACCTGTTTTTCCGCAGTAAAAACATCTAGATTTTGGCTTCTTATAAACATGGTGACTGTATTCATAGTTTGCTAAATTTCTTTTTCTTTCATTCTGTGCATTAATGACATTAATGACATTCTTATTAACATGTTGACAGTATTCATAGTTTGATAAATTTCTTTTACTTTCATTCTGTGCATCAATGACATTGTAGTTTCTAGTTACTGTTTCATCTTTCTTAACTTCCTTGTGCTTCTTTATTGATTCTAATTCACACATAAATTTCTGTGTTAATTTCTCCATTTCTTTGTTAAATTTATTCTTGAGTTCTAGTATATCTTCTTTATAGTTTGACTCCAGATTTCTAAGTAACTCCTCAATAGGTACGTTCTCTTCATTGTGGCTTATTAAGTTCACTGATTCATTAATCATCATTAGTTTATCATGATTCCTGCCATTCTCCGATGGACTTATTAAATCATCACTGCCATTGACTGATGGGCTTATTAAATCATTTTGACTACCATTCTCTGATGGACTTGTTTCTTGTTGACT